TGAATTACATTCCTATACCATTGTAGCGGATGGCATTGGGCTGTCCTTAAAATTATGTGTTTTCGTATGCTTCGGGTTAATTTTTGCCATATGTATGTATGTTGTATGCAGAATTCCACTGATTGTTCGGTAAAATCACTCCAGTTATTATGCGAGTGAAACTACCGAACAATCAGACCACCCCAGGAATAAGTGTGCCTCCAATTACCGTTCGCAACAATGTTGCAAACGGGTAATTGGCAATCAGCGCAGTGTGTGCGTTGTCCTCTGGGTGACCGCCATTCGGGCCCAAATCGGACACTCAGCTAGGCAAACACCGCTGAGACCTCCACACTGCCATCAATTTGTGTAGAAACTACCGAACGGCTCCCCGTTGGGTAGAAAGAACCCCACTAACAAGGGGGTTTATCCGAATCCTCCCCAGTCTCCATAACCCAAGCCGTTCGTGAATTTTATTCCCTTTTTCTGTGACCGACCGCAGGGCCAAAATATATGGAACCCATTTCGGCTGTTACCTCTAGCGCGGTCGGTCTTTTTACTACCTCCAGGAATTTCCCGAACCCCTGGTCTGACCTGGGTGATTTTTGAATATGTCACTCACCCATATCAGGGCTACCAGGGGATGTAACATTTAAAGGGGTATCCCTATATTTAAGGGTACATCCAGAAAACCAGGGAACTGTGTCCTGCATAATGGGTTTATGAGTCATACTAAGGGGAGGGGATGTGTGGGTGGCAACTCATGTATGATTGGTGTACTGTATAATTACTGTGAATCTCTCCCTTGCATGGGAGAAAGCTTTAAAAGAAGGTTGAGTGATTAAAAGTTCAGTTCCGCTCCTGATGCTGTGTGTCGTCCAGTCATTGGGATATTATTGGATTGACTTGCCTGCTATAATTATTGCCTTATGGATTTTTAATACTTGTTCCTGAGCCTCACTGGGATCTTGAGTGGAGATAACCTGTGGAATACCAGCTCTCCACTACAACCACTTAGTTACGATTGTATCAGTACTTTACAATCAAAGTATTCAATTTGTATATTCAGTAGGCTCTCACTACCTGAAATATACCAACAATACTTATAAGACTCATAATATTCTTTTAACCCCTTAAAGGACCACTACAGTGCCAGGAAAACATACTCGTTTTCCTGGCACTATAGTGCCCTGAGGGTGCCCCCACCCTCAGGGTCCCTCTCCTGCCCGGCTCTGGAAAGGGGAAAAGGGTTAAAACTTACCTTTTCCAGCGCTGGGCGGGGAACTCTCCTCCTCCTCTCCTCCTCCGTCCCTACCCGTCGGCTGAATGTGCACGCGCGGCAAGAGCTGCGCGCACATTCAGCCGGTCTCATAGGAAAGCATTATCAATGATTTCCTATGGACGCTTGCGTGCTCTCACTGTGATTTTCACAGTGAGAAGCACGCAAGCGCCTCTAGCGGCTGTCAATGAGACAGCCACTAGAGGATTTGGGGGAAGGCTTAACCCATTCATAAACATAGCAGTTTCTCTGAAACTGCTATGTTTATAAAAGAATGGGTTAACCCTAGAAGGACCTGGCACCCAGACCACTTCATTAAGCTGAAGTGGTCTGGGTGCCTAGAGTGGTCCTTCAAGGACACATGACGGAAATATTCCGTCATGATTCCCTTTTATTTCTGAAGTTTTGTCCTTAAGGGGTTAAACATTCAAAGGATGTGTTATCAACCATGAAGTTCTATAATAATTCTTCAAGTAATGTTCCTGTTGTTGACAATACTTATTGTTCTTAAAATTCTCCACCCAGAAATCTTTCTATCATAGATTTGTTTTTGTTTATATAATTATAATTTTCACCAAAATTCCACCTTATAGTAACAAACGTTTCATTCAATAAGAGAAAGGTTTACTGGAAAAGATCTTGGAAAGAATAATTTAAATTCATAACATCACTCTCTTCATTAGACCTTAATGGTAATGACTTAGTAATGTAATACATTTTAACATAAAAGTAGGATTGTCCAAATGTTACCTAAACATTTGTTCTGACCAATCGGTATTCCCTATTCCCTAGTACACTTCTTCAACTAACTAAACTTAAATAAAATAAAGTAAAAAAAAAACATTGGGTCATACTGCCCAGAAACTCTTATCTCTAGTCCATGTCTTACAAACTCAGGTTAATCATAAAACAACTTATTCATTGGATATCGTCATATCCAGAAACCTATTCTCCCTACTCCATACCTTTATAGACTTAGGTCAAATATAATTGTGTACTATAATCTTAAGTAAACTTCAATTCAGTTCCTCTTGGATCTCTGAAATCTTATACCCAAGGTAGTCTTAATGTATACCATTCCTTAATATTAATCAATATAAATTATCCTTCCTTAGTTTTCTTCCTTTAGTTACCATTGTTTGTTTTACGTCACCTCAATATTAACAAATTACTCATTCTTGTGAATCTATGAAATACTGTTGAACTCAATCTTTATGGTATTAAGTATACATAATCCTTATTTTATCAACTTCATATTTTATCTACCTCTAATACTTCTCAAATATTCGTAGTCTCCGTGACACAGTCTAGATTCTTTTTTTCTCTTCAAGTTTGATTTCCCAGTTCCAAAACTCAGCTCTGTAACGTGATTCTTCTCTCTCCCTCCTGGAAGTGGGGACAAAACCTGAATAGAAGACTGGCTGGGTGGCTGGCCAAAGTAATATCTGGTCTGTGTCTTCTCAGTTGAATAAGTCTTAATGTATATTTCTTCTTGGGTAAAAGGTTTGCCATGTTAATATATGTCTATATTAACCAAAAATACTGTTACTCAATCTGACTTACAGTTTCTTCAGGTTTCTTCTTAGTTACTGATACATAATAAAACAAGAAAGGATGTTACATGATAACGGATGTTCAACAGCAGATAGTAATTGCTGGACTCCTGAAGGGAGAGTTAGTCTCTACATAGTTAGACAGCCGGACAAGAAGAACAACCTCGTGCAGCAAGCAACAGCAAGACCTCGTGGTCCTTTGTCCCCTATTCTATATAGATATGACCATAATGACGTCAGAGTATAACCCTAGCCATATAAGGACAAGACCCCCAATCCACATTCCGGAGTTCTCAGTCAAAGAAAGCCTTGTGACTTATTGATACCATCTGTTACTTATGTCAATCCAGACACCCATAAATAATCAATAGAAACATAGAATAAGCACATTCCTTGCCTGTGCCATAAATTGTCCATTATAAGCCTTGCAGACAAACCGTGAACAGCTCATTTAAAGGAACACTATAGAGTTAGGATTACAAATCTGTATTAATAATGTTATACTGTCCCTCTCACTAGCTCTAAATTGGTTCCCACCCCCAGAGGAAAAAAGTAAATAAATTTAAACATTATGTTTTCATTTTCTCAGGCTGAACTCTCCTCCCCTGCTGATGTCAGGGAATTAGAAATAGACCCTCATGTCACCCTTTCTCCTCCATGATGGTCCAATTCAATGCTCCTCATTGGGGACTTATTGCGCAGCCACTAGAGGTGGAGTTTATCTTATTGCAGTTTTTCTCATTGAGGTGAAGTGAATATAGTGTTCGTTTATGTGTATGAATGGCAAAAGCAAATTCAGTGTAACCCTCCACATACACTTTAAACTATACAAAGGTATTTAACAAAAGTGGAGATTTTCTCTTGAATTTGCTAATTTTATAAAAATAAGCCTGCAAGGCCAAGCAATTTAACCCTAAAGCACTTCAGCAAGTGAAACAGCTTTAGTTGCTTAGAATGTTCCTTTAAATTTCTGAATTGAGGGAATTTGTTTTATTTTTACCTCTTGATATGATGGTTAGGTGATAGCCCCTTTCTTTGTTATGCTTTACTAACATTTCAAGGACATTGTTTGTACTTTCTGTTTTCCCAGCAAATAAAATTTTGGCTACACAGCAAATAACTGAGAAATCACGCGCTTCTAACAGAGATAAAGTAATGCCAGTTAGGTAATTATGGGCTGGATTTATGGCCCCCAAAATGTAGTACTTTGAAAATGTGTTAACTTTTGATTGGTACAAAGTTATGTCACGCCCCTAGACATGAATACACTTTATTATGTTGCTACGCATTAAAATCTCGGGCAGTTCTTTATGAACCATTCATGTGTGTGTGATGTCGTTCATTTGGGGCTTCCCCAGCACAGCATTCAATAAGGGTTCAGGTAAAAGCAGAGATCTCTAAATTGAAATCCATGGCATTCTGGTGTATCGTATGAGGGTCTTCACCACTAAAAAAAAAAAAAAAACTGTCTTACACGAATACACTTTTAATTATGGACTATTAACACTTTACTGAATAAACCTGATGATGATCATAAACATCCTGTTGTCAGAAAGTAACGTTTAAATTACTAAATTGGTAGTTGTTTTCATAAAACAAACAAACATAAAAAAGAACCATAATATTTTTTAAACTTATTGAGCTGTTTAAAGGGACATTCCAGACACCTAACACACTTTACCTTTTTGAATACTTGATGTGTGAAAAGTGTGTCCTCTCTCTTTTTTTTTTTTTCTTCTTTTCAATACAAATTAACACATTTAAAAACTAACCTGGTTACTCCCTCCCGGCTGTCATTCAAACAACCGGTCCTGGTTTAGGCAGCTCAGTAATGCTAAACTCAAGAGGCAGCAATTGCCCAGAGCACCTGCCTTGTAAAGACTTCTCATTCAGCTGCATTGGAAAGTGTGAGATTGTACAGTCACAGAAAGTTTGGCAGGGCTAGCGATGGCTGCAGACAAGATATCTGCAGCATTTGCTATCTGTTGTTAGGTACGCCCACAATGAACAAAATACACAATTAAATGCATGCATTTCCTCATTTGGGGTTTATTTACTAATCAGTGATTTTTATTTATTATTATTTTTTTTTTATTTGGGCAGTGTCCCTTTAACTGCATGTAGTCTGGCTACAAGTCACATGACTCTCTCTAGCGGAAGACTGGCATTTTTTTTGCGCATGTGACGTTTTAACGCAACTTTATTGACAGCCCACAAAGTAACAGCGGTGGGCCCCACCAGATAGTAAAAATAACCGGGATATTGCGCGGTGAGGGACCCGGGGACAGGAGCGGGTGAGCGGAAACATTAACGGGCTGAATAGCGGCTCCGAGAATACACCGAGAACCGGGGGGGGGGAATACAGGCAGGGGAAGTGACGTCAGGGGCACGGGATTAAGGTTGCCATGGTGACGAGAGGATACAGAACAAGGTAATCGCTAATCTGGCCCTATGTGTGATTTATATAAAGATAAATAATATAGAAATAGCACAGTGTGGGCCCTGTGTATGGGGTATGTGTCGGTTACCATGGGGACACTATCTGTGTGAATGGAAATATTATCTAAACCCTGTCACCCCCTCTCCATGTACAGACAGGTATCATTGATACTGATTGCTGGGGGTAAAGGGGTAAATACATCTTATATTACCCCCCTCTCCATGTACAGACAGGTATCATTGATACTGATTGCTGGGAGTAAAGGGGTAAATACATCTTATATTACCCCCCCTCTCCATGTACAGACAGGTATCATTGATACTGATTGCTGGGGGTAAAGGGGTAAATACATCTTATATTACCCCCTCTCCATGTACAGACAGGTATCATTGATACTGATTACTGGGAGTAAAGGGGTAAATACATCTTATATTACCCCCTCTCCATGTACAGACAAGTATCATTGATACTGATTACTGGGAGTAAAGGGGTAAATACATCTTATATTACCCCCTCTCTCCATGTACAGACAGGTATCATTGATACTGATTACTGGGAGTAAAGGGGTAAATACATCTTATATTACCCCCTCTCCATGTACAGACAGGTATCATTGATACTGATTGCTGGGGGTAAAGGGGTAAATACATCTTATATTACCCCCCTCTCCATGTACAGACAGGTATCATTGATACTGATTACTGGGGGTAAAGGGGTAAATACATCTTATATTACCCCCCTCTCCATGTACAGACCGGTATCATTGATACTGATTGCTGGGGGTAAAGGGGTAAATACATCTTATATTACCCCCCTCTCCATGTACAGACAGGTATCATTGATACTGATTACTGGGGGTAAAGGGGTAAATACATCTTATATTACCCCCCCTCTCCATTTACAGACCGGTATCATTGATACTGATTGCTGGGGGTAAATACATCTTATATTACCCCCCTGTCCATGTACAGGGACAGGTATCATTGATACTGATTGCTGGGGGTAAAGGGGTAAATACATCTTATATTACCCCCCCTCTCCATGTACAGACAGGTATCATTGATACTGATTGCTGGGGGTAAAGGGGTAAATACATCTTATATTACCCCCCTCTCCATGTACAGACAGGTATCATTGATACTGATTGCTGGGGGTAAAGGGGTAAATACATCTTATATTACCCCCCCTCTCCATTTACAGACCGGTATCATTGATACTGATTGCTGGGGGTAAATACATCTTATATTACCCCCCTGTCCATGTACAGACAGGTATCATTGATACTGATTGCTGGGGGTAAAGGGGTAAATACATCTTATATTACCCCCTCTCCATGTACAGACAGGTATCATTGATACTGATTGCTGGGGGTAAATACATCTTATATTACCCCCCTCTCCATGTACAGACAGGTATCATTTATACTGATTACTGGGGGTAAAGGGGTAAATACATCTTATATTACCCCCCTCTCCATGTACAGACCGGTATCATTGATACTGATTGCTGGGGGTAAAGGGGTAAATACATCTTATATTACCCCCCCTCTCCATGTACAGACAGGTATCATTGATACTGATTGCTGGGGGTAAAGGGGTAAATACATCTTATATTACCCCCTCTCCATGTACAGACAGGTATCATTGATACTGATTGCTGGGGGTAAAGGGGTAAATACATCTTATATTACCCCCCTCTCCATGTACAGACAGGTATCATTGATACTGATTGCTGGGGGTAAAGGGGTAAATACATCTTATATTACCCCCCTCTCCATGTACAGACAGGTATCATTGATACTGATTGCTGGGGGTAAAGGGGTAAATACATCTTATATTACCCCCCCTCTCCATGTACAGACAGGTATCATTGATACTGATTGCTGGGGGTAAAGGGGTAAATACATCTTATATTACCCCCTCTCCATGTACAGACAGGTATCATTGATACTGATTGCTGGGGGTAAAGGGGTAAATACATCTTATATTACCCCCTCTCCATGTACAGACAGGTATCATTGATACTGATTACTGGGAGTAAAGGGGTAAATACATCTTATATTACCCCCTCTCCATGTACAGACAAGTATCATTGATACTGATTACTGGGAGTAAAGGGGTAAATACATCTTATATTACCCCCTCTCTCCATGTACAGACAGGTATCATTGATACTGATTACTGGGAGTAAAGGGGTAAATACATCTTATATTACCCCCTCTCCATGTACAGACAGGTATCATTGATACTGATTGCTGGGGGTAAAGGGGTAAATACATCTTATATTACCCCCTCTCCATGTACAGACAGGTATCATTGATACTGATTACTGGGGGTAAAGGGGTAAATACATCTTATATTACCCCCTCTCCATGTACAGACAGGTATCAGTGATACTGATTGCTGGGGGTAAAGGGGTAAATACATCTTATATTACCCCCTCTCCATGTACAGACAGGTATCATTGATACTGATTACTGGGGGTAAAGGGGTAAATACATCTTATATTACCCCTCTCTCCATGTACAGACAGGTATCATTGATACTGATTACTGGGGGTAAATACATCTTATATTACCCCCTCTTCATGTACAGACAGGTATCAGTGATACTGATTACTGGGGGTAAAGGGGTAAATACATCTTGTATTACCCCCTTCTCCATGTACAGACAGGTATCATTGATACTGATTGCTGGGGGTAAAGGGGTAAATACATCTTATATTACCTCCCTCTCCATGTACAGACAGGTATCATTGATACTGATTGTAGCGGAGAGCTGATTTCTCACAACTTAACTCCACTGGTATATTAGAAGAATGCAGGAACAAGTAGTAAATCCAAGAGGGTAATCAGCATGAAAATCCAATAGTATCCCATCACCTTTCCCAATCACTGGACGACACACAGTACAGGAGTAGAACTGACATTTAATGACACAATTCCTTCTTTTATGGGATTCTCCCATGCAAGGGAGGGACTCACCATAATTACTACAGTAACCAATCACATAGACGTTACCTCCCACACATCTCCTTAGCTTAACAGTTAACATAATTATAAAGTACATACTTTTCCCTAATTCCAGGATGTACCCCAAATATGGTAGGTACATCTTTAAATGTGGTACCCCGGGTAGTCCTGATCTGGGTGAGAAATATATTCAAAAATCACCCAGATCAGACCAGGGGTTTGGGAGTTATGAGGAAGCAAAGATTTGACCGACCGCATGGGTAAAGTAGCCGAAAATAGTTCCATGAGATCTGGCCCTGCGGTCGGTCTCTGTTCGTGCCTCAAAAGTCCCGAAAATCTATGTCATCCATGGTTAAGTTTGCATTCGGATGAATCCCCTAGTTCGTGGGATTCATCCTACCGAACGGCGGGCCGTTCTTGCATTTCAATCAGCACTTTCTGAAGTCCTGGAGGTCTTAGCGGTGTTCAGTTAGTCGAGTGTCCGATTTGAGTTCCAGACACTCGACGACCAAACACAGCTGTTCGCGCGTTAAAGATGGCCGCCGCCACGTGTTCGGCTGCCGAAATGGCAGCCACCCAGGAAATACAGCAGAGCGTTCGTGTGTTTAAACCAAGGGAATAGAACAAGCATACAGGGAGGTAAATTACAGCCACACTTCACACCAGGGTGGTCCGGTTGTTCGGTACCTTAGTTCGGATGGTGAATATAGCTGTTCCCATGCCGACTTGTACATCTTTTATGTAATTCTGTATAATCCAGGCACAGGAAAAACTCTTAGGTTCCAACAATAAAAGGGAATAGATTGGACAGCCAAACGGGTTCTGCTACAGTGTGTTTGGTAGTGTGTGGATGTGAGGGGCTGTTTGGGGTATTGCATGTGAGAGGCTGCATGTAGGGTTGTGTGCATGTATGTGGATTGTTAGTGGTGTTGATTGTGTGTGTGTGTGTGTGTGTGTGTGTGCGTGTGCTGTTCATATTATTTGTATGAGGGGAGGGTTATTCTGCAGCTCTGTGTAGATCTAGCAGTGTGGGTGGCTTCCCTGGATTCCAGTAGGGACCAGGCTGGCCAGGTACAGGTCAGAGACAGGAGCTGCAACAGCAGCCGCGGGCTGCTCTACTACAGTGTGGATTCCCATCCACAAGTGCTGGGAGGAACTGATCTCAGATCACTTCCTTTCTTTATGTGCTGCAATGCATAACTTGAGGATTGTCCTTCACCATGTCTTCGTATTAGCAGATATCTGAAGTTTCAGTGGGACTCCTGATAGGCCAGAGCCTGTTTGGCTCTAGCAGCCTTGAGTGCCGTGCATGGCACAAGTGCCATAGGTTGCCTACCCCTGCTATAGACGTTTCATCATTAAACTTGCATCATTATATCTCCTAAGTACCTAATTCCTAAAATCCCACCTGGGAAGAGGGCTTAGGGAGTCTTTGGGCAATTGCACATGAAATCACAATTTGTGAATGCACACTAAATCTTTATTAAAGGGACACTATAGTCACCTGAACAACTTTAGCTTAATGAAGCAGTTTTGGTGTTTAGAACATGCCCCTGCAGCCTCACTGCTCAATCCTCTGCCATTTAGGAATTAAATCCCTTTGTTTATGAACCCTAGTCCCACCTCCCTGCATGTGACTTGCACAGCCTTCCATAAACACTTCCTGTAAAGAGAGCCCTATTTAGGCTTTCTTTATTGCAAGTTCTGTTTAATTAAGATTTTCGTATCCCCTGCTATGTTAATAGCTTGCTAGACCCTGCAAGAGCCTTCTGTATGTGATTAAAGTTCAATTTAGAGATTGTGATACAATTATTTAAGGTAAATTACATCAGTTTGAAAGTGAAACCAGTTTTTTTCTTTTTTCATGCAGTCTCTGTCAATCATAGCCAGGGGAGGTGTGGCTAGGGCTGCATAAACAGAAACAAAGTGATTTAACTCCTAAATGACAGTGAATTGAGCACTATACACTATGATCTATACACTAAAACTGCTTTATTTAGCTAAAGTAATTTAGGTGACTATAGTGTTCCTTTAACTGCACAGTATTTGGTTGGATAAGCTGTGGTTCTGAGCAGAGCAGACTTAGAAATGTCTGTCCCTATCAATCAAGAATAACCAGAAGAAAGGCATTAAAAAAATACTGTATGCAAGTTGTATGATTCGTGTAGTTTTGTATTTGAAACAATAAAACTACTGACTGTTTTTCCTGTTTAGTACTACCAATGGAAACATGCATGTATGGGGACAGTTGTATTGCTAAAAACGGCTTGCAAATGCTGCAGATGTCATGTCTGCAGCCTTTGCAAGCCCTTGGTCTTCTAACCCCGCCCAGACTTTCTGTGGCTGTCCAATCACAGACTTGACCAATGCAGCTCAATGAGCAGTCTTTGCAAACCAATCCTAGGATGTAAGGGGGTGTAACAAGGTTAATTTATCAAAGTGCCAATTTCTATTGAAAGCTGCCCTTTTTTGTAAAATGACAAAAGAGGACCCTGTCTTCACACATAAAGTGCTTAAGGTGTCTGGGGGTCCCTTTAAGTAAATATTTGGTCCATGTTTCTAAAACAGTATTTAGTTTTTTACCTTGTTTTGTGTTCTCCCATTACAGGAGTCATCATGCTTGTTCCCATATTTACCTTGAAATTAAACCACAAAATCAATCCACGTATGGTGTCTGTAGGGAAGTATGATGGGATACATCCGTGTCTCACAGCTGCCACCCAAGCTGGAAAGGTACAATATTTAACGTGTGGAACCATTATAGATCCTCTTTAACATGGGCTTAATTTGCTGAGACCATGCCAGAATTGGGTGTATAAGGGATTACAAAGGGAATGTCTCTTTTCAATAGCTACTAATAGAAAATAATGTATTGGTACCTTAGATTTGTTGGAGAAAAAATGCCTTAGACTTTAATCTACTAAATACACAAAGAAATGCAGACTTGATACAGTCAATATGCAAGACAGAATACAGCGACTTTGCTTGTGTCTGATGCATTGTTTAGCTATAACTTTGCATTCATTAGCTATTATTATATTAATTTCATATCCCCCTTCTGTGATTGGTTGAGAGCTGTTGTGGTTTTTATTCCCCTTTTTGAGTACAACAAAGCTTCTAGGTATGTTTTTCCTGTCCGTGTACAGCTATTACATGTACAGTTTCTGTCTGCATGGGCCAGTATAGCTGTCTGCATTTCTATTGGCAGCCTAAAGGATGTAAGTATAGATCATCCCTTAGATTCCCGTTGTTGAAATTCTGTTGTGTCCAGCAAACCATTGGCAATACTCAAGTGAGCTGCTGAAGTGCCCATACTTTGATTATTATTTATAAAGTGCCAGCAGATTCCGAAGCGCTGTACAGTGGCTGGACGAACAAACGCGTAATTGAAACCAGATGAGTTGGACGCACAGGAACAGAGGGGGTTGAGGGCCCTGCTCATTACGCAAACATTCTATAGCAGGGCTGCCCAATAGGTAGATCCCCAGATGTTGTAGAACTACAGCTGACATGATGCTTTGTCATTCCAAAGGCATGCAAAGCATCATGGGAGTTGTAGTTCTTCATCTAGGGATCTACGTATTGGGCAGCACTGTTTATAGGGGGTGGGGTAAAGTGACACTAAAGGTGTCTTATTGGGCATCACATTTTTTGATAAATAGTGTTGGTCCATTTGAATGTCACTGTTTCTTGTTTTGTCCCACAGTTATCCCTACAGTCTCTACAATGAATGTATTTCTACTGTCTTACTATTCTACGCTGTGTTTTATGGAAGTGGTCTGTTACCATCAACCTGCACTTTGTTTTTTAGATTTTTATCCATAACCCCCACACCAGAGGCCAGCGGGCTTCTTCCAACCGCCTGGTGCAGAGCAGCCAAGACTCTGACATCTCTCTATTAAACATTAACCAGACAGTCAGCTGTCTAACAACTGGGGTGTTGGATCCAAAGCTGGGCTGTGACTCGCTCATCGTGGGAACACAAACCAACCTTCTAGCGTATGATGTGCACAACAACTCTGACCTTTTCTATAAAGAGGTGTGTGTGTCCACGAATTATACTTAATATATTAGATGTTAAATAATGCACTAGTGGTGCAAGTATAAAATGTGATCATCAATGGGCTATTAAATAATTAGGATATTTTTAAGCAAATATGTATTTTTTTTTATTTTTTTTTTGCCTCCTGTGAGCGTCATGTGGACTTAATTTTGTCAGAGAAATCTAAATGTTAATTATCAGTGCTCCAGTAAGGTGCTGTGTTGTTTCGGCAGGAGCAACACCCACTGAAATACAATATATCGCCCATTTTATTTTTGACTCAAACTCCTTTTTCATAGAAATCAGCCATAATTCAGTTTATTGGGGACATCCATGATTATTCTTTCCATACGGAAAGGAATGTGTCTATTTCCAGGCTGTGTTGTAAAATATGCTAATAATTTGATGCTAATTTTATATGTGCATGTTTCTGGGTTCATTACAAACGAGTAGCCAGCTTTTAACACGGGCATTGGTGAGCTACAAGCAGTATTGGGCTGAGAATAAACGTGTCTCTCCTTTTCTAATGTGTGTAACTGAGAATATGGATCACCATCCAGTGTGGTGCTAATCTCTGTGCTTCATCTGTGTAGATTGTAGATGGAGCCAATGCTGTGGTGGTTGGGAAGCTGGGAGACGTTTCTTCCCCCCTCGCTCTCATCGGAGGAAACTGTGCCTTGCAAGGGTTTGATTGCAGTGGAAATGACTTGTTTTGGACGGTGAGCAAATAATCCTGAAAGGGGGGGGAACAATCTACTGTTTCCAACATGGGTATAGCATTGATCATTTTTTTTTTTTTTTTTTTAATTTTTATCCCAATTTTAATATTTTTGGGTAACTTTTGAAATGACTAGATTTTTGGCTACTTTTAAAAAATGATTTAATAGTTTTATATGTAATATATTTTTACGTATTATAATATTTTTTTATTTTTTTAAGTTTATCCAAAATTTTAAATGATTTGAAAAGCTTACCTAAAACTATAAAATCAAGGTCTTTATTAAGTATAAATAAAGGATACGGAGATCAGTAGAACAATGATATAGTAGTTTCAGATTTGAAAATATATATCTAGATCTAGAAATCGAATTAAAAAAAAAATGTTTGTGATATTTGTCAGGAATTCAAAGTGAATGGGTGGTTTCTGCACTCGAATCTTCTCACTTGCAGTTTAGCATGATGCTTCCAGACCTCATAGGAGATCCCATATAATAGTCTTAGTTTACAATTTACTACAGTTTAGTCTCAGTTTAGTCTCAGTTGAGTCTCAGTTGAGTCTCCGTTTACAGTCTGCAGTTTTCTATTCCTAATGCTATAGTGTTCATTTAACTTGCTTTTTATCTCCTGCTCTGTAAATTGAACTTTCATCACACAGGAAGCTCCTACAGTGTCTAGGAGGCTATTATCCGAGCAGGAGATAAGGAATTCTAGATTAAACAGACGATGCAATACAGGAACCTAGAATATCTAGGTTCATTTTCAGGAAGTGTTTAGGACAGCTGTGCAAGTCACATGCAGGGGGGTGTGACTATGGCTGTATGAACTAAGTAATTTACATCCTAAATGGTAGATAATTAAGCAGTGAGCCTGCAGGGGCAGTACTGCTGCATTAAGCTAAAGTTGTTTTGGTGCCTATAGTGTCCCTTTAAGCTGTATAAGACAGTCTGATTAATTTTTGCTTTAATTAATTGATACATGATTTATGTGCTAATCTTTTAATTACAATTTCACATTGAAACATAGATAAACAAGAACATTTGCCAGATATTCAACCAAAATAACATTTCGGGGGAATAATGCAAGGCCATGTAGGGTTATCAAACATACCAAAAGCGGTATCCAATACAGCAATATCCATAGGATGCTCAGCAAGGCAGGTGTGAGGTACAAGTTACAAGTGTCGGAAGCAGTGGGAAGAGGAAGGAAGTGAAGGCACAGCGTGTTTATTTCGGGTTCAAGTCAGCTGTGTAGAGCAAAAGTATCCAAGTCCCAAAAAGGATTGGTTGGTCTTTTTTATTTTATATGTGAACAGTGCTGTATTTGTTTTATTTTTATATATATATATATATATATATATATATATATATATATATATATATTCCAAGCTGTTGTATACAGCAAACACAGACTCAAAGGAATCCATGTTTAAAATGGAATGAGGCAAAAATGTGATTCTTTGTTAAACTCATTTACATATGCCCACCCAGAATCCTTTGCGATAGTAACATCACGGCAGATTTGTGATTTCTGTGGGAAAAGCAAGTCTTATGGCTTGACTGGTGTGCAGATTTTTGTTTAACATTGAGATATATATATATATATATATCTCTCTATATATATATATCTCTATCCGTCCAAGTCCTTGCACTCCAACTATAGCATTATTACCCGGTGCAAAAAAAGTCACTCTGAGAATTCCACTAGCATTTTCTTTATTCAAGTAAATCCAAGTCAACGTTTCAGCTCCTCATTGGAGCTTTCATCAGGACATATAAAATAAAGTTATGTGTATTTATTTTTGTCCAACCTTTAAATTGTTTGTTTTGGTAGGTTACTGGAGACAATGTGCGATCATTGGCACTATTTGACTTTGACGGGGATGGAAAGAATGAGGTAGGTTTGCTTTTACTTCACTTTGCTGACTACATTTTTCATCTTTGGGGAATTCACAAACCTTATGGGATGAATGATGCTCTTTTATGTATGTTGGAAAACACACTTATAAGTACACGGAATGGTATATGTTTTTAATAATGGTTGCATTGAACCCCCATCCCTCATCACAGAATAAATATCTTTTAACTTCTCTCCAGCAAACCAATTCTATTCTATATCATGTGTCCAACTCTAGTTTATAGTATAAAGGATATTGTACTGATATAGTAGATCCTAATAACGTAATGCTTTTGAAGTAAATTGCTTTAATTGTACTTATAACTATGCGTTATTAACCGTATAACGACTGTTAATTTACCCAATTTATCTTATTTCACGTAATGTTCATAATAAACGAACATACATACAATAAAGAAAAAAAGCATAGTAAGAAAGGGTATCTTGTGTGCTGGAGGTGTGTTATGATTGAGAGACGGAATCGCTAAGACTGTTTTTGGTATGATTGTTAAGGTTTGGTTGGTTAGAGACAATATTTCAAATTATTAAATTAAAGACTTAATCATACAGTAGTTTCATGCCCGATGAATTTGCTGGTAGATCAATTACTCGTAATGTAATACTCATACCACCTAGACCAGATTTTATTATATTTCGTAATGTTTCTTTTATTAAAGGTAACCGCTTTCTCCATTTGACCTTGGTAATTAATTTTGCTTATGATTTCGGTAAAGGTAGGAGTTTCTTTGCTCCTCCAATACCTAGAACTACAAATCTTTGTTGCCATCAAAATATGGACTATAAAAATTTTTTTGGAATCCAATAGACCGGTAAGATTTATATAACACTAAATATCCTTAAATAGTTGTGATACAAACTCCTTAATCAAATTAAATTTAGGACAGTCCCACCAGATATGTTTCAACGATCCAAAATCTTTATTGCATCTCCAACATCGGTTGGAGTATTGAGTTTACATAATCTGGGGGGAACCAAGTACCACCTATTAAGAATTTTATAAAAATGTTCTAATATGTTTATACAGTGTACTGATTTTTTTAAGATAACCAATGGATTTAATCCATAGTTGATAAGAAAAGGAGTTACCAAGGCCACTTTATAATAGTTTAAAAAATTCTTCAGGGACAGATTTATTAATAATCTGTCTAATTTTAGAAGGTTATTTTTTTTTTTTTTTTTTGTGATTGACCTAAAAAGAAGTATATCCATAGCGGACTGATCCACTAATTGGATATTTTTTTATTTATTTTTTATTTATTTTTTTAGAAAATTAACAATCCTTAGATTTGTAAATGTTTCCGCTTGAAACACATTCTGTGCAGCTACCCAGTTTGGGGGACACACTGTGCTGTGTCTTTTTAAAGAATCGGTGTAACTAACACTCTCTTTTCTTGATTGCAAAGATTTTGGTGCAGAGAGTACCCTGGTGCAGAATGTTCCTACTTTCCTTGCTTAAAATGGTTTTTGTCTGCAACAATTCGTATATGCAAGTCATAAGTCCCCTTGCTCAGGCACAGTAAATTAAGAGTTTTTACTTTGTCCTTTGTTGCCTCAATTTCATCCAACTTGTCTGGGCAGAATCTTGGCGTCTTACGCCCCCATGAACTAATGCAAATAGCTGCATATGGTCTGGTTCACAAAACTGGGTATAGACTGACCGCTGCCATGGTATGGCTCCTATCTGTTTATAGAGCATTTCCATATATCCTCTATGATGAGCGTAACTGTGACTAAGGAGACATTATTTATCCCCAAAACTCCTCCTGGACAGCAGTCTATCTAATCTATCTCATAAACTGGTCACTAACTGCTTGGCTGTCACTCGAAGAAACATTACTGAAGAGTACCATTAAATCGCTTTCATTCCTTGATTCAGATGTTCACTTCGTTCTGTCTGCTTTCTTACCCTTTGTATCTTTTGTTTTTTGACATCTATAAAAAGTGTTTCATTCTCTTCATTAGCTTCTTGTTGGATCCGAAGATTTTGACATTAGAGTCTTTAAAGAAGATGAAATAGTTGCTGAGATGAATGAGAGTGAGGTAAGAAACTTAGCAGCCTGTTAAATGTCATCATTTGTCCTGTGTGTCATTAAACAAGTTTTGTCATGCTCACAGATCAGCGTCTCTTTACAATATTGTTAAACTTGCTCTGATTTAAAATGGGGGAGTTTAGACAAGACTTAGTCTTAAGCAGCAGTTGATATCTGGCTTTCTTGTGGCCCCTTGAAGGACTAGATGATTAAAGAAGATGAATTTGCCCCAGGCTGCACACTCCCTGTTGCTTAATTATGGAGACCGTTTGAACTAATACAAGGATTATTAATAAAATGTGACATGGCGGAAAGTTAAAGGAACATTATAGCAGTAGGAAAACAAATGTGTTCTTAGTGCTGTAGTGTCCTAGTCCCTATATATATTAAGCCCCCCTCTTAACCTGTAAAAAATAATATTTAAAGAAATGTCTTACTTACCTTATTTTCAGCACCAATACTCACTCAGTACCGCCGTCCGCTCCTTCTCCAGTGATGTCATCCTGGAAACATGACTTCAACCATGATCAACCAACTCAATGCTTTTCACAGAGAAGCATTGGGGACAAGATGATGCATGTGTGGTTAGCACCATACAATCAAATGTTTCTCATAGGGAACCATTAAATTAAAAGCTTTCTTATGAGTTGCATTTAATTTTTTTTTTTTTTTTAATATAGTGAGGTTTTATTGATCCATCATGTGCAGATCATGGTCATTGTTTTAAAGTTTAACATACCTCACGTCACGCAGGATTGAGTCCATAAAAGGAAAAAGATAGGAGCACAAGAACAGTAACAGTCTCCTGGTGTCGGACATATATCTGTATCGGTGTGTTTAACCCTTCACTCAGAACTTTATTTCTACTAAACGGCCATTGTTTAGAGGGTGAAAACAACAGGGTCACTGCACCCAGACAGTGAATTACGACATTCATGCACGAAACATGGCTAAATCCTATCCAGATGAAAGGAGTATAATGTGAGCATGATGTGTGGAGTTCTTAAATTACACTTTCCCTTTCAGACTATAACATCTCTGTGCCCAATGAATGGCAGTCGTTTTGGGTACACATTATCCAATGGAACAGTTGGGGTCTATGATCGGGCGGTTCGGTCCTGGAGAATGAAAGTAAGTATGACTACAAGATGCATTTCTCAAAGCATAGACCCTTTGCACCAATTTAAAGGACACTGACCTAACCAATGATGACTATTACTAGGAGAATAACTATTTGCTGTTGCACAGATATAAACCACAAGCTTACATTGGCATCATATTTTTGTGGAGCATGTTAAACATAATTTATCATTAAAGTGTACTGTAATCTGAAAGGCTCAACAGATTCATTAAAATCATTCCTTTTAAATTATATATTTATTTTTTTTCCTATGCCTAAAAAAATAAATAAAAGCAGACAAGCAATAGCATATGAAAATAGAAGCACTCCCTTATTATTTGTCTTATACTCTCTTATTATATTGATCAAGATCTTAAAAGTATTCCGAGACCAGATTTGAAAGGTTTGGAATAAAGTAATGCTTTTAATGAAGTGTCTGCACATTTCTCCTTAGAGTACACTTTATTGTAATGAATCCTTGCATGACGTTGGTTTGTGTTTGGTAATAATATGGAATGGTTCTTCTCTGTCCTACTTGATATCATTTTACTGATTTTGTCTAAAGGTGCTCAGATATGCTTGCGAAGGCAATAGCACGGTAACTCTGTATTGAGGTATGATTTCCGTCTTGCTATTCTGCCTATAATTCAGACCTGTGTTTCTGTCTTCTCTCTTCACAGTCTAAGAATCTTGCCATGAGTATACATGCCTTTGACCTCAACTCAGATGGAGTCTGTGAGCTGGTCACTGGGTGGTCCAATGGAAAGGTGGGTGCTAGGTCAGCTTCTTCACACATTTAAAATTTTTCTTTTTTTGCATGGTTTAATTGCATCTTCGAAGTCATGTAAACCGTAATGTTGAGAAAAAGTTGCCTAGTCTTTTAAAACATACATTTTCTGTCCTTGAAGAGATGCCTAGCAGCTCCCTGCATCCTCTAAAGAATAACTGCACTGGGAAGAAATGAACAATCTGTAGATATCAAATGATCTCTGTGTTAGACGCGGATTGTGCGTGGAGAGAAATTGAGGGCTCTTATAGATCTCTCCAACAAGACAATGAAACCATTTAAAAATGTTAGGCAACCATCTTTAATATTACTGCATAAACAGCGTCTATGTTGCCTAAACAAAAACATATCATAAATCAGACTATACATAAGACACATGGTCACCCATTTAGACTGGAAAAAAATGAGATTTAGTCTAAGGCAAAGGAAAGGAAAGTTGGGAGGGTTTTTTTTTTTTTTTTTTTTACAGTGAGAACAATAAGGATGTGAAATTCTCTCCCTGAAGAGGTGGTTTTATCAGAGTCTCTACAGATGTTTAAGCAGCAACTGGATGAATGCTTGCAAAAACATGTTCAGGGATATCATTTTTTTTTTTTTTTGTATTTGACAATTTTTATTGTTTTTGCCATACGTAAACATAAATGCTGTGGGGATACAGAAGAGAAAGGGGAAGTAGGGAAGTCTCAGGACACATTATTCCATTTTCACACATCACAGTTCTGTGTAAGTAGGTACATATCATATTCCCTTACATCTATATCATAAAATCACATTATTTGCCGACGATGTGATGCTTACTCTAACCAAACCCGAAACATCCCTACTGACACTACAATCCGTAATACAGAGGTTCAGTAACTGCTCATACTATAAACTCAATGTTGCCAAAACCCAAGCCATGAGCTTCAACATCAGAAACCCAAGACTTTCAAACCTGCGAGCTGCCTTCACATATGACTGGAGACAAGACCACCTTACCTTTTTAGGAATAGCTCTAACACCACATACACACAAACTGTACCACGCTAATTATGAGAAACTCCTTCGGGAAATAAACAATCAACTGCAGAACTGGAGGGGGAAATATGTGTCGTGGATGGGTAGAATAGCAGCGGCAAAAATGATGGTGCTGCCCCGCTTACAATACCTCTTCAGGACCTTACAAATTGATCTTCCAAAACAATTCCTTAATAATGCCCAACGAGCTATAAATACGTTTATATGGGGTGGGAAAAAAGCCAGAACGGCAGCAGACATCTTATACAAACCTTTTATAAATGGAGGAATGGGGGTGCCGAATGTCTCACGATATTACGATGCGGCCATAATAAGCACACTAGTGCAAATGCACCATCACAAAAAACCACTAGCGTGGAACCAAATAGAAATGGTGCACACTGAGGGGCTATCACTACACACATTGGCCTGGATGCCAGCGGACAAAAGGCCACATTACAAAAAAATATGCCCAACTACGGCAACGACACTGAAAGTGTGGGACAATTTAGTTAAAAAACAACAACCTCGAGCGCGGATTTCCACAACCTTCCAAATCCAGGCATTAACTATCCTGATCCCAGGATTTGAATATAAAATATGGAACTCCCACGGGGTATTCTGCTTGTCACAGGTACTAGACAACGGACATATGATAGACTATGACACACTACATAGCAAGTACAATCTTCCATCTACAGCTTTCTTCTCATACCTACAATTGAAATCGTGGGTAAACAAACACTACGACATCACACAAATCCAGGGACACGTGCTCACAGAGATAGAACATTTATGTTTGGCAAAGAAACCACCACAACGACTACTATGCACCCTGTATAGCTTGATCGGGCCAAGCGACCATATAGAACAATTCAAATGTATTAAAGCATGGGAAAAAGAACTTGAACAAACACTGACACCTGAAGACTGGTTACAAACACAGAGGGCACACAAAACACTGACACTGAACACAGCACATATTGAAATCAGTAGGAAAATACTATATCGTTGGTACATGGTGCCAACCAAGATCCACAAAATAGACCGCACAAAACTAGACACCTGCTGGAGATGTGGTGCAGCGCCAGGCAATATGACACGTATTTGGTGGGCATGCCCGAAACTAACCACCTTTTGGTCTGAAATAAGGGATATCATTTTTAATTTGTGGGGTAACAGCTTCTTGAGCCAAGTAGAGATCTGACTGCCATTCTGAGGTCAAGAAGGAATTTATCCCTAATTTGTTGTTTTTTTTTTTTTTGTTTTTTTTTGGAAGCGCTTCAGACTGGGTTTTTGCCTTCTTTTGGATCAACAGCAAAAACAAATGTGAGGAAGGCTGAACTTGATGTCCGCAAGTCTCTTTTCAGCTATGTAACTAGTTAACTAATTGATATTTCCTTTAGTTTTTATTCTGGTTTCCAGAGAAAGCAGATTTGTAAGAGGATATTCTCTGTTCCATATAAAGCTGGTAAATATCAGTTTGGTACAGAGATTGTTCTGTACAGCCATGGCTCTCATGCTCTTATATATACAATAAACATGTATTGTGAATATGTGTAGAATTTATACTTTTTTTTTTGCAGATTGATGCCCGTACAGATCGTACAGGGGAGGTGATCTTTAAAGACACCTTCTCATCCTCAATAGCAGGGGTGGTGGAAGGTGATTATCGTATGGATGGAAAGACACAGTTGATCTGTTGCTCCATCGATGGCGAAGGTGAGCATTAAAAGAATAACGAATGGTTGAATCAGATCAAAATATTGCACTAAGCTGTGTGTAAATCTCCTCCATTGGCCACCATGTAGCAGTTCCTGGGAATGCAAAAGGGCAAATGCTTTCTATTTCTATACAAATGAATTGTATTAATGGTTATTGATGTATTTTATTTTAAATCTAAGCTTTATCAAGTCTTAAGGAGAAATGAAAATTGAGGTAAATAGCAGTAGTAGTGCATTTAAAAAAAAAAAAAAAAAAAATGTAATATTTATTTTTTAGTCACTCATGACTTTCAGGTAAAGCACAAGAGCATTCCACTAATTTTATAGAAGTATTGCTGTTCATGTGTAAGAGAGGATAAATTCGGGGGCGGAGCCTGACTGTGGCGCTGAGCAGACACACTATCTGTGAGCTCCCGAGTCTGGGCCCGATTATCGGCTGTAATAGTGGGCAAATCGCCTCATCTTGAACCCCAACCTACCGCATCTTGCTACACAGAAGCTGGTGAATCGGGGGATACATCGCATACCCAAAATGCCCGCTGAATTGCCTGGGCTGGGGCCTACCTTACGCAGAGCAGGGGAGAGGCAGCCGCTCTCCCGGCCCATCAACGCACCATCCAAGGTACTCACCTCTCAGGGGTTATCCCGGTCCCAATTGTCCCAATCCGCATACCTCAGTGGACTCCAAACGCTGGCACGAGCCCCATTCATGTACCATACCTGCAGGCCACTCGCCACTCTAAAATGGCGGACGCGCAGTCCAACGGGGTCTCTGTGCCTCCGGAGTAAGCCTGGGCTGGGGCCTACCCTACGCAGAGCAGGGGAGAGGCAGCCGCTCTCCCGGCCCATCAACGCACCGTCCAAGGTACTCACCTCTCAGGGGTTATCCCGGTCCCAATTGTCCCAATCCGCATACCTCAGTGGACTCCAAACGCTGGCACGAGCCCCAGTCATGTACCATACCTGCAGGCCACTCGCCACTCTAAAATGGCGGACGTGCAGTCCAAAGGGGTCTCTGTGCCTCCGGAGTACCGTTACAGCACAAACGAGCCTCTAATCGCCTGCTGGAACAAGTTGTTTGATAACTTCTGGGCACGGATTGAAGCTCGACACGCTGTTCCACAGACGCAGCTGCAGGAGAGCTGGAGCACACAAGGAAACCAGAGCGGCGGCAGCCGGAGAGGGTCTGGGACACCCTCTGGCACCACCTCGACTAAGCAGTCCGCAACTCTCCACACTAGCCCATCTGGGTCAAAGGCCATCAGGGGAACAACCCCGGCGCATCTTCCACGCAGGCGGAGGCCTACCCACCGCTGGCGGCGCAACAACACCAAAGCCCCCAGACCTGTCCCAGCAGGGAAAGACCTGGCTACATGATGCTGGCCTTACAGCAGACCTGGAGCTGGAGGGAAGAACAGGCTTGCTCCTGGCTGTCTGCCAACACCAGCAATTACCCAGTGCTGCCGGAACAGATTCTCCCTGGAAGAATAGGGTGACCCACTAGCCCACGGGCGTTCCCCCACATCCATAAAAGGATGCTACCCAGTCATACATGGACGCTGGCTATATATGTCCTGATGCCTCACATTGAGACAGTTCTCACTTTTCTCTGCATGTGTTTACTTATATTGCATTGGTCCTTCTTAATCTGCTGACTATGATATAACTTAGCCAGCCATCACGTCCCTCAGGCCGTGATGTCTCTGTATAAGCTACCACCTATACATCTGTCTTCTACAGCATACGACACTTAGGGTTAATCCAGCTATGAATAGCAATTGGCATAACCGTGATACCTAGCTCGCAACCTATAACTTGCATTCTGTAACGTCCTCTGTCGATATCACACAACCCCAATGTAACTACCGCTAGATAACCCATCTCTATTCCTTCAGCAATATCGGTTATGCGTGTTTATACTATGTCCACGGAGATACGCTTACCGTTCTCTATACATGTTTTAAGCTTACTTACTCAAATCTGAACGCACACATGTCCTCTTAATCCTGAAACCCAACTCTTTAATTCGAGACATGTCAGAAAGTTTAAGCCAGTTTATAATATAAAAGTGTGAAATTGTTTTTAATGCCATTGTTTCGCTTGTTTGTCAATGCGTACGCTGTTGTGGCATTTTGAAGCTGATTTGTACTCACCTGCACAACATAAATAAAAAAATTTAAAATAGAGAGGATAAATTCCTACACTCCTGTAAAATCATGTGGTCCGAAGATTAAGTTGGCAACTTTTAGCTGGGCGTCTACAACTTTTGGTGATGTGTTGGGCACTGGAGTCTAGTCTTTTTAACGATGAGCTGTAGAAGTATTTTAAGCCTAGCACAGAACACTAGCTGATACTCATGCAGATGAGCTTTTACTTTATTTTATTTTTATAGATATATTGTTTTTATTCTTTGATCAATATATCCTGCTAAAATTCAGTTCTCCATTTTCCTAAATTTCCATGAGTTCCAACTTGAGTTGTGTCCACACTACAGGCAAAGTTAATGCCGACTAGCTAATGATTGCTGCGTGCCTTTTCAGAAATGTTTTAAAAAAAAAAATTATTATTATTATTATTATAGATTATTTTTTTTTGTGTTGTCAGAGTAAAATTCTAATAATATATATAAAAATGAAACATTGAGATGATATTTATTTGGCTACAGTAGCATCTTACTTTATGAAATGTTATGTTTCCTCTCCATCACAGTTCGAGGCTACCTTCCCTCTAGTCAGCAAGCTACAGGAAGTCTCATGGATACAAGTGTTGAGCAGGAATTAGTTCGAGAACTAAGTCAAAAGAAGCAGAATCTATTGCTGGAACTGAAAAACTACCAAGAGAATTCAAAGGTAGTTAGATCTGTGTCACGACTGTTGCTAAGAAAATTATGATGAACAACAGTCAAAGTACAGCTGGTTGTAGTGGTTATGGTATCAGAAGTACACTTCCTCCTCCATTGTAAGTTGTCAGATCATTTTAGGGCGTTTTGACTTCTTACCTGGGGTCTGCTGAGTTCCGCTCATTGACCGAAAGCGATCAGCTGACTGCATTGCAAGGCTTCATTCAGGAGCGCTAATGGAAGCCTGTGCTTCGAAGCTTCTGCCTGTCCATCGTCCGTAATGAAGGGAGCAGTTTGACTACTTGACTACTTACTATAGGGCACTCCTGGCAACATAACCACCTTTGTGTGCTTGTTTTAAAGGAACACCCAAGACACATAAAAGACACGAACTTGCGGAGGTGCTTCATGTTTGTGGAGCCTGTCATTTTTTTTACAGTTTATAAAATTTCAATTGAAAGCACTTTTATAACTAGGGGCAGAAATACCTCCCTGGCTGTCACTAACACAACCAGTGAGGTTTTCTTACGCTTCCATTTGCTCCACAGAGCGAACAGAAATGGCAGATGTGCTCGGTAGAGGATGCCTGCCTTCCTCCTTTTCCTTAATGAGCTACGGCTTGAGCACAGAGGTTTCTTAATGAGTCTGAAACCATGTGTTGGGGAAAGAAGGGAGGGCTTACAAAGGCTGCAGACAGCAGGTCTGCAGATTTTTCAAACTTTTTTTTTTTTTTTTATTTACCTCCAAAGAAAATGTGCAGTAAAAATACATGTATGTTTTCTTTTTGGGTATATCCACTAAATGATAAATAAAATTGCAATTGAGTGTACCTTTAAATTTAATCTTTTTTTGGACAACATTGCGCAAGACTTGTGTATCCCCCACAATCGCACTGAATGACCCATGGGTGACACTTGTTTCTTCCTTGTAGAGGTCAAAAGCTGTAAGGTTCTTTATTAACTTCTTTTTACTCTGACCAATATTGTAAAATTTACATATTGTACTTCATAATTGCTATTTGATTTGCTAAGGTAGATACACTTTGATATATGTATTTACCAGGTGACTTTTTTCATTAATACTGTCTTCCATATTGTGTTGTCATTCTTGAGCAGGCAGATTCACGGGTTCAAGTGAATGAGCATGATGGTCAGATGGGTGTTATTCCGGCAAACACCCAGTTACAGACTGCTTTGTCTGTGAATATGGGCTCTGAAACGCAGTCTGCACATGTTGAACTGAGCATCTCAACATCGAATGGTGAGCAGCAATGATCTATCATACCTCCCCACAAAACATAATCTGCTGTATATGTGTATACTGGGTCATTCTATTAACTTCCCTTATACCAATACTGCCTATCCTGTATGCCCATTCAGATTCTAATTCTGACCAAGTATTGAATTAACTGAGCATATTTTGCTTCTAGATCTCGGTCTGCTGAAATGGGAATTCTAGGCTGATCGTGCCCCCATTTTTTTTTTTTTCTCCTGTTAGTTTTTAAATAGTACATTGAAGCTATATATATATATATATATATATATATATATATATATATATATATATATATAATAATAAAATAAACTCTATTTAAATGTTCTATCCTCACACATGTTGTAATCAGTTTTGCGCTTTGCCCACTCCAAGCAGTTTGGTCAATCAGCAGCCTCTCATTCTGTTTTATCTGCACACTCCATGTTCAAACACAGAGTTTCTGGGGCTTGTAGCTCAGTTGTCTATTTTGTACTGAGAGAGCTTTTTTCAGCTTTAGTTCAGCTTTGCTTCATGATCAACTGTTTATTGGACACTGCAGGTTATTGCAGGTTAGGAGAGACATGTACAGCTGCGTTACTGGGCCCTGCAGGTTAGGAGAGACGTGTACAGCTGCGTTACTGGGCACTGCAGGTTATTGCAGGTTAGGAGAGACTTGTACAGCTGAGTTACTGGGCACTGCAGGTTATTGCAGGTTAGGAGGGACAGGCGCAGCTGAGTTACTGGGCACTGCAGGTTATTGCAGAATAGGAGGGACATGCACAGCTGCGTTACTGGGCACTGCAGGTTAGGAGAGACGTGTACAGCTGAGTTACTGGGCACTGCAGGTTATTGCAGGTTAGGAGGGACAGGCACAGCTGAGTTACTGGGCACTGCAGGTTATTGCAGGATAGGAGGGACATGCACAGCTGAGTTACTGGACACTGCAGGTTAGAAGGGAGGAACAAAAATAGAGCTCTCTTTGAAGATACAAGAACCAGCAAGAAGGAAATATATTAGAGTGGTGGAATAGAGGAGTTGAGTTTAAGGTTAACAATGCTTCCCCTCCCCAAAATCTATACAATATTTGCCATCTATAAAATACAGCTAATTATTTAAGACAAAATCTATAAAATGCAGGAAAGTTGTATTGGTGCATGGAGTGTCTATTTACATTGAAAATGCATTTGCTGTGGGATGTATACACATTGTGTGGCCTGTTCTGTCCAGTAACCAGCCCAAGTGGTTTTATTAAATGACAATTTAGATACAATCATCCGAGCTGTGCAGATCTTTGCAGAAGGCATATTTGAAGGGGAAAGCCATGTTGTCCATCCCAGTTCCCAGCAACTAACAGGCCGGATTCACATTCCCATCTGTCCACCTAAGGATGTGCCTGTGGATATGCACATCAAAGCCTTTGTGGGATACAGAAGCAGGTAGGAAAAATACAGTCATTTTTATATGATTTATAATGTTGTATATGAAGAGGCTTTTGGAATTAAAGGGACCCTATAGGCAATGTAACCATTTAAATGCATCTCATTGAATTGGTTATAGTGCCTGGTGTCCCCTGGCACTGTTCCTCTATTCAGAGTTTAACACTGAATGAGAATCTGTGGCCTCTGCTGGAGGTATACCTAAAGCAGAAATTACACTCCTTCGTACCAATTCATTCCAGCAATGTAGGCTGTGATAGGCTGAAAGCGGTCAGCTGACACACTGCTGCCTGGGCCAATGAGAGGCAGTACAAAAGGGATGGGAACTGTGAATTCTCACTTGGCATTGACACATTTAAAAACCGTTTAACAGTGAATGGAAGGACTCCAGAGGACTCCAGACACTGATATGAAGCAGTTACAGTGCCTACAGTGTCACTTTAAATAAACACTCCAAGCAACATAACCTCTAAACACTTTCTAATGGTTATGGTGCCACGAGTACCAACGTGGTCAAACCAGTTTAGAATGGTTTGACTTCTTTCCTGGAGTCCGCTAGGTGCAGCTACCCCCTTCCACTACCTCCTCCAGATAGCCAGAAGCTTCTGCGAAGTAGCCTCCATTATCTCTCCCATGCTAATCCCTGCAGGGCAGCTCAGACAGAGAGCTCCCAGCCCTCTGGATAAGGTAATGGAGGTGGTAAGTGGTGGGTACCAGGTCACTCCATAATTACTATCATTTGTTGCAGTGGTTATGGTGCTTTAAAAGCTTGAAAATCAAAAAAACATGTTGACCACTATAGATTCTATATTTGCTGCCTATATAAACTGCATTATTCAGTCTGTTATACTAAAAGATAAGTGGGTGTTATCCACAACGGATAGGCTGCATTGATCTATCGATGAAAACAGATGTGCTCCCAAGTCCCAACATGCCATATAGTGCAAAATAATTTAACCCTCACAGCAGCATATGCACGGGCACTGGAAGAAATCCCAAAGTGTGTATGGGCTCATAAGGAATTTGCTCAGCACATGCCCATAAGCACACCTAGAGTATCAGGACAATTGTGACACTCGGGATATAAAATTGCTGGAGAGGTGGGTGTGTTTGATACTTGCATCCACCGCACCACACACCTGTATTCACTTCAGTATTCTGTAGTGGGCAGAGGGACTGAGATAGTGATCGTTCCACATTGAAGAAACACAAGATAGTGTGTGATGATTGCTTCTTCCTTTTAAACATCAGGCACATTTTCTTCACTCTAGTATACAGTTCCACGTCTTTGAACTGACACGTCAGCTGCCACGTTTCTCAATGTACGTGCAAAGTAACACTGCTTCTGCACCGGAGCCTTCCAGCTTTGTGACTTTCACCATTAGTGAACGTGTTCAGAGGGTGAGTAGTACCCAAAGTCTGGCTTATCCCCAGCGTGTTCATTTAATCCACTGATTATACGTGAATCCTTCAATTTATTTCTGTTTTTTCTTTTTGTTTTGTTTTTTCAAGGTTGTTCTTTGGATCAATCAAAACTTCCTGCTTCCCGAAGAGACCGAGACACAGAGCACTCCATTCCAGATCAGCTTTACATCTCTACGAGATGGAGGAACCCTCTTGATCACCATGAAATCCAATGGAGAGGTAACATGCCCTGTTGAATACTCTCTGCTCATCAGGGTTGTATAAAATCGTTCTGACAAATAATCCATGATTCATGATCCTTACCCAGGCCAGAAAATGTTACCTTTAAAAATGCTGTGAGCATAGTAGGGTTTTGGTGAACTTTATCCTTTTTCGCCTTCCCGATACGCCTCTCAGGAACATTTTAAAAATGATTCTGTAAATAACCTCATGGGCATCTAATAATTCTTTTGTTTTTTGTCTGTGTTCTCTCTCCCATTAGATCACCGTAAGGACAGATGACATGGATTTAGCTGGTGAAATCATCCAGTCTTTGGCTGCATTTTTAGCCATAGAGGACCTGCAGGTGGAAGCAAATTTTCCAAAATATTTTGAGCAGCTCCGTAAGGTGCTGGGGCAGGTGAGTTGAAGAAGAATCTTGTTAAATAATAAGTATTGTTTCTATGTATTGGATAGACATGTATTGGTTTATGTTGGTATGCTTTAGGATGCAATGGGCAACCTCTTGCATGATCAAGTTATTTTTACAGATCGCTAATTGTATGTTCCTGGCAGGTGGATGATTCTCACTCTGTGCACCAGAAGCTAACTGCAGACATGGCGGAACAGTCCAACCTGATCCGAAGCATGTTGGTGCAGGCAGAGGATGCTCGTCTGATGAGAGACATGTAAGTAACTGCTTTGAAGCTTGATACTTAGTGATATCCAATTATATGCATATGTGGCCACATACTTTTCTCAAGGTGAGGAAAACAATGAGAAAATTAAAGGGATTAGCCCTTGACTGGAAGGAACATTCTGTTTGACTCTGCACTCTATGAAGAAGCCACGCAAAGCAATCTGCAGCTAGAGGGACATTCAGCATCTGTTTTACCTCCATCTACATTGTCATTCCATTGCTAATTTATCATTTCAAAATAAAATTAAAAATTTAAAATACTAAAAGAGCGATTATTAACAAGTTTCTCACAGAACCATATTATGAGCCTGGTGACCTATTCTTTAATTGTAAAAATAGTTTATTTGCAATATAAGTTGTACTAAACATCGCTTCTGACTAAGGTGTTAAGATATGTGTTGGTAGAAGTAGGTGCAAAATTGTGATGTCATATCCCAGTACCGCAGTTTATAGACTAGAACTAGATCTCTCCCTGGCACTTAGAGACTGCCCACTCTTCAGCCGCAGCGATAATGGAAATAATTCACTTCCACGTTATGTGCGATTCTTTCCAATCAGGATCGGAATAAAAGCCTATTGTTGCAGTCAAACCTGCATGGAAGTGTAATTTTGCATTATCAGTGAGACTCTTGAGGAAGCAGCCTATAGCTGCTGTAGTGGTTTTGGTGCCCCTTTAAAATGTTTATAGATTTTATAGTGCCCTGGTCCCGCTTTGTACTGTATTTTAATAATATCTCCCACAGAAAGAATATGAAGAAACGGTACACCGAGCTCTATGACCTCAACAGAGATATTATAAATTCCTACAAGATCCGTTGCAACAATCACAGTGAGCTGATAAATAATCTAAAATTCGTCAACCAGGCAATCCAGCGTGCAGGACGGCTGCGGAGTAAGTGCACAATGGATTATTACTACTAAATGACCCATTCAATCAATGCTTTCATTTAGCTGGTGCTTAATTCTGTACACAGAGTTTAATTGTTGATTTAAGTGCTCCAATGACTGCATAATTCTGTGTGTGTGTGAATATGTTTGTATATGAACACTAAATAGGAAAGAAGGGAACTTTTGTTTTTGAATTAACACAAACATTTAGTAAATGTTTGTGTAACACAAGAACAATACATACAATAGGTGGATCACACTCCTAGAAATATCTAAAAGAGAATAAAAAAAAAACCAATATAGTGTAATATTGTCAGTAAATGGAAATCCAAATAAGTGTAGAGATCAGGTACTCACAAACCAAGAGCCAAACATGTACATGTGGCTCTCATGGGAACAGCACTGGGACCATTAGTTAGGATGTCCCTTTCCTTCTTGGAATCTTCTGGTAGCAAATATAAATGACTGTAAACACTTACTACTTCAGTAAAGTGTTTATTGATCCAAAAGTAAAACAGGAATGGAGACAAAAGGAATAACTCCAATAAAATGCATAAAAATAGTAATATAGTAAAAGAGTCCAAAACAGGAGTCTCTGTAAATCCGAAACGCGTTTCGCCCTGTACCAGGGGCTTTCTCAGTCGGTAGTATGGGTCTCTTCTTCCTTGGCGTCTTTTTATGTGAATGGGATGGCCGGCTCCTATCTGTGGAACGCATATCGCCGAGGTGGAACGCACTTCCGGCACCGCCGCGCGCCATATCCGGGTTGTGAGGTCTTTCCGGTGAAGACGCCGGCCTGACTTCCGGCGTAATTGTTCTTGTGTTTATATTTGAGTGGTATAAGGGGTTTCCTGCTCAGGTGATAGATCACACCCATATTGTCCTCACTGTATACATTGCACTTTCTTTATTAATGTTTGTGTAACACCTACAGGGGTTAATTTAGTAAACTCTAAATTGTAGTAAACATGGTATAAAACATTTGCAAATCAATAAAGAATTAATTCTTGCCAAGATGCCCAGCATTTGTTATCCCGGTAGGTTGGTTAAACTCTGAGCTCAGTAAACTTCATGAGAGTTTATGGTAATGTTTTGTCTCTGCAGTTGGAAAGCATAAAGTCCAGGTGATCACCGCTTGCCGAGATGCAATTCGAAGCAACAACATCAATGCCTTGTTTAGAATTATGCGAGTCGGGGCCACCCCCTCCTAGCACCGTTCATCCATGGCTTGTGACAAACCATGTGCTTTGGACACACATGAACCAAAGGATTGTGAGTTCTTCCTTCACAACAAATCAGCCTCACCTTAGGATTACTACGGGATCTGGATGTCTCAGTCCCCTGTCATCGTGTCTAGTCTTTTAATCAGAGGAGCTGAGTAAGCCTGTGTAGTTTAAAGAATGTGAACAGTTTAACTCATGTACTATGGGTGTGTATAGTTGGTGTTATTTGGAACACTTTAAAACAATATTTTTTTTGTTTTTTCAATATCTACTTTTTCACATCCTGCCAGAGTAACTAACTTTTTAAATTTTGTCAATAAATTGTAGATACAATTGCCTACATAAGGAAGAAAGTTTAGACGTCATAAAGAAATACATATAGTTATAATATTTTAAAAAAAATACAAACCCTCTCCCCCACAATAGGACAGTGCAGATTTTTAATGGAGGATAGAGGATGCTTCCTGCAGTCAAGTGAGCATAATATCACCAAAATATTACCTTAATGCAACAGACTTGATGTGCGCTGATTTTTAAGGTCCTATGTGCATATTACTTCCTTTCTACTTTGACTAATGCATTACTGTGCAGTTCTCGGGGGTAGAGAAAGGCAGTGTCTCCTTGTGCTCTGGGCAGTGTATGGCATCATAGGAGTACCACCAGCAAACTCCCCTTACCGACACCTGGCAGTGATGCAGCAATGAGGGTTCTCCGATGTTCTGCTGTTTTGAAAAGTTAGGAAAATTGAAAATAATATACAGCACTTGGTAACAATATCAAAGGAAAGTAAAGCTGCAAAAGCTGTACACAGTTAGCACAATATATAGACCTAAAAAAAAGAAATGTCGTTAAAGTATGTCATATTATTCTTTCATGAATGGTGCACTTTGATGTTTAATTATTTATTTGATACTGCTGGTATTTTTCATTAAAAGAGCCTGTATTTGACAATACCCTTTCTTGTATCTACTTTTTATTTGTTTTATTTTTATTTTTAAACCTATTTATTGAAAAAAAAGAAGAGGAACATAAAAATATATATTGTAACTTTTGTAATCATGGAATTATGTTGGAGAATGCCATAGCGATTTGTGTCTGTAGCAGAAGGAACAGGTAACACCTGACTTTTTAAATCAAGAATTAGCAGCCTGACACTTGAAATGTTTCCATCAAGAGTCCCCAACGGAACCAAACATGTGCGATGCTTCTGAGCCTCTACAGGTATGTCTGTTGTTCAAAGGTTTAATGCATCTTGTTTTTAGTGGCATTTCAAAAACAGATCAAAGGGTATTGAAAGCATAATGATGGGCAACAATTAATCTCCAAGACAAGCCATGACAATGGAAGTCATTCGGTGTTCATATACAGCAAAGCTTGAACTGCAGAATCTATTTGTTGGAGGATTAAATCTTGGAAAAGAAATGTGGGAAGAGAATAAGGACCTGTCTCTCACATGTTGGAATGTTGTACTTGTATTACTGCCCTCTTAAAGGAACACTCTGGCACCATTACCACTTTATCTCAGTAAGGTTGTTATGGAGCCTGGAGGTTCTGGGTGTTGCCTTTTGTTAAGGTGTTAAGAAGTTTATGAGCAGACTGGGTCTTAAAAGAACACTGCAAAGTTTTGTGTTGGTTATGGTGGCAGGAGTGCCCTAGTGCCTCCCTCAGAGTAGAGCCGGAGCCAGAAACTTCTGCTCTGAGCTAATCCCATCAGCATGGTTTTTCGCTTTGGCTGAGAGTGCTTAGTTGATGCTCCCAGCCAATGAGCCGGCCTTGCAAGGCAGATCTTAGTTTAGTGGAGCTTACTTAAAGGATAAATTTAACCCTTTGGAGGAGGGGGACCTTTCCGTTGTAAAATGCCCTATTGGGAACTAAGGAGAAGGTCCCCCTCCTCCGCTTTCAGTAAAAGCTGTAAAAAAAGCATTTTACTTACCTTGACTCCAGCGCTGGGCAAAGCTCCCAGGTGCTGATCTTCCAGGCCTCATTTGACTTTACTAGGGCAGTGCGCTGTCCAATCACAGACTTCAAAAGACCTAAATATGCTCAGAATTGACATTAAGCAGCCCGGCACCGAATTCAGGGCTGCCAATGTCATGTGTGCTGGGGGTGTAATGTTCCCACAGCACACAAGTGCAAATATCTCTGTATGTGCAGTATTTCAGTCTGAAACCTTGTACATACCAACTCCTACCACTATGACCACTTCAAATCACTGAAATGATCATAGTGGTTGACATAACCCTTTAAGCTTCTTGCAGGAGCTTACTGCTCCAGGAGAGGAAGTGAGCGGTAAATTGTCAAACCAAAGTTCACAAATCAATTGACTACTTGGCCTGTGAGGGCATCAGAGCACTCCTGGTACCATAACCATTACAGCTACAGCGGGCCATAGTAGTTCTGGTGCTTGGAATATTGATATGTGGGTAGTGGAAGATCCATTGGTCTGTGTGGGTCAGTTGTGTTGGACACTGGTAAATTAAACAAAGGATTGCTAGTAATCTAAAACCCAGCATTAGCTTGAATATCACTATCAGAGGGAATTTTATGTATGGACATAGCTGCATTTCACTTACCATTTGTTAAACTTTACAACACACTGTTGCCCCCTGTAGAAATCCAGTTTATTTACATGTTATTTCTGCCAGTTATTAGATTGAAGATACTAAGCAAAATCAGAGTGCTATGTGGAGCACCTACAGGGTTGGCAGTACTTGATTGTGAGGTTGCCGTGCTTCCATTTTATGTTGTTTTTTGAATTTTATTTAATTTTTTTAAATCTATTTTGCCGATTTACACTGTATGCTGGAATTTTCCTCCCTTTCTATGTATTATTGTGAATAACATGAATTATTCCCAGCTACTGCGATTGTTTCCTTTTTAGTGTGATCACATGTACACTGTGTTGTGTAAGGCACAGACACATTGTGTGAATTTAAAAGGCAAAGCACATCTTATATTTACTATTATATGATATTCCACATAATACGTAGACGCTAACAGGGCTGAACGGCCTTAACGCAGTCAGATTTGTATTTTGTAATATGGAGTAGTTGTAGAATTGAAAGCTCGGTAATGGTTTGCAGTAATGTTACTGCCACTTGGCTAAATGTCAGGACTGTTCATTGTAATAGGTTGTAGCACAAACTTACTGAAAGCAGTAACATGTTATCAGGAAGCCCTCGTGTGTAGGGAGGCGTAAAATGACTTAATGGGCCTTGATGTTACAATTTTGATGAGCCTAAATGCTGAATTTATATTTTTATAGTCATAGTGGGTATTGCCTATAGGTGTGACATATAGAATATCAAACACTGATCCATGTGACCTCTGGATTCTCCTTCCTGTGTGATTCCAATGTCTGAGATCTGGCTTAGAAGCTGCACACATTTGAAGAAGCCCAGCAATTCTCAGTTTAGCATTTTTCTTCCAGTTGTTTTTTTTCACTTGGTTATTGGCTCCTATTTAACCAAACTTCCTAGATTGCTATTTTGCTTTCCTCAGAGCTCTGTGATTTCTGCTTTGAGATTCCCAGTACATCACAGAGACAGTATTATGGAAAGATAACCAACGGATAAAAGTTTTGCAGCTAAATTACCCATTGTAGAATATCGGCATAAACATCCTAACTGTAAATTTGTAAATAATCTGACCGATTCATGCATAACAATCATGCATTAACTTGTATAATACTAGCCATCTCAAACATCATCAACGCAACCTATTATCAAACATTCATGCAGTGCTTTAGCCTGTATATGAACCTCATAACTGTTGTCATGGAAACCTATAATCAAACTTCCATTAACTACTGCGTCATGTTGCATAATATCAACCTCTAACGGTTATCACGGCAATGTATGTAATAAATACATTTCTGCGCACTGCAGCATTTACTTGTATAATACTAACCCCTGCCAACTGTTGTCTAGGCAACCTATATCAAATTTCAATGCAACATCGCATTAGCTTGTAGAATACTAACCACTCACTGTCAAATGCTATCATGCAGTACAGCATTAGCTTGTATATCTACCACTGTAACCATTACCATGGCAACCTATATCAACAAACTTGAAGGAAAGGAAAATATTTCAATTTTTAAAGAGTGAATTGCTCTTGCGTAAATCTAGATATAAAAGTAACAAAAAATAGTTTTAAAAGGCAAAGTAATAAGAATATAATTAACTCATTAGAGGAAAACTATAGTGTTAGGAATACAAGCATGTATTCCTAACGCTATAGTGTCCTAGTCACTATTTAGATTCATGCGCCCCCCCCCCCCACCCTACCCCACCACCTTAAATTAAATGTAAGGATTTTACTAACTGGTTAAGAGTCTGACTCGGTTGTAGCAGCGGAAGCACCCTCTAGTGGGTGTATGGAAAACAGTCACTAGAAGTATGTTTTAGCCCTGGAATGTATACATTGCCATTTCTACAAAACAGCTATGTTTTTACATTGCAAAATCAAAAATACAGGGCCCTTTCACACATACCACTTTATTAAGATTAATTGATCTGGGTGCTAATATTGGTCCTTTAAACCATCTATTCCCCAATTTAGATGTGTTATCTAATCCAGCTGTTTATTTCAAGGCTAAGGCACAGGTGACTTAAGAATTAATTACAAGTGTTTCAGAAGTCATAAAACATTCATTTTCCACCAGCCAATCCTGTAAGTATTACATTCCTCCTCCAATTACATAAATTTCACACAAATCTGCAACATTCCCAAAACCATCACCCTTTAATTTTTATAGTAAATGCTTATTTTTTCTTACGGTCTAGTCTTAAAGGGACACTATAGTCACCAGAATAACTACAGCTTATTGAATTTGTTCTGGTGTGTAGAATCATTCCCTTCAGGCTTTTTGCTGGAAACACTGTCTTTTCAGAGAAAATGCAGTGTTTACATTACAGCCTAATAACTCACTGGCCACTCCTCAGATGGCTGTTAGAGATCCTTCCGGGGTCATGGCTGCCTAAAATGCATCCAAACATTCAGTATCTCCTCCCTCTGCATGCAGACACTGAACTTTCCTCATAGAGATACATTGATTCAGTTAATCTCTATGAGGAGATGCTGATTGGCTAGGGCTGTGTTTGAATCATGCTGGCCCTGCCTCTTTGTCAGCCTCAGCCAATCCTATGGGGAAGCATTGCAATTGGATCAGGCTACCACTTCTGATGATGTCAGCAGATTGCTTGATTGCTTTTCTGAGTCTAACAGCATGCAGAGTTACAGCTTCAGGCTTGAATACAGTAAGATTTTTAGTATATTTATGGAGGCATGAGGGGCCCAAATGGTGGTTTTAATACTATAGGATCAGGAATACATGTTTGTGTTCCTGACCCTATAGTGATCCTTTAATAATGGGACAATCAAACAGCTGGGGATATTCACTTCCTACTTCCGTTAGCTCTATTGAGCTAACGGAAGTAGCAGGCACGTTATACTAGATTGTGCCTGCCATCCCACTTTTCCTGTATTGTTTTTTTTAATGTTATTTTGGCACCTGCACGCGTTTGTATGTGTGCGGGACCGTTAGCCCTCCAGGTTGCAACCTCCTAGATGGCCAGCCCGCACTCATTCCTCCTGCATGCTCCAAGCACATCCTCCGGATTGCTGCTGAACAGACTCTCTGCTCTCCCTCCTGCAGTCTGTGAGTTAGAAAGCTATAGAGGAAAAAATGATAGATGTATATAGGTTGTAAAGAGAGAAAGATATAGATGGAGAGAGATATATATATATATATATATATATATATATATATATATATATATATATATATATATATATATATATATATATATATATATATATATATATACACACAGTTATATGGATATAAAGAGCTATAGAAACTTATTGAAAGATAGATACTGAGCTAAATTGTGAAATGGTTATACAGATAAATATAGATATAGCTTAAGAGCCAGATTTAGATAAAGATGGTTAGTTAAAAATATATTGAGATCGAAATTCAGACAGAAATATACATGTGGATATAGATTACAGTTATGATAGTTTATTAATTTTACACACACTGAATTCTTGAAAAAGGAGAATATAATTTCATATATAGATTCTAATAATATACAATACATATGTATTTACTTTACCTGTAGATGTATTATGTAGAGGGACTTTTACAAATAAATAAAAATCCTGTCAGCCAGCAAAGTTCAGTGAAACTGTACACTGGGTTACACAAGGCTCTGTTTCAGTTGTCGAAAGCTGTGTGCCTATGAGAAGCCTCTGATTGGTCAATTCACCGTGAAGGGACTGAAAGTCACTTCCTGTGAAAAAGGGGAGGGCTTACAAAGGCTGCAGTCCTAAAAACTGCAGCTTTTGAAGCTGTATTAGACTATACCCCCAATGATTACGTACGGAACAATATGCATGTATGTATTCATTGGGGGTATATCTACTAAACTTTAGTTTTTTTTGGTAAGTGTGGCATGGTCCTTTAAGATTCCTATATACCTTTTAACTTGTATGTTTCTATACTTGGTATGGAATTTGTTTTTGAAGTTGTACGTTCAGAAACTACGGCCCATTTATTCCTCATATGCTCTATTCACAAGGGTAATTCCAACATTTCCTGTTCCTTTCTTTTTTTTTAGTTTATAGTTAAGAAGACCTGTTCAAAAGTACAAAGCATGTGTCAGGTGAAAGCTTTATATCTAGAACAGTGTTCACTAAATACTCAAACCCTATAAAAATCTTAGGGTATTATAACAAGCCATGAAAATAGCTGCCACTGTTACCACAACCCCACAAACCAAGACCAGAAGAGGTTGGGTAAACATGCAGGTTGTGATTTGCATTGAGTTTTGAACACTGTACTCCTCTACGACAAATCGATGTGTGATATACCTCTGCCACGGAGTTTAATGACAAGGGAAGCCTGGAAACTTTGCATTAACCTTGAACATACCAATGAGAACATCACAACATCAGACTTTAAACCCAGTACAGATGGTCAAAAGGGCAGGAGGGGATGTCATGTATTTTGTTTTTTTGATGGTCTGATGGCATCTTGTGCAGCAAAAAACAGTCTTCTGTGTGTTGCCTCCAACTCTGTAGCATTTTTATTTTTTGCCAATCTTTGTTTTATTGAGACAAGGTAACAGGCATTTTAGGTTTCACAGAATAAGTTGAGAAAGCACAAATGTGGAATATTGACAGTTGTAAGCATTCAACATTAGCAGGCCTCTTACTTTTTTTTAAATTTTTTTGTGTGTAAATCAGATGGGGTTGGGCGGCATGATTAGTGACGGTTTGTGTTAGGTGTAGGTACCACGTAGCTACACTTAGGTGGGTACACGTAGGTGGGTGGTGGGCTGCTCAATTAGGTGTAATGCGCTAGTCTGGCACCAGACCATTTTGTGTAGGTAGTGTCTTACTCTCGTGTAGGCAAGTCGGGCGTGACTATAAATGACTGTTGGCAAGCTAGGTACCTGTCGTTTTAAACTGGTAGATGAATGACCCCTAACAAAGGGGAACGGGAAGGAACGGAGCTAGTAAACCTTCTTGTAAGTCTGGGTGCTATTGTGGCTGGTATGGGCCATCTTGGGGCAAAGACTGTGTGAGTAGATGAGATGTAGGTAGGCATGGAGTTACTCAACTTTGTGTTAAGGCATGAGAGAAAAGATTAAATTAACGGTAATGGTGAACAAAAATATATTTAACAAGATACACTTATAGGCATATTGGGTGGTCCAGATGTGAAAGGCTTAGTCGGGCTGGATCCCAGGATGAGATTGGTGGAGGAGGTATTAGGCTCATCAGGATTTGGATTTAGTCCAGTTTTTGAAGAAATGCTGCAGCATCCGTTATGGAGGTGAGTTTAAGCATTCTGCTATACGCTGTTGTACCGGTAAGGGATCGCGGTAGAGTCCAGCGATATTCCACTACGGCTTCTCTTAATTGACCCGTGACTGTGCCGAGGGTCCTCCGCCATTGTAGGGTATTCCTGGTAAAATCTTGAAAAAAGTGTCAGTTTGGAAGCCTCAAAGTCCAATGGGGTTTTGCCCCTCACTGCTGCTAAGATGCGATTCTTGTCAGCCAAGGAATGGCAGCATACAATTATGTCACGGGTGGCATTGGACGGGGCCTATCTGGATTTATTAATCCTTTAGCAGCCGTCAAACTGAAGGGTTTTTTTTAGCCTGAGAATGAGGTAGGAGTGATTCTGGCAGTCGCCTTTAGTGTGGCAGTTCGGCCTGGCCTATGGAGTCTAGAACGCCTCGGATTTTAATGTTGGCTCGTCTTTTGCAGTCTTCAGTGATATCTACCTTCTGTGTCAAGGAGGTATGAGAGTATTGTAGGCTTTGCATTTGGTCTTCTATCCCTTGTACGAGATCCTGGACTTCTTCCTCTGTAGCTTGAGTGCGTGCTTTTACCGTCTGCACTTTGGTGTCCAGCTCCCTTAAGAGGTTGGCAATATCCTGTTTATGAGCTGGGGCTAGTGGGTCTTGTTCTGCCATTTCCTCTACAAGTTTCATGGGGGAGATTGTGTCTCCAGATGCAGGTGGGTCTACTCAGGAGTCTGTCCTGTTAACCCCGCGGTCTGACCGGGCTGCCATCTTGAAGGCTGCTGGACTTTGCAGCATTGCACCAATGTCGTGGGAGTCTTTGCTGGAGCCAGGCTGTGGCTTCTGGGATCTAAGTCCCATGGTGTCTGGGCTGTGAAGGGTTGTCAAGGGGAGCTATAGAGCTCTGCCTCAAGGTCCCTTGTGGCTGAATACTCTGGTAGGCCCCAGATTTGTGGCAAGCCTTCTTGCTTGATTTCAGGTACAAGAATGGCATGGGTCTGTTGCTCACCCCTTCCTGGTTATGTTGAGTGCAGGCATTTGCTCCAATGGCTGTGGGGTACCCCAGATTATTAGTGATTAGTGCCCCGAGCGATGGTCCGTTCGGCTCAGGCGCTAAGCTTCGCCCTCCTCTGTAGCATTTTAACTTAAGACATACGTCCTGAGATCAGAAGCAATAGAAAACTATATACTTTAAAAAATAAAATTAACCTTTTGTTTTTTTAAATAAAAATATGTATTTGTCAATTTTGTTTTTGCAGGAAACACTATTTGAAATATTAGTTACATAAATTACAAGAAAGATCATTCTAAATTCTTTTTTACGGCATTTGTTCTTCAAACACTGATTAAAACACCTCTGACAACCGCTATATTTGTTATTTTTCAGGTGAGAAACATGCCAAGTGTAGGATTATAAAATGTCTTAATTGCAAATTCATGTAATCCTAGTATGATGCACTGTAGCTTAAATTCCATACTGTCATTCGTGATAGGCAAATGCAAAGTCCCAGAATCCTTTGTGGCTGGCATCTCTCTCAAGGCTCTTGTGGTTAATGTGTTTTACAAATCTCATTGTTTCTTTATCTCTGTAGACTAATGCCAGGCAGTTGTTCTCTGGGTAAACTGTGAGGAGCTAAGGTGTTAAAAAAAAAAAATTGGATGAAATTTTAGATTATCAAACATGGAACATATATGCAGAAAATAATTTTTAAACTTCAGCTGAAAATAGACATTGGAAACAACAGTTAGAGATTTAATGCAAATAACAAACCTGGGTGGCATTGAGAGTGCAAGGGTGGACAAAATTAACACTAATAATACAGAAATAGTAATTCTGTATGATCAATGATGTCCAGTAGAGGATGCGTTTTTTGGCTACGAGAAAATCCCTGATTTATGTAAAATTTCTAAACATTTTGTGCGCAGGATGTATGTAATGTGTGTGTTGTCTGTATGCAAGGTGTGTGCTGCCTGTATGCAGGGGTGTACCTAGAGCATTTGGCACCCGGGGCAGATCCTAAATTTGGCACCCCTCAACTTTAAAATGTAAAGGAAAAAACAAAATGCAAACTGTTTAATGTATTTCGCACTGAGTAGTGCTTGTGTGTTTGAATGTAAGCATGTTTTTGTATGGAGTATGTAAGTGAATGTAGTATTGGCATTTTAATGCAGGCGTGCATCTGTGTGTAGTTTTTTTTTTTTTCTTCACACACACACACACACACACACACACACACGTGTGTTTATATATAATGGTGGTGTTCTAAAACTTAGGTGTGTTTTGTAGTGTTGAGGTTTGAACACGGGTGTATTTGTGTTTAGTGTTGGCAAGATGCTGAGATACATAGACACTGATACACTTGCAGATATATAGACATACAGACACACAGCGCTACACACACACAAAACAAACGCAGATAGACAGGTACACTGTGTGTGTTTTTATAGTGGATGCAGTGTATACAGTGTGGGATAAGTGCTGGGAAAAGCAGATTTTTAATTAGTTGGGGTAAATAACCCCAACTAATTTAATAAAAACTGCACCCCCTTTCCCCAGTACTTATCCAACACAACAAACACTGCATACAAAACACACTGCTTACACACACACACACACACGTCACACTATTTCCCCCCTTCCCTGCCTCCTACCTGTGGTCTGGTGGCTGTAGCAGGGACCCAGGAGTCATCTTGCACCCTCCAGCAGCAGTATTCCCTTTCCTCTCACAAACCGCGATAGTGTTGCTGTGGGTTGCTATGGCAACGCTCCACGCATGCCAGAGCAAACTTTTTATTCACAACAATTGGATTGTTTTATGCATATCAAAGCAATGCTTATAATATACAGTAGACACGTTAATATTAAACACATTAATATGCATATACTCTCAAACTAAAATCTAAATTGTTTAACCTAATCAGACCTTGTCCTCCTTTGGCGCACAATCACTGACCCCCATACTGTCATTCTGACACAATCACTGATTTACATACCCACACACGCAACAGGGCTAAAAGAATAGAACTACTCGCCAGGCGTCTGAAACTGCATGTCCTGAGAAATTCCATATGCCCGCACTCTAGAGGATGCCATCGTATTTTAATTTGTACAAATTAGTTAATTTGGTGTAAAGCATGTGATTAACTTTTAGTTGTTCTTCGTTTAAAAATTTTATTAAGTCAGTAGTGTGAACTCCCAGAAACGAAAAATGTGCCATATTGAAGTACAAAATAGTCAAACTGAAGAATTCTCCAATATACCTGTTATCAGTTCAGCTATTCTGGCCTTGAATTTGTGATAGTTCATACTTTAGGGGCTAATCCTGCATATATTTGGCAGAAGAAGCGCGACTTGTGTTATTACTGTACAAACATGCACTATATTTTTTCCTGCAGTTGTCTAAAATCTTGCATTCCCAACTACCAGTACACTAAAAGTCTGATTTACCTCCTCATCTTCTTCCTTTGCAATGTAAGATGTAAATCCTCCATACTCTTCTTTCCAGTCTGTATTTAAAATAAAGTGTGAACATTTCAAACACTAGTACTACTACTAATAATTCCTCATTATACAACACTATTATCCTTTGACCATCTTGAATTAACAGACAATTAAAATATTTTATTATTAACCAAACACAATGTACTTTATTTAACTGACTGTTAAATTAAGCGGTTGGATTGATTCCACAGAAGAACTTGTGAATGAGGGGTTACAACAGACATCTGAACTTGGTGTATTGCAAAACTAAGCGGTCTTAAAAAGGACAAACAATCAATCATGTATGACTTGTGTAAAATGTGCAGATGGAATGCAACAGAGCTTGTAACTAGTTGAAAAGTTCTATTCTGATATACTGTATATAACTTAGAATGTAAATCATAATTTATTGTCTACAATCAACCATTCTTTATGTATAGCTGCAGTCACAAGCAATTACAACATTACAAAACAAGTGTGATGGAGGAAAACCATATTGCTTTTCTAGTAGATGTCACATGAGGCATCTTACATAAATTAATTGTGGCTGTATATATTAAAGAAATCAATCTGATGATAGAAACATATCTTCCTGCAAATCAAAAATTTTAAAGCAAGGAAACATGGTCATTTTGCACACTCAGTACCTCCAGCTTCTCTTGTGCTGGTAAAGAAAAGTAGTTATCTTTTATTATTCTACATAAAATTTATGATTTAATTTAAAGAGCCCAGAATCTGACCTTTACATCCAAAGAACAGCAGGAGGTCCAATGCAAATTGATGTCGCTCTGGGTCATGATCGTGTATCAAGGTGTAATGTCCATGCGTCCAGTGACGCAGCTCTCCACTACATAAAGGAACCTTTTCACCTGCAAATGATGGAGGAGCAGACAATGAATGGAAAAGCTGCTGTGAATTCTCAGATTTAGATATGTAGTGTGGCTGTACTTACTTTGCCCTTGTTCAGTCTCAGACTGCTCAGCTCCACTATCATCTTCTGAGACTGATTGATTGTTTTGTGAAGGTCCTTCTCCTTCAGAGTCATCACTGTTTGTAGATAAGAAATGTAAACTAAGGCCAGTGAGGTTGGACAGCAGCAGAAAGAATGCTTCAGACTTCAGCAGTTCCATGCAGCTACTAATGGCGTTGGGGAGATCACCTCTTGCCCTTTGATAACACCTACAGGGGATAGACACAAATTAGAAAAAGACTTAACAGTCCCACTTGTAAACACATGTTGTCCCATGATCTGCACCAACCTTCGATTAGGTGGGCCACACTGTTCCCACTCAATAGATTGGGTTGCAAGAACCGAACAAACTTCATTGAACTTTTCTTCCTGCAAATTAAAAATGGTGATAAATTAAAAAAAAACCCACACGTTGTTTGCACATCTAGGGTTCCTTCTACCTCCTGCTTCTCTCCAATGACCTTACATTACATAAGGAAAAACCTTATGTGAAAATCTTTTCACTACACATAAAGTATGTAAAAAACAAACATTTTTTGTCCAGTTTTACTTGTTTCTACACAACTAGTGTAAATAAAGATGAACTCAAAATAGATTAACTTATTTGTCATGATTGAAGCAGCTTAATATGACTAGGACCTCAATTAATTTTGGTATATAAAACTGGACCTTTGCCAAATGATGAAACTATTCTTTAAAAGGGACACAAAGCACCATTTTTTGTTTTAGCTTAATTAAATGGTTTTGGTGTACAAATCACTCCCCTGCAGTCTCACTGTTCAATTTGTGGCCAGTTAGAAGTCAAATAATTTTGGCAGGGGAGGTTAGGGCTCCATAAATAGTCACTCGGCTTCCCTGAATGCTTCCAAAATAAGTATTTTTTTTTTTCCCCCATTACTTTTTAGCTACCCTTCTTGCACAGTTTGTTTAACTATGAATCTCTCATTACATGATTCTTTTGGATCAAGTAGCCTGCTTGATCCAAAAGAATCATTTTGTGTATGATTAAAAGGACACTAGTCACCAGAACAACTACAGCTTCATGTAGTTGTTTTGTTGAGTATAATCATTCCCTACAGGCATTTTCATGCAAACACTGCATTTTCAGAGAAAACTCCTCAGATGGCCACTGGAGGTGCTTTCTGGGGCAGTGCTGCACAGGAGGCAAGCACTGCTGTTCAGCGTGATGCTAAATTTTCATCATAGAGATGCATTGATTCAATGCATCTCTATGAGGAGGTGTTGATTGGCCAAAACAATGTTTAGCCTCTCCCCATCCCACCTCCTTACAGATTTCAGCCAATCCAATTATGATGTAGCTAAAGAGGCGGACTGGGGATGGGGCAAGTGCCAGGGGACCTGCGCAGCGCTGTTAATATGGTGGGTTTTAACACCTAAGGGAGAGGAATGGTGGTTTTAACACTATAGGGTCAGGAATACGTGCTTTTATTTCTGACCCTATAGTTTATCTTTAAAGTATAGTGTTCATTTAAAGATCAATTAACAGAGCAGGAGATAACTTATAAAGTAAACGCACGGTGCTGTAAGATCTGATTGAAAATAAATCCATTTTTTGTTTTCATGGAGGCTGTGTGAGTCACAGCCACGGTTGGTGTGACTATACTTGTATTAAAAAGTAATTTCATTAAATGGCAAAGGATTGAGCTGTGAAACTGGAGGGGCATCAGCTATACACCAAAACTGCTTAATTAATCTAAATATATTTTTGTGCTTTATAGTGATCACAGAATCCAAAATTTTGACAAGAGTATATATATTTGTAGAAAAAGGACAATACCTAGAAGTTATTTGACCTTTTTTCAAATAACGGAGTTTTCTAGTAACTGCGAAATAATCCAGTTACATTTAATTTTGTTGTACATACGTGAGCATTGCATTTTCCCTGTTAATACTAAATTCCTAACGCGCACTAATGAAAAATAAAAACAAATGTGTTCGGCTATGTCCTCTAAATCCATTAGCAACCCTAACGACATGTACAAGTGTCAAGCATTTAAAAAACCCAAAATGCATTCTTTGACAATTTGACCTTCCCGTTTTAAAATAAAGAGGATTAAAGATGCTTGCCCCCACAGGGTAGGCCAGATGTACTGAAAATGGATAACATGTATATTTTTTGCAAAATAATGCATGAGGTTATATTGTATGCAGAGTTTTATTTTCAGTTATAATAATGACAGTTTCCATTAATTGCGGAGATATGATGCTACCATGATACTATCCACATTAGTTGCTCTGTCTCTGTCATTTTAACCCGTTTTACTATACTCTAACTAGCCTTCCATCCTCGATATCAAATATCTGCATGTAACCCCCACCCCTGTTTTGCCATGTTCTATTGTCTTTCCTCCCTACTCCCACACCGTGCCTTCTTCATTTAACACAAACCTGAAGGAAGTTTTTCAAGAGCATCTCCGACCGTTCTTCAAATTCCTCTTGTATTTGAGACTGGGCATCAACTGACAAATAAACTGGATTCACCCACTCGTACAGGATTTCATGCTGTGGAAACCAAAGTATACATTGGTCAGTAGATGCGTGGTCTGTGGAAACTCATTTATTACACCGTGAAAAAAATTATATATATAGTAAATAAATTCTTACATCATGAGGTATGTGGGGACTGCGGAGAGGTAAAGGATCCAAGAAGGGTTGGGGCCTTTCAAGATACGGCCCATAAAACCAGCCACTGACTGAAAGGCGACACTTTCCTTCACAAAGCACTTCTGAAACCTGTTCAAAAAGGAAATAATATTAACATACAGATAGTATCAGAGCAGTGGATTAGTTTAATGGACACTATAGTCACCTGAACAACTTTAGCTTAATGAAGCAGTTTTGGTGTATAGAACATGCCCCTGCAGCCTCACTGCTCAATCCTCTGTCATTTAGGAGTTAAATCCCTTTGTTTATGAACCCTAGTCACACCTCCCTGCATGTGACTTGCATAGCCTTCCATAAACACTTCCTGTAAAGAGAGCCCTATTTAGGCTTTCTTTAGTGCAAGTTCTGTTTAATTAAGATTTTCTTATCCCCTGCTATGTTAATAGCTTGCTAGACCCTGCAAGAGCCTCCTGTATGTGATTAACGTTCAATTTAGAGATTGAGATACAATTATTTAAGGTAAATTACATCTGTTTGAAAGTGAAACCAGTTTTTGTTTTCATGCAGGCTCTGTCAATCATAGCCAGGGGAGGTGTGGCTAGGGTTGCATACACAGAAACAAAGTGATTTAACTCCTAAATGACAGTGAAATTGCAGGGGAATGATCTACACACTAAAACTGCTTTATTTAGCTAAAGTAATTTAGGGGACTATAGTGTTCCTTTAAACGAATGGGCCAATTAAAAGTGGGTGTAAAACTACACCTCCCATGATGCTTTGCCAGCCATAAGGCAAGGAAATCATAACTGGGAATGTAAATTAACAACTTCTGATGTACTCTTTGCCACAATGAATCTACACAAGGCTGTGTAAGTAGACTTAGAGCTCTTGATTTTTCTTAAAAGTCTAGGTAACAGGCTTTGTATGATAAATGAAAAATAAGGCAATATAACCTGGCAACCAATGGTAGATACAAGATATCAAACAACTCAAACTGGTTACATATAGTTCTGCGAGTCTGTGCAAGCCACTTTTCTTGTAGTATTCCTTTCTTCTCAACCTTCCGTCATCACATTTATACACCATCAAAATACAGTGGTACCTCGGTTTACAAATTTTATGCGTTCTTTGGGACGTTTCTCATTGCGGAAAAAAATTTGTAAACCGAAAGCAGTTTCCCATAGGAATGCATTGAAAACCAATTAATCCATTCTGAAGGTCAGAAAAAAGTAAAAAACGAGCTGGCATGGAAACCAACCCATAATGCAGAACACACAGTAAAAGGCATGCAAACGACGAAGCTCAGCTCCCTACCTTTCCACTGCTTGAGAAATGCACGAAAAAAGTTCCCAAGACCGCTGCAAAAAATTTCCAGAATGCCACGTGCTACCCACAAACTCCAGCATGCACAGGGGCCGTGCTGTAAACCTCCCAGGTGCAATGCATCCTGGGGAAACTCAAGCTTTGTATTGCGAAAAAAAAACTGTACACTGAGGCATTAATTTTCTAATGGATTTTTTTTGTAAACCAAGGAACCACTATAAAATAAAATTTTCCCTCTAGTGAATTAAGTGAACAAAATGCAATAAATTTTGATGTTTAATAAGTATAGGTGTTGCCTCTCACCTGATGAAAAGAAATGGGTGAAACTTCAAAGAAAACTAGTGAATTCCATTTGGGAATGAGAGACTTAGCAATAGACCCAGGCTGTGCATTTTCTGCAAGGAGAAGGCACACAAATTATATATGGACTAGAGAGGACAAATGGAACAATTATAAACCCCCCTAATTAACTGTTTAAAGAAACACACCAAGTACAATAAACACTACAGTACATGCTAGCTAGTGGTTATGGTGCCAAAAGTGCCTTGTTGCCCCTCCCAATGTAATTAGTCAAAACAGTTGGTAGTGGTTTGACTTCTTACGTAGTGACTACAGGGCCCTTGTAATACCCTGACAGCCAGAAGCTCTCTCTAGCTGAACTAATTAACGTACAGTGACATTTACCTCCTATAGCCACAAATATGCAGAACACATATGTGTGTACTGGCATGAAATAGGGTTAACAAAGAATGGAAATTTCTAACCAAGCCTGGTGCATGAAAATAATACAATATTTTACCCATCTGCTAGATTTTCTTGCTTGTCACATTAGAAGTATATGTACTGTCCAATATATGATAAGAATTATTTTGATTTTTGTAGTTTTACTTTAAGAGTTACAGATGCATATAATAGCTTTGAGGCTCAGAAGTTAAGCGTTTAATTTATTAATTTATCTATCTTTATTTTTATGAAACTTTCTAATTAAAACAGACCATCAGTGTTGTACAAATCAAGGGATCCTCCGTATGCTTCAAGCCATTCTGGAACTAGGTACAGGATAAAAGCAAATCTCCTGCCTTCTAACTCATCATCATGACATAGCAAAGTGTCTGCAAAAAAAGAAAAAACTAATTAAAAACAGTAGCATCCACTGATGTAAGTTCCAAATTCATGGACACATGGCCTGTACCTGTGTAGTCATACTGAGCACAGGACATATCAACTGTCTTCTCCAGTTTGACACCTGTAACATCCGACAGCCATTCCCGGAAATCCTCAAACAGTACCTGTCTGAGAACAGCATATAATAGGGTTATGGAATTCCAGTTTACTTTGAGCAAGATAAATGATCTACATTACAAATGTAATCATCTTGGAAGAGACATTTCTGTATCTTTAAAAGGCAAGAATGGAACCATTGCTACACTGCATACTTGGAGTGTTCCCTTTAAGAATTATAAGCATAAAACACTTTGAAGTGTTGGACGTTACTGTACAAATTTACTGTACAATGTTCTGTAAGTTTAATTTTATTGTGTTAAAGGACCACTCTAGGCACCCAGACCACTTCAGCTTAATGAAGTGGTCTGGGTGTCAGGTCCAGCTAGGGTTAACCCATTTTTTTTTTAACAAGCATAACAGTTTCAGAGAAACTGCTATGTTTATGTTAGGGTTAATCCAGCCTCCAGTGGCTGCCTCTTGACAGCCGCTAGAGGCGCTTGCGTGCTTCTCACTGTGAAAAATCACAGTGAGAACATGCCAGCGTCCATAGGAAAGCATTGTGAATGCTTTCCTATGGACTGGCTGAATGCGCGGGCGGCTCCTGCTGCACATGCGCATTCAGCCGAAGAGGAGGAGGAGAGCTCCCCGCCCGGCGCTGGAGAAAGAGGTAAGTTTAATCTCTTCCTCTCCCCAGAGCCCGGCAGGAGGGGGTCCCTGAGGGTGGGAGCACCATCAGGGCACTATAGTGCCAGGAAAACGAGTATGTTTTACTGGCACTATAGTGGTCCTTTAACTTTAAGGTACATTGAAAATGTGGTCTCCACATTTTATTGTAAGAGGCCCATTGCCCACTCTGACTGTGCTTCAAGCTATAGCTGCATAACATTTGGGTGACTGGAATTAACATTTGCCATGGTGGAGGAAGAGTGTCTCAGGAATTAGATTAGGCACAAAATTCATAGATTCTCACCGTAAAGCACTGATATGTGGCTCTTTCCGCCTCTTCAGATCATCAGACTGAAAAAGAACATCAGCATTTATAATAGTGCACATTAAGCCAATCCACTTGGAGTTCTCTGGCATTCAGCTGTCCTTTATTTTACTTATTGCTCCTTCATTGCAACCCAATCAATCAATCTACTCCTTCCAAAGGACCCATCCAACTTTCTTGCAGCACTTCCCAATTCCCACCTGTTTAAACTTGTACAGGTCATTAGATTTTTCGTTGAAGTTCAGACCCAGTAGCTCCTCTTTTAATCCATCCAGGAATTCCAAACTCTGAATGACAGGGTGGATCACACAGTGCGGAAAAGGGGCAGAAGACAAGGTAATGGAGCCTAGAAGATACCAAACAAATAGATTACATCTACTATCGCCCGTTAATAAAGCTGATCATCTTAATTTCACAGTCAAGTGTCCAATCAGTTTTGGCACACGAGTTAAAAATGAAATCTAGCTTGCAGTCAAGTGTTGGTTTGTTTAACCCTAAAAAAACTGCAATGTTTTACATTGCAGGGTTAAACATACAGGACCACAGCACCCAGACCACTGCATTGAGATGAAGTGGCTTGAGTGATTTTAGTGGTCCTTTAAGACGAGATATGCAGTTTTAGGACATACCCTCAATGAAAAAATGCATATATAAGGGCATGCATGTTTTCACTGGGGTATTTCTTCTAAACAATGTTTATTTTATGTGTTGTAATTAGGCAGTGGAGCATCCCATTAACAGAATTTATAAATGATTTTTAGTTTTATTTGAAAGTGTAATTTTTGGAGGTGATGGTTTCCCCTGAATGAGTTTGTTTCCTATATGCAGTATACAAACACCATGTCCACAAACATTAGCATGGTGTATATGGCAGCCCCATGTCCAGGACAGAACTCTGTATATGGCAGCCCCATGCCCAGGGTGCATGGTGGGTATATGTCTAGGGTAGCATGGTGTGTATCCAGTGTGCATGGTGTATATATCTAGAGTAGCCTGTGTGTCTGTGTATAGGGTGCATGGTGTGTATATGTCATGAGTAGACTGGTGTATGTCTGTATCCAGGGTGAATACTGTGTATGTGTGTTTGTGTCCAGGGTGCATGGTGTGTCTGTGTGTGTTTATATGTCGTGGGTAGAATAGTGTGCCTGTGCGCATAGGGTTGCATGGTGTGTGTGTATATGGTTGCATGGCGTGTGTCTGCGTGTGTGTCTGGTTGCATGGCGTGTGTGTGTGTGTATACAGGTTGCATGGTGTTTGTGTGTGTGTGTATACAGGTTGCATGGTGTGTCTGTATACAGGTTGCATGGCGTGTGTGTGTGTGTGTGTGTATACAGGTTGCATGGCGTGTGTGTGTGTGTGTGTGTGTATACAGGTTGCATGGTGTGTGTGTATGTATACATACAGGTTGCATGGTGTGTGTGTGTGTGTGTGTGTGTATACAGGTTGCATGGTGCGTGTATACAGGTTGCATGGTGCGTGTGTGTGTGTATACAGGTTGCATGGTGCGTGTGTGTGTGTGTGTATACAGGTTGCATGGTGCGTGTGTGTGTATACAGGTTGCATGGTGTGTGTGTGTGTGTGTATACAGGTTGCATGGTGTGTGTGTATACAGGTTGCATGGTGTGTGTGTGTATACAGGTTGCATGGCGTGTGTGTGTGTGTGTGTATACAGGTTGCATGGTGTGTGTGTGTGTGTGTGTCTGTATACAGGTTGCATGGTGTGTCTGTATACAGGTTGCATGGTGTGTGTGTGTGTGTGTGTGTGTGTGTATGTATACAGGTTGTATTGTGCATGTGTGTATACAGGTTGCATGGTGCATGTGTGTATACAGGTTGCATGGTGCATGGTGTGTGTATACAGGTTGCATGGTGCATGGTGTGTATACAGGTTGCATGGTGCATGGTGTGTGTATACAGGTTGCATGGTGCATGGTGTGTGTATACAGGTTGCATGGTGTGTGTATACAGGTTGCATGGTGTGTGTATACAGGTTGCATGGTGTGTGTATACAGGTTGCATGGTGCGTGTGTGTGTATACAGGTTGCATGGTGTGTGTGTGTGTGTATACAGGTTGCATGGCGTGTGTGTGTATACAGGTTGCATGGCGTGTGTGTGTGTGTATACAGGTTGCATGGCGTGTGTGTGTGTGTATACAGGTTGCATGGTGCGTATACAGGTTGCATGGTGCGTGTGTGTGTATACAGGTTGCATGGTGTGTGTGTATACAGGTTGCATGGTGCGTGTGTGTGTATACAGGTTGCATGGTGCGTGTGTGTGTATACAGGTTGCATGGTGTGTGTGTATACAGGTTGCATGGTGCGTGTGTGTGTATACAGGTTGCATGGTGTGTGTGTGTGTGTACAGGTTGCATGGTGTGTGTGTATGTGTATACAGGTTGCATGGCGTGTGTATATATGTGTGTGTGTGTATATGTATGTATATATATATATATATATGTTGCATGGTGTGTCTGTGCGTGTATATGGTTGCATGGTGTGTGTTTAAACCCAGGGTGTATGCAGTGTATGGTAGCCATATCTGTCCCATGTGTTCACTCACCATGGTTCCCGGCTTCCCTCCTCTCCCAGGCCTGTCTAGCTGCATCCCTCCCGGCCTGGTCTAACAGGCTCTCGGTCAGCCCAGCTTTGATCTCCCGCTTCCCTTTCTTAGTTTTGGGGTCCCCTCGGTCCCCTTGCCTTCTCTTGCTACTCATGTCGCCTGCAACTACAACTCCCAGAATGCTCAGCGGCGGCGGCTGCACGGAGTCCAGTGACGTAACTAAACGGCGACGGACACGCTCTCTGCGCCCGGAAGTGGCGTCATTGGTTTTCCGGCGCTCCGTTGTGTTTCCGTTGTGTGTTTCGGAGACCGGGGGGAGACAGACTCCAGGCAGCCAGTTACCCGGGGGTACCCGAGCGGCTCCGCGTACCCCGATATCAGCAGATCCCCTCGCTCACCATGTCCGTGCTCACACCCAACCGCTCCCAGTCCGGCTGGCCCCGCGGGGTCAACCAGTTCGGGAACAAATACCTGCAGCAGAGCAAGCCGCTCACCGTGGAGAGAACCATCAACCTGTGAGTGGGGTTATTGTTATTACTGGAACAGGGCGCCAACATAGGCCGCAGCGCTGTACATATTAAAGGGACACTATAGTCACCAGAACAACTACAGCTTATTGAATTTGTTCTGGTGAGTAGAATCATTACCTTCAGGCTTTTTGCTGTAAACACTGTCTTTTCAGAGAAAATGCAGTGTTTACATTACAGCCTAGTGATAACTTCACTGGCCACTCCTCAGATGGCTGTTAGAGGTGCTTTCTGGGGCAGTGCTGCACAGTATGCATGGAGACGCTAAATGCTCCCCATAGAGATGCATTGAATCAATGCGTCTCTATGGGGAGATGCCGATTGGCACAGAGAGGCACACATGAGCAATTGCCTGCCAATGCTTTCCTATAAGAATGCATTGGATTGACTGAGATAATTAAAAGACCACTATAGGCGCCCAGACCACTTCAGCTTAATGAAGTGGTCTGGGTGCCAGGTCCAGCTAGGGTTAACCCTTTTTTCTATAAACATATATGTTTATAATAGGGTTAATCCAGCCGCTAGAGGCGCTTCCGTGCTTCTCACTGTGATTTTCACAGTGAGAAGACGCCAGCGTCCATAGGAAAGCATTGTGAATGCTTTCCTATGGACTGGCTGGCTGTGCGCGGCTCCTGCCGCGCATGCGTATTCAGGAGAGGAGGAGGAGAGTCCCCCACCTGGCGCTGGATAAAGAGATAAGTTTAACCCCTAACATCCCATAGTGTCCGATGTGAGTGGGGGCACCCTTAGGGCACTATAGTGCAAGGAAAACGAGTATGTTTTCCTGGCACTATAGTGGTCCTTTAAGTTTGATCTCAGCCAAGAGGGCGAAGCGTCTGTAGGTCCACACGGCACTGGAAGATGGGCAAGCAATCTCACCTTACCCGTAGCTGTCAGGGAAGCTGGGGTCTAAAATGCATTTTCATAAGTAATGTGACAGGAATACATGTTTGTATTGCTGACACTATAGTGTTCACTTAGGAATAGCCAGTACAACATAAACAGATCAACACAAAAGGTAGAGGGCCCTATATCAGCTTACAATCTAAAGATAATACAATTTTGGGTTAAAATATATATATATATTGCATCCTGTATGGTTGAATTAAATGGACACACTTCACCTGAAAATACACAAAATACTCTCACTTTTATTGTACAGCACTCAATGTAGTAAATATTATAGTTTGCAAATCTTAAATTTTTTTTGTAGTATTTTATCTCAGGCAGTTCCTCTTCCAGACGTTCCCATTTGCTTATGTGGTCATTTTCATTCACTAATTATGTTGGTTTTCTATATCCAAATCATGTATGTGCGTATGGAGTTGACATAATATACAAATGTGGACATTATTCTTTGGAGTCCTATAAAATGCTGTCTAAAAATGGAATATGATCTACGTGCACAGTTGGTCAGAAAACATGCAGTTTTACTTTTCATAAAAAGTGATTTATAGGGACACTCTAGGCACCCAGACCACTTCTGCCCATTGGAGTGGTCCGGGTGCCAACTCACATCACCCTTAACCCTGCAAGTGTAATTATTGCATTTTTATCAGACAGCCAATAGAGGGACTTCCAGGTTCTTAAAACACGAAAAATGTTTTAAACAACACTGGACGTCCTCACGCTATGCATGAGGAACTCCAGCGTCGCCGGAAGCCCAATAGGAAAGCATTGTGTAATGCTTCCCTATGGGGAGGTCTAATGCTCGCGCTCCCATTGCCGCGCATGCGCATTAGGTCTCCCTCATCGACTAATGACCGAGGGACATCGGCACTCTTCCAATAACCATGTTTGAGGGCAGAAAAGGGGTAACTTTTGTAACGAGGACACAAAGTCAGGGGAAGTAAGATGCAGACACCCAGGTCCAGGGCAGTGTGGATTTCTACATCTAATTTCATTTTATCAACTGCACAAAAACACACTGTGTGTGGGGGAGGTAATATTGTATTAAAAATCCTGGGAAAGTTCCAAGTGGTGAAGGGAAATTGTAAGATGTAAGTTATTTCATTGACTATTTAATTTTTTCGATTTATAAAGCGATGATGCTGTTGGTTTCTACAGGCTCTGTATGTCCTGTCTACACTACCTACACTATAACATAAGTGGGTATGCGAACATGTAGATTTAAAGAGGCATTTTAGAGGAATACAGCAGTAAGCACAAGACTCGTTTATACGTAGTCCTTTAAAACGAGCTGCTTGGTCTGTTTTCCTCCCCTCTTTTCTGATAGTCTTGAGTTACCTGTTCCTAATTGTTTTAGATTTCCCACAGATATGTCTGTTTGCACCTTGTACTAGTTGTTAATTTCCATTGTTTTGTCCGTCTCTTTAAAAAAATAAAACTCTTTTCTTACATTTGGGATAGTTTGCAATTATTTCGTTATCTGTACTTCAAAGGGGGCTGTAAATACAAGAACAGGGAAATGTTAAATTTTTTTCTAAATACTGACTGGTTTTATTTCAGATATCCTCTGACAAATTACACGTTTGGTACCAAGGAACCCCTGTATGAGAAGGACAGTTCAGTTGCTGCGAGGTTCCAGCGTATGCGAGAAGAGTTTGATAAGATGGGAATGAGGCGCACTGTTGAAGGAGTTCTAATCGTCCATGAACACAGATTACCCCATGTCCTTTTATTGCAATTGGGCACTACCTTCTTTAAACTGTGAGTCCACTGAAAGCCTTCTACTGGGCTTGCCATCTTGAACTGTTAATGAAATGCTATTTAAATTAGTTTGTGCTTGGGGGTAAGGGGGACTAGATGATGTTTTTAACACTACAGGGTCAGGAATGAATGTTTGTGTTTCTGACCCTATACTGTTCTTTTAGTAAAATTGTGGCACGTGTAAGGTCAGAGAGTAGAGCACTGTCTTTGAAATCTTACAGAACTTCAAAAGGAACTGTAATTTTTCAGATAGTAACATATTTCTTTCACCCCAATATGTACTATTGAAACATTTACTGCATTGTGCAGTGGGGTTATGAAGAAAACATATGTGTCTCCTCAGCACATCTGGGTATTTGTGCTGCCATTTTTCTTACATGTGCACGGCATTCTTTTTATGCATTTATAGACTTACAGTTCCATATGCACTGCATCATGCATCTTACTGTGATTTGCTACCTGTTGTATGATTTAAATCAGAAAGGGGGAAAAATGTACAATCGTAGCCAAATTTCAGTTGTGATAGATATTGGATTGTTCAAATTCATCCTGCAATTGACTATTCACTTTATATAGTTGTCCGTATCAAGATTCTATTGCAGAGTTTCCTGGAGTGTTTTCACATGCTGCACATGACAAAAATAACTTGTTACACTGTATGGAAATATGTTTATAAATTGTTAAAATGATGCAGCACACTCTAGTGGTTATGATGTACCGTAACTCCAAGTTTTTGTCAAACCATTTTCAATCAGTTTGGCAAACAATGAGGAATTCCTCTGCCTCAAAACCAACTGTCCTTGCTGTAGATGCCACAGAACTAGGGAATTCACTTCTTTATTACTCGTCCAAAATGTGTCTGCAATGTGCTTGCACCTAGCAATTACAAGCTTTGAGAACTGTGATAGAGAATTCAGCCAATCGCCTTGCTATTACTAGACTCTTTCCATGTGTTTTTTTACGGAGTAAAATCAGTTTGACAAGCATATTAAGGGACTGCACCTATATCCTCTACAATAAGGTGCATTGATTATGGTGCAGGTAGGTAATGTCTGTCATTTAAAAAAAAAAAAAAAAAAAAAGCCTGCTCAAAAACGTTTTTGTTCTTCATTAGAATGGTGTTATTTTTTTGTTTATTAGTTCTTAAAGGGACACTATAGGCACCAAAATATATTTAGCTCAATGAAGTAGTTTTTGTGTATAGACCAGGGCTTGACAAATTTGTTTGGAATCTAGGAGTCCGCTAAAAAAGGTTAGGACAGGTTTTTCAACATCAAAAATACAATTCTTAAAGTGACAGAGTAAAGGCAGTGTTTACATTGCTGCCTAGTAACACCTCTAGTTACGGTCACACAGGCGGCCTCTAGAGGTGCATCCTCGGTCAGTGCTGCATCTACATTCAGCGTTTTCACGCTCTATGATTCATGGCATCTCTGTGGGGAGGTGGTGATTGGCACAGAGTGGAGTTTTGCCACACATGGGAAAGCATTGGATTGGTTGAGAACAAGATTAATGATCTCCGCCATGGAGGCGGGGCCAGCTGCGTGCATGTGATCGGAGCGGGGCTGGTCACCTAGGCACTCGCTAACAGACACACACTACCTCACTGATTTGACACACACTGAACGACACATTCACTGATTTGGGGGGGGTCTTGTGTGGTTGGTAGAGATAATCTGTGTTGGAGTTGCAGCCAAAATGCTTCAAAGAGGCTGTCTATCCGGCGTAGTAATTCAGACTGTGAGCGCGCCGCCGCCGTTTGGGGTCTGTGGTTTGTGGCTGTAGTTAGTGTCTCTGTAGTACCGCAAGTCTCCCACATAGATGAATGATGGACCGGGATAACCCCCACTGATCCACAGGGAGGGAGGGGGATAGCGATAGTCTTGAGACTGCTCTGCATGGAACAGTAGATCGGCCACCTCCCCCACCCAGAGTTTCCACTAGGCCTCATCTGGCTCCTCGAGACAAACAGGTGATATCCACCTCGTGGACCCTTTCCAGGGCACTCAGCGTGTGGCAGATGTCAGGTAAGCCCCAGAGGATGCTTGGGGACAGCGCCCGTAGATTGCAGGGTCTAGCAATTAGTGGGGAGCACTTGCAAGGTGCGTCCAACCGCCATGATAGTCAGGCCCGCCCCGGAATCTGTGTTTTTTTTTATGCCGCTTCTGACATATTTTAGTCTTTTCATTTGTATATAGAGTTATTATTTCCCCAGCATGACACAAATCATCATGTCTTACTGTCTATATTACATTCCTGTGCTATAAATCAGTCTGTTTAGAATTAGCTCAGCATAATGCACACATTTGATGTTTTGCTCAGGATCTGTTAATCCACAGATTTGTGCTGCTGTAACTTTTTCTCATGAATAAGGTAACTTTCCTTTGAGCGTTTGCTTTGTGAATTGGAATAAGTATCAAACTATTTTGTCTTCTTATAGGCCTGGTGGTGAGCTAAACCCAGGAGAGGATGAAGTTGAAGGTTTGAAGCGTTTGATGACAGAAGTAAGTTGTTGCTTGCATCCTTTCTTGTATGGTTATATGTGATCTGTTCGTACCTACACCAATGAAATCTTATATTCTATGGAAACTATATAGATAATACATATTGTAGTTACACCTCTGAGAGCAGCATAATCACTATGTGCAGTGTTTCATACTGAAAATGCTGCACGTCCAGGGTCCTTGTACCATGACCACTTCAAAATCACTGAAATTATATTTGTGTTTGGAGAACCAATTTGAGCAAAGCTAAAGAGATTTGAACAGGGAGAAAGTGTGGCTTAGGATTCATAGTTGCATTACAGAAAGCTGCAAAAATCTTTTTTTTTTTTTTTTTTTAAGCAGAACCAAAGAGATTTAAATGTGGAGAAAATGTGGTATGAATATGAGGCCAAAACCAAATCAAATGCATTTAAGTTGTGTTCGTGCCAAAAGTGTACGCCAAGTGACTTTTAGCAATACCCAGGCATCTTATCTTTCTTCCTCTCTTCACCTCCTACACATTATCCTTTCTCTTGTGTTCCTTTACTAGATCGCTCGATTGAGCAGGACCTTCTTCAACTCTTGTCTGTTAACATTTATCGTTTATGCATACAATAAAAAAAGTTTGTTTTGCTAAAGGTCACAGTGACCAAAATGTTGCCTAAGTGATATGCACCATTAAAAAGACTGACAAGATTTGGAGTACTGAGTGCCTGGACCTTTTTTTTTTTTTTTTTTTTTTTAAATGCATGATATTGTTAAAGAGATGGGTCCACAACCGGAGTATGATAATTGTCTATACTTTATGGTGTGCAGTCACCCTACACTGGATACTGATATAAACATTATTTTTTATCTATCAGCTACCTGTTGTTAAATAACCTCACTATAGGAGTGTAAAGCACTGCGGACAATGCTGAGGATTCACATATTTAATAATCTGAAATGCTTGCTCCTGCATGATGGCAATACCACCAACAAGCAGCAGGTGGTGCTCATCTTACAGCCCATGTGGGCACTGTCAGGCATAAAACAGAAACTGTTTATGGCAGGATATAGATCAGTAAAACCCTAACATTAGTGCAGATAAATTACTCTAAGATCACTGGGTTCCTTGAAAATGAAATGTCACTTCATGCTTGTAATATGATGGGTTTCTAAAAATGCATTGGCTCCTACAGAGTTATATCTAACCAGGAAGTAGAGCTGACCTGGGCAGTGTTTCCAGTGCTGCTTTTTTGTCTTAAAATGTGAAATTTCCTATAATGCACAGTTTAGTTTGAAAATAAGTTCTCTAATGCAATTGGTCAGAAATGACTGGTAGGTATAGGTAGGTTATAAATTGACTTTTTGAGAGCGATCTATGGATGGACCTGGTGGGGGGAATAAAAGCTGCTATTTGAATACGTGATCTGTTTGTGGAAGAGCTGACTTGTAAAACAAAACTTGCATTGTGCGGAATCCAAATATTTTTTTAAATATTGAACAAATCAGACATGCACTTTGTGGCATGATGAAAACGTGGGCAGGATGCTGATGTGACCACGATTAGTGCCACAATATGACTGATATTAAGAAAGACTAACTGATGTTTTTGTTCTGCAGATACTTGGGCGCCAAGATGGGGTGCAACAAGAGTGGGTTATTGATGACTGCATTGGTAACTGGTGGAGGCCAAACTTTGAACCACCACAGGTTTGTAGCTAGAGACCATATACTCCTAAAGCAAACTACACAGACATGTCTGTTTAATGCCCCCATGTGCTATTAAGATGCGCTGAGTTGTTGTAAACAGTCAGCCTTGTTTTTGTTTTGTTTTTTTAGCGAGCAGCAGATGATTTGATGTTATTACTTATGATCTAAATATCCCAGATCACAACTCATGCCATAACTTACAACATGTCAACATTCTAAGAGTTAATCACCAGCAGATATGTGTCTGATTGGCAAATTACACAATATAATAAATATAAAATGCAGGATATAGAATAAATTCCAGAAAGCTGTGCTGGCAGCAAACCCGTGGAGACTTGACTTGTGTTATTGCTTCTAATGCAAATTGGGAGTGTGTAGTTATATTTTAGCAGCTCTTCATTTTCTTTAGTTTTTGAGGCAATTTTAAAATATTTTTATTTTATTTCTAAACTATTTCTGCAGTTTTTTTTGTTTTGTTTTTATTTCTTTATTTAAATTATTGATGCATGACCAGACTAATAGACAATGAAGGCAAGAGTTAATGGCAATAAGAAATGTATATACATGTTGTACACCAGTGGCCGTTTTCATTAATGACCAAGATATTCTAAAGTTAACGAGAAAAACAAATTAAGTTAAAACAACAAAAATTGATGGAATAAAAAATACAAAGAGGGATCAGAGGTGTATAATTAAGTACTGTTCTGTCCAACCTCGACTGTAATGAAAGGTTTTATAGAAACTTAATAATGAAGAACTGTATTTTTCCTAATTTTAAGTGCAGCAGAAGATGGGATGGTCTGATAACAAAACAAAATAAGTCTCTGAGCACCCTAAACACTACAGTTCTTTGTAGTGGCTATGGTGCAATGAGTGCTTTATTGGCTATGTAATAGAAACATAGAATATGATGGCAGATAAGAACCATTTGGCCCAATTAGTCTGCTCAATTTTCTAAATGCATTCAAAAGTCCTTGGCCTTATCGTATAGCTAGGACAGCCATATGCCTATCCCACGCATGCTTAAATTCCTTCAATGTGTTAACCTCTACCACTTTAGCTTGAAGGCTATTTCATGCATCCACTAGCCTGCTAGTAAAGTAATACTTCCTGATATTATTTTTAAACCTTTGCCCCTCGAATTTAAGACTATGTCCTCTTGTTGTGGTAGTTTTTCTTCTTTTAAATATAGTCTCCTCCTTTACTGTGTTGATTCTCTTTATGTATTTAAATGTTTCTATCATATCCCCCCTGTCTCGTCTTTCCTCCAAGCTATACATGTTAAGATCCTTTAACCTTTCCTGGTAAGTTTTATCCCGCAATCCATGAACCAGTTTAGTAGCCCTTCTCTGAACCCTCTCTAAGGTATCAATATCCTTCTGAAGATACGGTCTCCAGTACTGTGTACAATACTCCAAGTGAGGTCTCACCAGTGTTCTGTACAATGGCATGAGCACTTCCCTCTTTCTACTGCTAATACGTCTCCCTATACAACCAAGCATTCTGCTAGCATTTCCTGCTGCTCTATTCCATTGTCTGTCTACCTTTTAAGTCATCTGAAATTATTACCCCTAAATCCCTTTCCTCAGATGTTGAAGTTAGGATTCTATCAAATATTCTGTACTCTGCCCTTGGGTTTTTACGTCCAAGATGCATTATCTTGCACTTATCCAGATTAAATGAGACCATTTTTCTAGTAATAATGTCTTTCTTTCTGATTAAATGCCACATACAAATTGTCTGCTCTCTTTTCAGTATCCATACATTCCTGCTCACATTACAAAACCCAAAGAACACAAGAAGCTGTTCTTGGTGCAGTTACAGGAAAAAGGTAAGGTGATCCTGACTACAGACAAAGCCAAGAGTATAAAAGCATTGAAATAATCAACTCCGTTAATGTCCAAAGACCGTTGTACAGATAACAGTAATAATCGGTTTTCTTCCTTAAGCAGTTCCAGGCCTAGTTTGTGTTGGTTGTCTGTAATGTGCTTATTTCTGACACAGAACTCTATTGTATGGTTATTAAATCCAGTCTCTCTAATCCTTTTTTTTTTCACATTCTTAATTCTCTAGCACTATTTGCAGTGCCGAAAAATTACAAACTTGTTGCAGCGCCCCTGTTTGAACTCTACGACAATGCCCCTGGCTATGGCCCTATTATTTCCAGTCTCCCACAGCTTCTAAGCAGGTAAGGACTTATTAATGTATTGCTACAATTATCATTTTTGTTTTTTTTAAATGTATGTTAACTGTTTTTATGGATAAGTAAATAGTTTATATTTCTAAGAGAAATTTTCCATAGCTCTTGCTTAATATTTTGAAAGGCCTCACTGCATGTGGAATGGTTTCACTGCTGAACCCACCATCCCAGGAATATGACACATTGGGGTTTATTCTCTAATCACAGGACTGCAAAATGTAGACAACAATATCTTATTTTACTGTAGACACATCTGCTTAAGCAAACTCCTGCTAAGACTGAGACATTACTGCAAATCCAATTGTTTGCTATGCTTGCATAATGGAACATTGGGGTAGATTATGCTCATGTAAGCGATTTTATTTAGTGTTCTATATTTATTCAATAATACACAGTTTGTCCTTAGATTTTAAAATATGAGAATTTACACACAGGACATTGACACATACACACAGGACACTGAATTACACTTACACCAAGATGACACTAACATATACGTTTACACATACATGACCCTGTCACACACTTACACACAGAGGAGACACACACTCACTGATTTGACACATACTGACACACACATTCTCTCTCTCTCACACACTCACAAATTTATTGTTTTTTTTAGTTTTATTATTACGTTCACCCAGCCTCTCTACCTCTGGGAGAGCTGAAGTAAATCTTATCCTGGGGTCCACTAGGGGGCTTATGTAATCTCCATGCTCTTCCAGCATTGCTCTTTCGCGCACTGTTTAGTGATGCCGGGGCTGGAGTGACCTCATAACCCAGCATCACTACAGGGCACCCAAGGGAGCAGTGCTGGAAGATCGTGAAGAGTACAGCTCTAAGGTGGCCAGTCAGACACCTTTTGGCATTACCCTCTCCACTTATGAACCTATCCCCTGGTATACGGATTACTAAGAAACACAAGATATATATATATATATATATATATATATATATATATATATATATATATATATATATATATATATATATATATATATATATATATATATATATTCAGCAGTGTTTATACTGACCAAATCTGGTAGAAAGTAAATGAAAAAATAAGTCACCGGCTTTTTGCCATCAAACCTACACATCCACAATATTTTCCTTCTGGCAGTACAAACGGCCAGCGTACAAAGAGTTACAATAATGTAAAAATACTATTTTGTTTAATACATATTATTTATAAAATATTCTCATAATATGAATTTTGTAACCTAAAGGTTTGTTTTAATTATTGGGGTGTGATGTATCCCTCTGTAGCGTTAACCCCTTTCTCCCTAGGAGCTAGTCGTCTAATTGGTGCTAATGACAGATTTTTGCAGTGTCTTAGAATCTGCCACTATATGCTTGCAAATTCAGTTGAGCTGATTATGCAGGTATATGGCATTCATTTCCGTTGAATCTGAACATTCACTTGTGTATTTTCATACGAAATGCGGATTTCAGCTGTTCCGTTAATTCAGAAAAAAAATGGAACCCAAACAAGCTGCCTGTTTCAAAGAGAATCCATTCTATATTATCCTCACAATTTCATTATGGGATAAAAGTGATTTGGAACGTTCTAAAGGAATATAGTGTATGGTTAGTAAAGAGATAATACTTTGCATTAGGATTATATGAGATGAGTTTGTAGAGAAGAATGTCAATTTGTTTTAACAGAACTGTGTGTAACAATCTCCTGTTTCCTGCAGGTTCAACTTTATTTACAACTGAAAAGTCAGCAGTATCCAGGGCAAGACAGTGCGTGAATGAAGCGGTCTCTGTGAGCACAGCTTTAATGTGGGAAATCGGAAGTTGGAGAGAGATTTTTTTTTTTCCCTTTTTTTTTTTTTTTAATTTTTCCTGATCTGTTTAACTTGTTGCTCTCAGAATAGAAGGACTGTGCAGCAATCCACAGCAGCAAGGTGTTCTATAGTGTTTTAATTTTTTTTTATTGTGTTTCATTATTAAGTGTAATTCAATTTTCTTACAGAATTAAAAAATGGATACTTTCCAGAATGCTTGTCTGTTTATTGGTTCTCATTGAATTTAATGGATCACCATGATTTGGGATGGCAGCTGCTCAATGATAGATCATAACTTATTTGTTCTTAAATGACCTCTTCTGTGCTGTTTGTATTTTATTTTAAATGAAAGGTGTTATTTAAACTTCAAAACGTTAAAAACATTGTTATAATAAAATTTCAATGAAACTAATTTTAAAACTTGCAAATATATTCTCTTTAAATCTCGATTTAAAAAAGCATACATCAAAGATGTAGTGAAATTAATCAAGAACAGCTTAAAGGGGGAACAGTCACTTTTCTGTAAATTTCACCATTGAATAAAACATTGAAAATAACCTATGACTTGTTAACCATTTTTTATGACACTCCATGGTCTTTTATATGTACATAAAGGGTTTATCAATTGACTTCACCTTGACACAGCCAAGGCACCCATTGGTTTGGAGGAGGAGACAATATAGCTAAACAACAGTGATCTGAATTTTTAAAATGAATGTGTTTTTTTTTTTTTTTTCGACCTATTCATATATTTGTTAAAAATCAGGAATACGTTAACATATAAAAAAAATTCTAAGAAGTGACAGTTCCCCTTTAAGTCACGGATTTATCAATTGCTGTCGTTGCTGATGCATTGCCTTTAGTTAATTTCTCTAGGTTATAGCTTGAGAACCAAGCACTGTATGATCTGACTGTGAAGAATACTGAGAGAACCCATGCATTGTGGAAATGTTTGCACTTGATTGCATCAGCTCATAGTTGTTTGTGTGCTTAGTAGAGAACATTCATATCTGAAATGTTTAGGTACTATGAACTTTATACCTATGATAGATTTGCTACTTTTTGATAAAACCTGTGTTGGAACAGATTAATTTCCCATTTCTTCATTAACCTATACACAAACTCACCAATCGGGTAATAATGGTAAAACAGACTAATGTGCTGATGATGCTGGATCTGTCATTCCTACATTTCAGCATTACAAATGGCAATAAAGGAACATTTGTGTGAAAGAAACACTCAAACCCATAAAGGACTTTAGATAGGTAAAGAGCTTTATGTGTGAATAGTGTGCCCTCTTTTGTTCTTCATTTTACAAAAAGAGCAGATTTAAAAAGAAATTAACATTTTTTTACATGTTAACCCTATTACAACCCCCTGGCTATCAATCAGACAACTGGTCCCTTTACTTCCTGGTTTAGTTAGCTCAGTGGAGCTAATCTCAAGAGGCAGCAATTGCCCAGACCACCTGTTTTACAAATACCTCTAATTGAGCTGCATTGGGAAGACTGTGATTGGACAGTTACAATAAGTCTGGGCTGGGATAGAAGGGGAGGGCACTTTACTGTGGGTTTTATTGCTGTGGAACTCTGCAAACTCTTTATACGCAATTCAAATTACTATTGAGCTTGTGAGCAGTATCCAGGGCAAGACAGTGCGTGAATGAAGCGGTCTCTGTGAGCACAGCTTTAATGTGGGAAATCGGAAGTTGGAGAGAGATTTTTTTTTTTTTCCCTTTTCTTTTTTTTTTTTTTTAATTTTTCCTGATCTGTTTAACTTGTTGCTCTCAGAATAGAAGGACTGTGCAGCAATCTGCTATATAGCTCTTCGAAAAGAGACACACTAGAATAACTAAAACGATTTTTATTGTGGGGAAAAAAGTGATGTTTGGAGAGTTCATCAGTGATTGCTAAATTTTAGGCCAAAATAGCTGCATTTGAATCATTCCCACACTGATATTTTTCAGCTTGACTGTTTTAGCCTAGAATCTGAAATCCCCTTGTCAGTGCTACAAAATGCACAATTTAGTGGATAGACATAGTTACAGTTGAAAAGAAACTTGTGTCCATCAAGTTCAGCCTTCCTCACATATGTTTTTTCTGTTTTATCCAAAAGAAGGCAAAAACCCAGTCTGAAGCGTTTCTAATTTAGCAACAAACTAGGAAAAAAAATCCTCTTTGACCCCAAAATAGCAGTCTGATGTCTCCTTGGATCAAGCAGCTATTACCCCACTAATTAGAAACTATATCCCTGTATGTTATGTTTTTACAAGTATTTATCCAATTGCAGTTTAAACATCTGTATAGACTCTGACAAAACCACCTCTTCAGGCAAAGAATTCCATATCCTTATTGCTCTTACTGTAAAAAAAAAAACTTTTCTTTGCCTTAGATGAAATCTCCTTTGTTCCAGCCTAAATGTGTGACCTCGTGTCCCATGTATAGCCCTGTTTATGAATAGATTTCCAAATAATGGTTTGTACTGGCCCCGGACATATTTGTATAATGTTATCATATTCCCTCTCAGGCGCCGTTTTTCCAAACTAAAGAGACTTAAATTAAAATTTTTTAACCTTTCTTCATAACTAAAATGCTCTCAGAGAAGCTGTGTGTCAAAAAATTAGATTGTTCTGTTATTATTTATATAGTGCCAACAAATTCCGCAGCGCTTGACAGTGGGTGGATGAACAAACATGTAGTTGTAACCAGACAAATTGGACACACCGGAAAAGATGGGTTGAGGGCCCTGCTCAATGAGCTTACATGCTAGAGGGAGTGGGATAAAGTGACGCAAAAGGTGTGGATAGTATTAGACTGACAGTTGCAAGAGAGAAATCAGTCGGGAGCTATTAATAATTGAATTGATACGCTTTTATGAAAAAGTGGGAGTGGAGACTGGGTGAGCATCTAATGGAGGAGGGAAGTGAGTTCACCAGGAACAGTGCAGTCCTCGAGGTCTTGAAGGCGAGCATCAGTGGTGGGAGTACGGACAGAAGATAGACTTAAGTCTTCAGCAGAGCGTGAGGGCCTAGGCAGGACATACTTCTGTATTAGGGAGGATAGAGAGGTCGGTGCAGCATTATGTAGAGATTTGAAAACGAACCAGAATTTTAAATTGAGCCCTATATCTTACAGGAAGCCAATGTAGTGACTGACAGAAGGGTGAGGCGTGGGCGGTGCGGGCGGACAGGAAGATGAGCCTCACCGCTGCATTCATTATAGACTGTAACGACGCAAGTTGGGAGCACGTAAGACCACTGAGGAGCGGATTATAGTAGTCAAGGAGAAAGCCATAGATAAATGTTTGTTTGAAATGTACAGTTTACAAAGCTATATCTTACAATTTGGTTTTCAATTTACAGCATTTCACTGTATAATTAATAAACTCTTACAGGCCTGCTCTTGTTCAGTCGTACAGTAATCCATGATGGTTGTGTGCTGAGGCCTCTGCAAGGCCACAGCTGCACAGTTAAGCACACGTTTGTATAATCGGCTGAGCAAGCAAAACAAGTAACCCAATGAGTGATTTTTCACTTGACAAATTTGTTGGAACGGAGTGTGCGTCAAAAGAGTTGTCCACTAAAATCCAAATTGCTAAACTGAGACAAAATTAATTTCTTTGGTTCCTACACTTATGGCTTTAGTCACAGCTCGATAATTTAGTGTCCATACAGCCATTTAGATTTCACTTTGCTACAATTTGTAGTTTGAGGATTAACCCCTTAAGGACCAAACGTCTGGAATAAAATAGAATCATGCATTGCCACACATGTCATGTGTCCTTAAGGGGTTAAATCCCTTAGGCTTCCAACACCAACATTACTGCTATAAGATTGAAGTGGTTGTAGTGCATGGATAGTTCCTTAAAGCCACCATGTTTCTTTTATCTTTGCATATTTTGCACAGACCCCCAGGGGAACTTGCCCACTTTGTGTGTGATTGCCTGACGATGAAGGTCGCTGTACTCACCTAAAATTCTTCCTTTGTGGTCAACGCGATCTCTTTCCTTCACATTCTGGTTCTTCGTGTGCAAAATTATAACTAAGGTCTATAGACAAGGCTGTGGTATCCTCCATGGACCAACTTGACTAACAGGAAAATGCCAATTCTCCACCGCTATGGCTGCGGCAATTGATAAACGTTGACAGACGAGGCTCTGCTTTTAGTCAACATTTGGGCTTCACCCATAAAGTCAAGCGGTTCCTAACTTGATATCTAATGCTATCTTTTGACTGCATTGCATTTTCAATTAAATTTGATATGCATATTTTATAAATAATCTATTTATTTATTTTTTAATTAAATACTCAAAAATGAACGATGCTCCATACAGATAGTTTGGATTAGAACTTGAAACTAATTTTCAATTTGATTTTGTTTTTTAAATAAATAACATTTTGCCGCTGCTTTGTGAATAAATCCCACTAGTGTGCACACACATTTGGCCTTTTTTTTTTTTAAGGGACATTAATAATATTTTAAATAGTTCATAGTACATTAGATTTAGTGTAATTAATAATAACCCTGATATAAAATTGTGATTTTAATGAAACATTGACCAATAAGGCTGCTAAAAAGGCAAATCCCCCATAATTGATTATTACCTATTAATTTATTAGATCCCCAAGCCAGCCAGGGGGGTAAATAATCCCCCCCTGCCCCCTCTGTGTAAGTGCCCCAGGGGTAGTTGTTGTTGTTGTTGTTGTGGTTGTTATTGTCCATTGGAAGCTGCTGTGTGTATAAGGTCAGCTATTCTCATGGCTCCCGCTGTTATACCGCTGGCAGGCGGCAGGGGGCAGCAGCAGGCTGGGACATAGGTCGGTGTTGCTCGGTGTCAGCTCGGTGAAGTTTAGGTTAGCGGAGGAGGGCGGTCCGGGGGTGCGGGCAGGAAGCAGTGTGATTCTGGTAGAGTAGGTCTGACCATGCCGCTGCTGTTCCTGGAGCGCTTCCCATGGCCCAGCCTGCGGACATACACCGGGCTGAGCGGCCTAGTGCTGGCCATGAGCCTCCTCACCGCCTACCGGAGCCTGAGAGCCGAACTGGGCCACACCGGGACCGACACCGATACCGGGACCGACCTGACGGCAGACTGGGGGGAATTACTGCTCGAACTGGGCCGACAACTGGTCTCTGACAGCCTGGGGGTGTGGGTGAGGAGCAGGAACTTATATTATACCTGTATTGTATTATATTATATTATAAACACACACTGTATAATAATAATATTATTAACACACACTGTATATACTGTATTATAACTGGTCTCTGACAGCCTGGGGGTGTGGGTGAGGAGCAGGAACTTATATCATACCTGTATTATATTATTATTATTATTAACACACACTGTATATACTATATTACATACTGTATATATTATATTATTATAAACACTGTATATACTATATTATTATTATAAACACACACTGTATATATTATTAACACACTGTATATATTATATTATTATTAACACACTGTATATATTATAACTGGTCTCTGACAGCCTGGGGGTGTGGGTGAGGAGCAGGAACTTATACCATACCTGTATTGTATTATATTATAAACACACACTGTATAATAATATTAACACACTGTATATACTATATTATTATTATTACTAACACACATTGTATATACTATATTACATACCGTATATATTATATTATTATTAACACACTGTATATATTATAACTGGTCTCTGACAGCATTGGGGTGTGGGTGAGGAGCAGGAACTTATATCATACCTGTATTGTATTATATTATAAACACACACTGTATGTACTATATTATTATCACATACTGTATATATTATTATTATAAACACACACTGTATATACTATATTACATACTGTATATATTATATTATAAACACACACTGTATATACTATATTATTATTATAAACATACACTGTATATATTATATTATTATTAACACACTGTATATATTATAACTGGTCTTTGACAGCCTGGGGGTGTGGGTGAGGAGCAGAAACTTATATTATACCTGTATTATATTATTATTATTATTATTATTATTTTTATTTTTATAAACACACACTGTATATACTATATTACATACTGTATATATTATATTATTCTAAACACTGTATATACTATATTATTATAAACACACACTGTATATATTATTAACACACTGTATTTATTATATTATTATTATTAACACACTGTATATATTATAACTGGTCTCTGACAGCCTGGGGGTGTGGGTGAGGAGCAGGAACTTATATTATACCTGTATTGTATTATATTATAAACACACACTGTATATACTATATTATTATTATTATTATTATAAACACACACTGTATATATTAACACACTGTATATATTATATTATTAACACACTGTATATATTATAACTGGTCTCTGACAGCCTGGGGGTGTGGGTGAGGAGCAGGAACTTATATCATACCTGTATTGTATTGTATTATATTATAAACACACACTGTATGTACTATATTATTATTATTATTATTATTATTATTATTATTACACACACTGTATATACTATATTACATACTGTATATATTATATTATTATAAACACTGTATATACTATATTATTATAAACACACACTGTATATATTATATTATTATTAACACACTGTATATACTATATTATAACTGGTCTCTGACAGCCTGGGGGTGTGGGTGAGGAGCAGGAACTTATATCATACCTGTATTGTATTATAATATTATTATTATTATTATTATTATTATTATTATTATCATCACACACTGTATGTACAATATTATTATTATAAACACACACTGTATATATTAACACACTGTATATATTATATTATTAACACACTGTATATATTATAACTGGTCTCTGACAGCCTGGGGGTGTGGGTGAGGAGCAGGAACTTATATCATACCTGTATTGTATTGTATTATATTATAAACACACACTGTATGTACTATGTTATTATTATTATTATTATTATTATAAACACACACTGTATATACTATATTACATACTGTATATATTATATTATTATAAACACACACTGTATATAATATTATTATTATAAACACACACTGTATATATTATATTATAACTGGTCTCTGACAGCCTGGGGGTGTGGGTGAGGAGCAGGAACTTATATCATACCTGTATTGTATTGTATTATATTATAAACACATACTGTATATATTTATTATTATTATAAACACACTGTATATACTATATTACATACTGTATATATTATATTATTATAAACACACACTGTATATACTATATTATAACTGGTCTCTGTCAGCCTGGGGGTGTGGGTGAGGAGCAGGAACTTATATCATATATCTGTATGGCATTATATTATAAACACACACTGTATGTATTATATTATTATTATTAACACACTGTATATATTATATTATAACTGGTCTCTGACAGCCTGGGGTTGTGGGTGAGGAGCAGGAACTTATCATACCTGTATTATATTATATTATAAACACATACTGTATATATTATTATTATAAACACACTGTATATACTATAGTATAACTGCTCTCTGACAGCTTGGGGGTGTGGGTGAGGAGCAGGAACTTATATCATACCTGTATTATATTATTATAAACACATACTGTATATATTTTATTATAAACACACTGTATATACAATATTATAACTGGTCTCTGACAGCCTGGGGTTGTGGATGAGGAGCAGGAACTTATATCACATCTGTATTGTATTATATTATAAACACATACTGTATATATTATATTACATACTGTATATACTATATTATTATTAACACACGGTATATACTATATTATAACTGGTCTCTGACAGCCTGGGGCTGTGGGTGAGGAGCAGGAACTTATATCATACCTGTATTGTATTGTATTGTATTGTATTATATTATGTTATAAACACATACTGTATATATTATAAACACACACTGTATTTATTATTATTATTATTATTAACACACACTGTATATACTATATTATAACTGGTCTCTGACAGCCTGGGGGTGTGGGTGAGGGGCAGGAACTTATATCATACCTGTATTGTATTATGATATTATAAACACATACTGTATATACTATATTATTAACACACTATATATTATATTATAATTATTATTATTATTCACACACTGTATATATATCATACCTGTAGTGTATTATATTATAAACACATACTGTATATACTATATTATAAACACACACTGTATATATTATATTATAACTGGTATCTGACAGCTTGGGGGTGTGGGTGAGGAGCAGGAACTTATATCATACCTGTATTATATTATATTATATTATAAACACACACTGTATATATTATATTATACCTGCTCTCTGACAGCCTGGGGGTGTGGGTGAGGAGCAGGAACTTATATCATACCTGTATTATATTATAAACACACACTGTATATATTATAATATTAATAATAATAATAATAACACACACTGTATATATTATATTATAACTGCTCTCTGACAGCCTGGGGGTGTGGGTGAGGAGCAGGAACTTATATCATACCTGTATTATATTATAAACACACACTGTATATATTATAATATTATTAATAATAATACACACTGTATATATTATATTATAACTGCTCTCTGACAGCCTGGGGGTGTGGGTGAGGAGCAGGAACTTATACCTGTATTATATTATATTATATTATATTATATTATAAACACATGATGTATATATTATAAACACACACTGTATATATTATAAACACACACTGTATATTATTATTAACACACACTGTATATTATTATTAACACACACTGTATATTATTATTAACACACACTGTATATACTATATTACAACTGGTATCTGACAGCCTGGGGGTGTGGGTGAGGAGCAGGAACTTATATCATACCTGTATTGTATTGTATTATATTATAAACACACACTGTATATATTATCACACACTGTATATACTATATTATAACTGGTCTCTGACAGCCTGGGGGTGTGGGTGAGGAGCAGGAACTTATATCATATCTGTATGGTATTATATTATAAACACACACTGTATATACTATATTATTATAAACACACACTGTATATATTATAATATTAATAATAATAATAATAATAACACACACTGTATATATTATATTATAACTGCTCTCTGACAGCCTGGGGGTGTGGGTGAGGAGCAGGAACTTATATCATACCTGTATTATATTATAAACACACACTGTATATATTATAATATTATTAATAATAATAACACACACTGTATATATTATATTATAACTGCTCTCTGACAGCCTGGGGGTGTGGGTGAGGAGCAGGAACTTATACCTGTATTATATTATATTATATTATATTATAAACACATGATGTATATATTATAAACACACACTGTATATATTATAAACACACACTGTATATTATTATTAACACACACTGTATATTATTATTAACACACACTGTATATTATTATTAACACACACTGTATATACTATATTACAACTGGTATCTGACAGCCTGGGGGTGTGGGTGAGGAGCAGGAACTTATATCATACCTGTATTGTATTGTATTATATTATAAACACACACTGTATATATTATCACACACTGTATATACTATATTATAACTGGTCTCTGACAGCCTGGGGGTGTGGGTGAGGAGCAGGAACTTATATCATATCTGTATGGTATTATATTATAAACACACACTGTATATACTATATTATTATAAACACACACTGTATATATTATAATATTAATAATAATAATAATAATAACACACACTGTATATATTATATTATAACTGCTCTCTGACAGCCTGGGGGTGTGGGTGAGGAGCAGGAACTTATATCATACCTGTATTATATTATAAACACACACTGTATATATTATAATATTATTAATAATAATAACACACACTGTATATATTATATTATAACTGCTCTCTGACAGCCTGGGGGTGTGGGTGAGGAGCAGGAACTTATACCTGTATTATATTATATTATATTATATTATAAACACATGATGTATATATTATAAACACACACTGTATATATTATAAACACACACTGTATATTATTATTAACACACACTGTATATTATTATTAACACACACTGTATATTATTATTAACACACACTGTATATACTATATTACAACTGGTATCTGACAGCCTGGGGGTGTGGGTGAGGAGCAGGAACTTATATCATACCTGTATTGTATTGTATTATATTATAAACACACACTGTATATATTATCACACACTGTATATACTATATTATAACTGGTCTCTGACAGCCTGGGGGTGTGGGTGAGGAGCAGGAACTTATATCATATCTGTATGGTATTATATTATAAACACACACTGTATATACTATATTATTATAAACACACACTGTATATATTATAATATTAATAATAATAATAATAATAACACACACTGTATATATTATATTATAACTGCTCTCTGACAGCCTGGGGGTGTGGGTGAGGAGCAGGAACTTATATCATACCTGTATTATATTATAAACACACACTGTATATATTATAATATTATTAATAATAATAACACACACTGTATATATTATATTATAACTGCTCTCTGACAGCCTGGGGGTGTGGGTGAGGAGCAGGAACTTATACCTGTATTATATTATATTATATTATATTATAAACACATGATGTATATATTATAAACACACACTGTATATATTATAAACACACACTGTATATTATTATTAACACACACTGTATATTATTATTAACACACACTGTATATTATTATTATTAACACACACTGTATATACTATATTACAACTGGTATCTGACAGCCTGGGGGTGTGGGTGAGGAGCAGGAACTTATATCATACCTGTATTGTATTGTATTATATTATAAACACACACTGTATATATTATCACACACTGTATATACTATATTATAACTGGTCTCTGACAGCCTGGGGGTGTGGGTGAGGAGCAGGAACTTATATCATATCTGTATGGTATTATATTATAAACACACACTGTATATATTATATTATTAACACATACTGTATATACTATATTAACACACTGTATATACTAGATTATAAACGCATACTGTATATACTATAAACGCACTGTATATACATCATATTCTAAACACATACTGTATATACTCTATTCTATTTTAACTGGTCTCTGACAGCCTGGGAGTGTGGGTAAGCAGCAGGAACTTATTTCATTATAAACACGCTGTATGTAATATACTACATTATAAACATACTGTATATACTAGATTATAAACACACACTATATATACTGTATTATATATTGTATATTAGACACCGTATATATACTATATTATATACGCACACTGTAGACTATAGTATAGACCAGGGGTAGGCAACCTACGGCACTAGTGCCATGCACGGCACTCGAGGTGTCTTTGCACGGCACTCAAGGCTGCTAGAGCCAAACAGGCTCTGGCCTATCAGGAGTCCCAGTAAAACTTCAAATATCTGCTAATACGAAAAGATGGTGAAGGACAATCCTCAATTCAAGCATTGCAGCACATAGAGGAAATTATCTCAGATCACTTCCTCCAAGCACTTGTGAATGGGAATCCACAACATAGTAGAGCAGCCTGCAGCTGCTGTTGCAGCTCCTGTCTTTGACCTGTACCAGGCCAGCCTGGTCCCCACTGGAACCCAGGGAAGCCAACCATACTGCTAGATATACACAGATATTGTGAATCAAACTAAGTGTTTATCTGAGTATCTGCTCCTTTCCAAATTGTTAAAATAAATGCGTGCACGCTCTGAAGTAAATTACACTGAGACACAGGTATCAGGTTAATGAAAAACTTTGGAATGTTTACTCAGTGGGCGGCAAGCCCCTTATAAAGGCAAACAATACATCATATGCCAAAATGTAGATAACAGAGAGAATACATCTTTAATTGGTTAGGTGTTAAGTGTCTTACCTAATGCACATCCTACGAGGCGTGATGTCACCATCATCCCGGGATTTTACTCCAGATGTAGGGGCCATCTTGTTACACGAGGTAGCTAGTCGGTGGGAGGGGGTGCTCTATCAGCCATTTTGAGTAGATATTGAATACAGGTATACACAGTAAATAGACATTTTACTATCACTAATTTACATTCATAACACAGAAATGAAGTATAACCCTCCCCTTATACAAATAATACGAACAGCCCACACACAAACATACACACAACCTGCACAAACGTAACCCACTAACAATCCACATACATGCACACAACCCCACATGTAGCCTCTCACATGCAATACCCCAAACAGCCCAAACACACAATGTGACATATCCATCCACACACAATTCCACAAGCAGTCCCCATACACAGCCCACATTCATATGTATCATACACAATACCATAAACTACTAATGAACATATACAATATAATCGCTTATATACACACAAATACAACGATGCAAAGCAATTACAGTATAAATAACACAAGCAGAATACGGCAGCATACACACCTCAATTTAAAAAAATAGGACCGGCACGCTACGGGACATCACAATCCTATATCGGCACAGTGCTGCTAAAAGGTTGCCTACCCGTGGTATAGACTATATTATACACACATTGTGTTTGTACTGTATTGTATATTAGACACACTGTATCTACTATATTATATACACACTATATAGGAAAAAAATATATATAATATACACTGTAGTATATATTATAAACATACACTGTGTGTGTGTGTGTGTGTATATATATATGTATATATTATATACATACACTATATACTATATTATATAGTTTAAACACATTGTACATATTCTAAACACGCATTGTATATAAAATATTATGTATTCTATATACACACACTGTATAAAACTTACTGTTACCCTATTTTACACAATATAAATCATATAATTTCCTGTATTAAATATAATTTAAACACAGTTGTTATATATCCTATCCTAAAACTGTATTATATATCAAACAGAATGTATACTATATTACATAATCACGTAAACACTCTGCATTATATAATCTCACAAATTATGATGCATACTATACTATTTATAACTTAATGTATGTCACATTAACACATTGTGTAATACACACTGGTTTAAGTAGCATAAAATGCACACTACTGTATGTGTGTGTGTGTGTGTGTGTGTGTGTGTGTGTGTGTGTGTATATATATATATATATATATATATATATATATATATATACACTGCTGTATTGAATAATTATGTAAACTCGCACTGTATAACACATACTATATTTTATATTTGTTCCAAACTGTGATAGTGTTACCTGCATGTTTTGTGGCACTTTTTTTTTTTTTTTTTCAGGATGAAAATATGTCCCATTTTACCGTTGGTTTAGATACAGGGTTCTTCTAACTGTTGCCCCCCAGATGTTGCTGAACTACAACTCCCATTATTCTCTGGTTATCTGTTTCAATTAACGAATCGTTTAGCAACATCTGGAGGGCCAGAGTTTGGATAGCCCTAATTTTAGAAGATGGAGAGGGGGCACGTTCAATTAAGGGACGTGGACCTCCTTGCATACAAGCCTAGAACTTTCTACATAGGGCGGTTGCAGTTTTGATATGGTGATTGGGAAAGCAAAATAAGGTGTTTGCCTCCAGGTGATCTTGGAACCTCTCTTGAATTTGCGTTGCAGTTTGTGTGGGGCCTTTGCTATCCTCTGATATATGGACACTGTTTTCAGCTTTGACGTCTATCTAGCTTACAAGGTCTATCTAGCTCACGGAGCTGCAGACAGAATAATCATCCCACCGGACCACCAGGGACTTCAACCACTGGACCACCAGGGAATTATATTTCAACAAAAACGTATTTCAGTGTGTGGAGGCTTGTCACAGCCTCCACACACACTGTCCCCAACTCTGCCCTCCCACCCTCACTGCCCTCCCACCCTCACCGCCCCAACACTGCCCTCCCACCCCCACCGCCCCAACACTGCCCTCCCACCCCCACCGCCCTCCCACCCTCACTGCCCCAACACCGCCCTCCCACACCCTCACTGCCCTCACTGCCCACCCATATACACTGCCCACCCACATTCACTGCCCGAACACTGCCTTCACTGCCCACCCACATACACTGCCCTCCCACACCCACTGCCCCAACATTGCCCTCCCCCTTCACTGCCCTGCCCCCCACATATCCTGCCCCAACATACACTGCCCCGCCATCCACATGCCCTGCCCACCACATACACTGCACCCACGTTGCCCTGCCCACCACATACACTGCACCCACATTGCCCTGCAAGCCACATACCCTGCCCCCCACATACACTGACCACCAAATGCCCTGTCCCCCACACTGCCCTGCCCTCACATACGCTGACCACCACAAACACTGCCCTCCACACTGATGACCGCCACATACACTGCCCTCCACACTGATGACCGCCACATACACTGCCCTCCACACCGATGACCGCCACATACACTGCCCTCCACACCGATGACCGCCACATACACTGCCCTCCACACCGATGACCGCCACATACACTGCCCCCAACATGGATGACCGCCACATACACTGCCCCCAACATGGATGACCGCCACATACACTGCCCCCAACATGGATGACCACCACATACACTGACCACCACAATCACTGCTCCCACATTGACCACCACATACACTGCTCCCTCACTGACCACCACATACCCTTCCCCCACTCTGACCACCACACACCCTGCTCCCCCACACTGTCTCCCACACGGTCACACACCCTGCCCCCCTACACTGTCATACACACTGCCCCCTCGTGCTGTCACACACCCTTCCCTCTCTACACTGTGTCCCACACACCTTGCCCTCCCATACTGTAACACACCCTGTCCACCCACACTGCCCCACACTATCACCATCCTCCACACTGCCACCCCACACTGTCATTTTCCTCCTCACTGTCACCCACTCACACCCTGCCCCCCGAAACTGTCACATTCCTCCACACTGCTCCCTCACCCTGTTACCCTTTCACACACTTGCACCCCATATTGTCAGCCCCCAACACTGTCACCAATACATACAGTCGCCCCTGCACACACTGTCACCCTTTCCAACACTGCCTCCCACACTCTTACCTACCCACGTCACAATTCCACACACATACAGCCACCCCCCACACTGTCAACCCCCACATGCTGTCATGCCCTCTTCACCCAGCCTCGCTCACATTAACCTCTCCTAATCTTGTCGCTCTCACCCCCTCCATCCATACCACAATTACCGGCCCTCGCTCTTCCACACTCACCCCATCACATTAATCCCCCTAATTCTATCACACTCATCTTCTCTCATACTGTCACACTCACCCCCGACCCTGTCACACTCCTCCTTTTTCACATTAACCCTTTCACTTGTGCCCAACCATGCCACACTCACCCTGTCACATAATCCTGTCCGACTCACTTTCCCTCGCCTTGTCACACTCCCTCCTCCAGCCGTGCAACACATAACCATAACCCTGTCAAACTCATCCCCCTTCACCCTATCACATTAACTTCTATCCTGTCACTCATCTTGCCAAACCATGCCACACTCACCCTGTCACATAACCCTCCCTCATCCTGTCACTCTCCCCTCGCCCTGTCTTAGTTTAAATAAAAACAAAATAAAAGGGAAAATCTTTTTTTCACCCCTCTCCCCCAGAGCAGAGACTCACTCTGAGCAGCTGACTCTTCTTGTGCTTCTCATCCAATCATATGATTCTCATAGAGAATTATTACAGATGACAAGTGCAATGCTCATCTAATCAAACTGCATTTAGTTTTTACAAAATGACAATATTTACTATGAAGGATGAACATTAAATGTAAATGAAGTGGTTTGTGAGCAGTAGCGGTCATTTTAACTGTGATTTTTCTCACTTCATAATTATTGCGGTGTCTGTGTATTATTTTATCTAGCCGTGTGTGTCATTTGGAGAACTAACTTCTCTTTATACAGTGTGTTTGTACATGCAAGGACCTAGATAGACCTACTAAGGTTTGATAGTGTACATTCAGTGTGACAAGGTTGAATGATTGAGAGAGCAGATGTTGACATCCCTTTATGGAATTTAGGCCTAGTTAACCCCTTAATTATTCCAGTGCCTGTAGGACAGCATGGAACACCCTGCAGATTTGGTGTGAGCAGGGTTAAATCCCTTCTTACAACTATGTCTGGTGGAGCCATTCTTAGTGATACAGCACACACACATTTCTTTTAAAATTAATTACATTAAACATTTTATGCCAGAAACCATAGCCATTTTAGTGATTTAAAGTGGTTATGGTGGTAGGAGTCAGTATGTGCTGTGTTCTGCTGGAAACACTGCACATTCAGAGGTATTGCTAATTGTTTGCTGGGGGCCAATTGCACCCCCAGCACATGTGCGTTACGCAGCCTGGAACAACGCATAAATTGCATTTGTCAGTGCGCATTGACTACAGACATTAAATTATCCCCCTACCAAGCAGAGCATATGCAAAGGGAAGATACATGCTCCCTCCCACTCCCTGCCACCTCCGGCTTCCCTCCGTATGCACTCTTTTTTTATATATTTTTTTTTAAAACCACTCCCTCCCCTTTGCTGGACCGCATGAATGAGAAGCCTGATATGCAACTGCGCGCGACGCATATTAAGTTTTATAGGTCCTCCCCTCTGAATAGGGTTATAGTAACCCTTTAATATATATTTATTTTAAAATTAAACTCTGTTTTTATTTATGTTACATATATTCTCCCCATCTATTACATATTATAGGGTGTTATTAAGCACTATTTTAACTATATGAAACCTTTTGTCTCTAGACAATAAAATATCAATACGAATACCCCTGGATAGAAAACTATAGAAAAACGTTTGTAAAGCGGCACAATTGATACACATTCTAGTTTAGAATGAGTGTTATTTTTCATACACAGCAATGGGTTATTTTAAATCAAGTGATAACTGCTGACACAAGAAACCACAAATAGATGTCACAGCTGTTGTATATGTACGCATTCAGAAACTGTCACATGGTCATTGAAGAGCAATACTGGATAGTTTGTGTTTTCTGAAATGTTTACATTGACTTGTCATGAACAAAATCATCTGTTTAAAAAAAAAAAAAAAGAATAAATTGCCATTTTGTTAGCGTGATTTATTAGTCCAAGATTAGGACATTGCTGAGCCAAGCGGTCTTTGATCAGCAAAGCATTATTATACCTGTATGCAATGTTTAGACAAATGTAACAATCTGTACAGTGATAAGAATTGGCTATTGATAAAAGCAGTTGCTCTTTGCATGTATTTTATGCCAGGCAGGTACAAAACAAAGTGGTTCTAAATCTGAAAAAAATAACCATTTTAAGTGGTTAGTCTAGTAAAAATGTGACCCAGTATTCTTCTTTTATGCATTAACAAAGTATTGGTTAAAAAAAAAAAAAAAAAGAAAAGAAAATTGTTACAAGACTTACAGAAAGTTTCTTTTCCTGGCCAATATCAATGTCGGCATCACCTGTGGGTTAGCTCCTCCCTCTCAGCTGATAGGACAGGAATCTAAATTTCAAAAGATGGTATATAAGGAATCCACCTCCCCAGAATAAGCAGTCTCGTAACCAAGTCAGTCCAGAAAAAAGGGATGGTTTGTGAAAGAGCTTGGCAACAAGGAAAACACATTTCAGTGTTAAGACGCCTATAGATGAAGAATCCATAGGCTCAAAGGGTGTGCCTATCAGACTATGCAAAAGTGTAGGCAAGTCCCATGTTGGAACAAAGTTTTTAAACAGATGGTCTAATTCTCATTGCTCCTTTGTTAAAACGTTTAATCGTAGGATAATTGTACTTTAAGAGAATTAAGGCTCAAACCTTCATTCACACCATTTTGTAAAACTTCCAACAAATAAGGAAGATTAAGAGTTTCAGAAACTTTTCCAAGGTCAAGATAAGCTTCTAGATTCTATTGTATACTCTTGACGTAATGTGACTGCTAGTTTTGAGAATAGTCTTCAAAACATAATCTGATAAGCCTCTAGCTTTCAGAAAGTTCTTCTCAATCTCTAGGCCTTCAAATTGAGTCTTGCAGGATCTTTGTGGAGAAATGGGCCCTGTGATAATAGGTTCCTCTTGATTGGTAGTTCCCAAGAAACCCCTTGTGATAGACTTAACAGCAGTGGAAACAAAGGCCTCCTTGGCCAATGAGGAATAATTGCCATCACCTCTACATTTTCCTTCCAGGTCTTTTTGAAAGTTATCTGGATTAATGGAAGGAGAGGGAATATATATCCCAGCCAAAATTTCCATCTCTGTTAGGACATCTTGACGTTTGCTCTTGGGTCAAATCTTATGGAATAGAAAAAAGGGGGAACTTGTTTGTTTCTGTAGTTCACCATCAGATCTATATGCGATGTTCCCCGAAGATTGCATGTCTACTTGAACATATCCAAACTCACTTCCGTTCTCCTGGATGTACATAGTTTCGGTGACATTGTTCAGTTGTCCTGGAAGATGTATTGAGCTCCCCAACCTCATCCGCTGGCATCTGCGGTCACTAATTACGACTCTGGGTCCCCTAGCAGGAAGCCTCTCCTGATATTTTTTCTACGTTCATCCACTACTGAAGAGACATTCTTAGTTCTTCTGTGATCCAGATCTTTTGTTTCTATTATTGATTGAACGGCTCAAAGAAATTTTTCTGTGTTTATTCTCCGGTTCCAGTGTGCCCACCTCACTGAAGTTGAGGTTGATATTTGTTAAAGTTTATAAAACATCTAAAATCTTTTAAGTCCTGAATCACTGTCTCTGTATCAGTCTTCCTTTTGATTGATTTGTTCACAATCCGTATATCTTCCAGATAATGGAATATTCTGATTCCTTAATCTCATAGGAGAGTATTTAGGCTGGTCAGGATCTTTGTTAATGTACTGGGTGCGAACCTTAGACCAAACGGCATACCTAGGAATTGGAAATGACTTTAAAAAATATTGAACCTTAGATACTGTGCAAGTGCAACAGGGATGTGATAGTATGTGTTTTGAAGATCTTTTGATCTATGGAGGATAGCCATTCTGTAGGATATATATTTGAGGAAACATAGTCAACATGAGTCAAGACTCATCATCTTGAAAGTTTTTTTTTTTTTTTTTTTTCTTGGGGGTGAGCATTTTCTGTTAGACTGCGGTCCACTTGGCCACACTAGATGCAGTGACTAGCAGAAGGGGGAGCGCACCCCACACCTGTCACCTGCATGCCCTGGGTCAGTACGGCTGTACACCGGCCATATCGTTATGCCGGCCCACCGGGAAATTTCAAGTTCTGCCCATCATTTCGGGTGAAAGGGCAGCAGGGCCCCCTGGAGTGACTGGCCTGGTCACAGCTACGACTGCTACATGTTTATTTCAACGCTTCTAATAGTATTTGTATAATAATAAAAATCATACTGTAGGGCTGTAGTAGGTCATGTGCCATTTAATATACATGCATCAAAATGGTGATTTGCTATACAAAGCTGTTGTGGACTGAAAATTTTTATTAGGCCCAGCTAATAACCTGGATAAGGTTGACAGAAGTTCTATACCACAATAATTCAATCAGTGCCTTTTGGCTTGCAATATCACCTTTATGATGATGAAACGAACCTGTCAGTGTTCTCCTGATCTTTCTTTATCCCACTTTTATCTCTCACGGAACCCGTTTGGTGCCACCTCGTGACTGCACACAATTAGAGCAGACAATTCATGTGTAGGGAAAATACCTTCCCTGATTCACAGCGGTTCAGTTCAGCTTCGGCACCCATTCAGTCTGATGTTCCTAAGGACACCAGACTCTGCTGTTGCTCAAAGTTTTATAGCCCGTCTCCGACCACGTTGTAAATGGCATGAACGTGCATGTAACGTCCCGTCTTCAGCGCGCCCACACACACGCGCGTGTTCTGTGGTCAAAGGGCCCATCCTGACAAATCATGATCATTTTAGGGTTATTTAAACTCAAAACGCCTGTTATCAGTGCCCTGTCGTGGTTTCCAATAGCTGATAATTAGAGAATGTGTTCTTTATTGTATCCTTTTTTAGCATTTTGACCTTGACTTGTTCTTGACTGTCCCTGTTTCTGGTGTCTTTGACTTTTTGGCTTGTCTTCTCGATTTTGTCTTTCTATATCCCTGACCTCGACTTGTTTCTTACTATTCTTTGTTACATTAAGTCCAGCCATTCCTAGGCCTGGTAATATGTATATAAGGTTTTATGTTTATTCTTTGCTAACTTAATTCTGTGTGTTTGGTATATCTTATCTTAAGAATCTCCAACTGCCTCTCTGATATTTCTAACTGGATTGCAGCTCACTTCCTTGAACTCAATCTCCCCAAAACAGAACTTCTCACCTTTTTACCGTCAAACACTACAACTCCCGTGTCTATCCTTCAAACACTGTTACTCCCATGTCTGTCTCTCTCTAAGTCAATGGCACTTCAATCAGCTCTACCACACAGTCTCGCTGCCTTGGCGTTCTCTTCGATCCCCACCTCTTCTTTAACCTTCACAACCAGTGAACTGCCATATCCTCTCGCATCCATCTCAAAAACATAGCTTTCATCCGTCCCCACTTAACACCGGATGCAGCTACTTTGCTCATTCATGCCGCCATCATTGACTGCTGCAACTCGCTTCTCGCTGGTCTCACGCAGTTCCTCCTCCACCCTGCCAGAGTCGGTAATGAATGCTGCAGCCAAGCTCCTCATCCAGTGCTTCCGCACCTCCCATCTTTCCCTCTCTGTCAGTGCTGACATTTTCTTCCCGTAAGATATAGGACTAAAATTAAAATGATGGTCCTTGCTTATAAATCTCTGTATATCTACCTACCTATCCTCACTAATACACAACTATGTCTCATCCAGGCCCCTATGCTGTGACAAAGACCTGTGTTTATCCTCTGTTCGTACTCGCACCTCTGGTTCTCCCTTTCAAGACTTCTCTAGGGTTACCCAGTTCCTATTAAACTTTATTACCAGCTCCATTGGACTCTCACCCAGTTTCCATTCCTGCAAACAAATTACTGGAAACTCACTTCTTCAAGAAGGCATATCTTGACCTCGACCCAAGTATGGGGGCAAACAGTTGTTGAACCGGGAAGGGTACTCCTCACATCATAACCACTACAGTGGGCTGGATAAATCTTTAAACTGCTTTGAAAATGACTTTACCCTCTAATGTAAGAAGGTGGCCAGGGACTCGTGCCCTTTAACGACTTAACAGAAATGAAGTTATGAGGGTGGAATGTCTCTCTTTAATGCTCTGCCCATTGACAAACATTGCCAAAAAAAATGTTCCTCTTAAGAAAAAGTAATCCCTACTTTTTATATGCATAGAAAATCAAGGTGAATTAAAAACCCATAAAAAATAATGGACATAGAGGGACATAAATCGAATTTAAAAACTAAACATGCAAAGAGAGAGTGCTGATTTAATTGTTCATCAGATCGTCCAACACTGGGCGAAAATTCTGCGAGCGAATCTCTGCTTCTAGTGATGTGTTCATGAAAGCACGCCATCTGTGTCATGTGGCATTGGGAGTTCTATTACCAGACCTTCTGATTTAATAAATCTATTTTGTCATTGCTGCTCTCCAACATGTCAATCACTCCATATCTGCAACATTTATTTCTGTCTTGCATAATGAAGTCGTCGTATCTGTTGTGGGAGCAGTTGGGACCAGAACTTTTCCTGTCAATTCATTGCAATATATTTATTTTTAATGTGATGTGTTTATGCAATTAATAGCAGTCTTTTTTTTAAAGACTTTTTGTGTTTTTGCAAGAACTGAGCAAATGTTTAAGAAAATAAGTGAAAGCCTTGAATATATTTTGCACGGTTGCGTAAATTAAAAAACTCATCGTCCTGTCCTTCCATGCCTCCCTCTCTGCCGGTCCTTACATTGGCTTCCCATAAGATATAGAGCTCAATTGAAAATGACCCTCGCTTACAAATCTCTCCCTAACACTGCTCTTACTAGTAATACATAACTATGTCCCATCCGGACCCCTGCACTCTGCCACAGACCTGTTTCTTTCTTCTGTTCTTACTTGCATCTGTGACACAAATTTTTAACCGCCCGTAGGGCTGCACCATTCACCAAGTCTCCATTCACCAAGTCTCCATTCCTTCAAAGAAGTTAAATTCACTTCTTCAAGAAGGCATATATAAAGATGCATTTCCTAACTTTGTGTTCCTCAGTCCATCTGCCTCCACCACCCAGCGATGTAAAGGATTAATTTACCCTTTATTCACTTACCCTATTACAGCACTAGCACTGCATGTACAGTAGGCCTTCCCCATAGGAAATCACTGCCTCAGTGCTGTCCTGTGGGGTTTTCACTGACGCTGGATGTCGTCATGCAGAGCGTGAATACATCCAGATTCAAACTCCCGGAAGCGCCACTAGAGGCAGTCATGGCACTGCAATGTAAACATTACAGTTTCTCTAAAACAGCAGTGTTTTACATTGCTGGGCAAAGGGGTCAGGGACGCTGCACCCAGACCACTTCAGTGAGATGAAGTGGTCTGGGTTCCTATAGTGTCCCTTTAAGTTTAACTCGCGATATGCAGGTGACGCATAACAGTATTTTTTTATTTTAATTTTATTTATGAATTAGAAAAAAAAGTATTCGAAACTGTTAGTACCTTTTAATGCAGCTAGTATAGTAATGTGTTTACTATGGTATTGGATTAAGCACTGATTCTGTGTGATGAATGGAATTGCTATCAATTGCTTTCCGTAAAAGAACACTCCAAGCACCATAACCACTACAGCACACTGTAGTGGTTATAGTTCCAGGAGTACTCTGGCACCTCCAATCAAGGAATGAAACCATAGTTTGACTTCTTACCTGGGCTCCTTCAGGCAACATTCCCAGGCTCCACTACCTCAGCTAGAGAGTCAGAAACCCCTGCTTATGGATTTCTGATAGCTTTTCTGAGCTAAGTAAGCCCTAGAGTGCTGGGCTAGCTGAGGGCATGCACTGATCGCTTTAAGCCAATGATTAAAGTCTGCATTGACGGTTTTGGGGAAGAAGGCAGGCATTCCTGACACTTTTATTTTCTCCACTGGACCAGGAAGATAACGTCCATGGCTGTCTGACAGCGGGTAAGGTTGATCTGCAATTATTTAAAAAAGCGCCAATTTTAAAATAGAAATCAGCACTTTTATGAACTGCAATTAAAATGAAAATATCCTGACACTCAAAACAGTTGAGCAAGCTGAAGTGCTTTATTGCCTGTAGTGTTTCTTTAAAGGCGAACTATCCATTCTCTATAAATTTCATAATTTAAAAAAAACATAGAAAATCACTTCTAAAGTGTGTTAACTGTAAGCCAGCATTTCCCAAAGGGTATTCCGTGCAACCCTAAGGTTCAGCGAGAACAAAATTTGGGTTCCGCCGTGATTTCCCCAGCAGGTGGCCCAAGCATTTAGGGCCTCCCGATCGGTATCGCCAAACAGGGGTCTTGTCAGGAACGCTGGGAGGAACTGACAGCGTGTCACTTCTTACCAGACAGAGAGCGCGCTGACAGCAGCACTCCAAGAAAGTTACAACAGGAAAAAGTTAATCTAACAGGAGGGTGTCTGCAAATACCTGTGTGTATCTCTGTTACACAAATGTACATCCACATTTAAAATCCAACACTACATCCAAACATATCATTGCAGGTAAATGCAAGCATGACATACAAAGACACCCCTGTATGAAAATGCTAAAATGATGTACAAACACCAACTCTACATACAGAAGCACTACTGCTACTAAATACTATGTGTTTACTATATGTAAACATTTTCCAAAAAAGAAACCTTACACTCCCCTAATTAAAAGGTTAGTGCTGCAGCGCAAACTTTTTCTGGGGGGTTCCAAGATGTTGGTACACTATGTCAAAGGGTTCCACAGGAAAAAATAATTGGGAACCTCTGCTGTAAGAGGAGAAATTCAGTAATGTTTACCCATAAGTTTTCTCTATGCTGGCTGCCAGGTGGAAAAGGACATTGCTTATAACAATTGCTGACAGGGAGCTAAGATGGAGGCTCCCACTTACATAATAAAGAGGTTTGCATTTCTACATTTAATTGTTTTGCTACTCACACGCATATCTTTGTGATAATAAAGGATTAGTATTTAGGACATTCGCCCCTTCAATGCCAGAGGTGTGCCACACATGCTGGTCATATCGCAAGGGTTAAGCATCCATAAAAGTAAGATTTTCCATTAAAAAATAAATCTGTATTCTAATCTATTTGATAAAAAAAAAATTATGGAATTTTTAATGCTTTTGAGGACATCTGATAATTCAGAATCCATGAAACTGAGTGTTTACTGAAATGCCACTGCTTCATCTTTAACTTTTCTCCCTGCCCAGGTCCTGGTGAACACGGTGTGCTGCCTTTTGATGTTGGTGGCGAAGGTGATCCAGTATGTGGTGTTTGGTCCGCTCCGTGTTAGTGAGAGACAGGTGAGTGGAACCTGCATTGTGCTCTGTTTGGTAATTGCCCAGGCCGTACTTTTCTTAAAACCAGAGTATGCTAATCTTGTTTATTAACACATTGACATCCATTTTTCTTTTATTTAAATCTTATAAATTCTATCCATCTCTCTATCTCACACAATGCTCTTATAAATCCAGAGACACAAGTAAATGGGTTTTAATGGCCATAAGAAAAGATGCTGTGCCAGCATTTCCTTTAAGAAATGTCAGCAGAACAACACAGTGTACATCTGTGCAGTTTGTAAGGAAATCATGCGTGCATTTTGTCCGTGCAACTATATATTCCATGTATATGATACAGAATGGTGACGTGTTCATTGGAAATGAGGGGTTCTCGAGACCTAATAAACCACAAGGCATGGAGGTTGAAATACCCTAAGATAGCATTACATTTTCAATAATATATGCTACACGGTTCCCCTTTAAAAAAAAATATATATATATATATATATATAAATATAAATATATATATATATATATATATAAAAATTTCCATAGCAATAATAGGTTTACTATATATAATGTTTCTTTTTAAAGTGTGAATGGTATGCAAATAAATTAGGGTTTTTTTTATTTTATTTTTTTTAGATCTAGGGTTTTATTTCATTCTTAAGGCAGCACTTGAATGACACACATGTGCCTGCCACCCCCTTCCCACTATGTGTAAAGTCTCCTTTGACATTTATAAAGAACAGTGGCACAGTGTCGTGTTACTGTAAACACATTTAATTATACATGTTCCTTATTGTGTAGAACAAAAATATGCGTTGAATTAGCAAATTATAAGCTGATCCAGGGACTGCTTGGTATTGGTAGGGTGCATGCCGTGCCCTCACTAACTCTGCATACCTTTACAGTGCAGGCTAATGGCAGTGGGAACTTACACTCATGCTTCCTATGTAAATACAGTAAAGTTGTTGTCTTTAGATTGTTTGAATCCTGGCATGAGGTGTGTGTGTGTGTGTGTGTGTGTGTGTGTGTATATATAAATATATATATATATATATATATATATATATATATCAGGGTTCTAAATCACAACATGTCTGTTCGAAGATTTAATAGTCCTTGCACTTAAGCCTCTTCCTTTCTTCTTCTGTTCTTATAGCACCTAAAGGACAAGTTTTGGAACTTCATTTTTTACAAATTCATCTTCATATTTGGTGTGTTAAATGTCCAGACTGTGGAGGAAGTTGTCCTGTGGTTTTTGTGGTTTGCAGCCTTAGTGTTTCTCCATCTTATGGTCCAGCTTTGCAGAGATAGATTTGAATATGTAAGTATAACTATACTAATAAAATGTATGTTTGTGGAGGTGGGAGTCTTCTAGTGGCTCCCAGTAAGTAGCTTGGAGTGGTAATATCCACACTCTTGCATATATTGGTGGCTGGAGTCCTCACCGTGGTAGTTTGTGAGTGAAAACTGAAACAGAATATGGTGCATATTGTTACTCAAGTAGGTGCAAATAAATGGAAATGTACTCCTTGGTTTGGAGCTAAAAGAATGGTTTTGCTCAATCCACAAAGCTTGGAGGGTACATTCCCCACCCCCTGGATCCATCCTGCTTTATTCACCTGCCGCCTGGACATCATAATCCGTGGTGGGAATGTACCACCCAAGCATATCCTTTATCATTGGCAAGTCATAGCATGAGCTATGCTTTATTATATTGAGGACCAGGTCTGACTCTGTCTTGGTATTTTATATACACGCAGTCACTTTTCTTTATGTAAACTCATACAGCAGTTGCCATGGAAACATATTGGGTGTTCACGCTGTTTGCTCCACAAAACCATCACTGGTTTCCTGTCTTCCAGCTGTCCTTCTCTCCTACCACCCCGATGAGTTGTCACGTACGTGTTTTGGTCCTTCTGAGCACCATGTTTCTGGCATGCTGCGGCCTAGCGGTATTGTGTGGACTAGCAGGTTATGCACATGGCATGCACACGCTGGCATTCATGGCTGCCGAGGTTAGTATATAATGTACCACATACCGTAACCAGCATAACCATTACATATAATTAACTGCAGCTGTGATATAGAAACTGTTTTTTTTTTTTTTTTTGTTCTTTCATCTGCTTTTTCTAGTTCAATATAAATAATATATGTAAATTAATAAATTGTAAATTAGTACATTGATTTAATAAATATATCTCAATAGAAAATGTCTGTGTATACATATAAAAACATTTGGTTGATAAACTCAGTGTGCAATTACAAGCCAGGGTGTAACCATATATAAAGTGCAGAAATTCAATTAGTGATACTGATCATTCTAATAGATCGACTTACAGACAAATGCTTAATGAAAGATAACAGTAGGAAATGCTCCTGGGATAAAAAGACAAAAGAGAGAGAACCGTGTAAAACTGTTTAAAATATAAAAGGAAGGGAGAGAGTGAGGGGGTTTAGGATGACTCTCACAGACAGAGAGCAGTCATGTACAGCTCAGAACAATGCAGCTCCTCCGTTAACTAGATCCTCATGTACAGGAAATAGCCTTTATGTCAAACCAGTAAAACCACGACCACCCACAATTTTACTTTTTATTCCACAAATGTTATTTTAATTTTTATTTTATTTTATATAAAATAAATCATTATAATAGAAGTTCCTTAATGGCCTAAAATATATTTAGTTTTCTTGTTTTGATGAAGTGCTTTATATTGCATTTCCTGAAGTGCATTAGGTTTCAGAAACCTCGATAAGAACAATAACCCTTTATTATGTCGATCACTGTTGATTACATTTATAGTGTGTAAATGTGTGATATCATTGTAGACTAATTCAGCCATAAAAGAGATTTTATTTTCCCTAGATTTACTAGGTCCACTGTTAAGATACAGCAACCATTTTACTGACTTGTTTTATCACTATTTCTTAAAGGGGAACATTCCGAGCTTTATTATATGTGTATAAAAAAACTTCACACCACAACATTTACCAGTTTAATACCTATTCATTTTCATGGAATACAATGGATTTGCCTTTTGAGTAGTTGCTTTGTATTTAAAGCTGTGATGGGAGCTCAGTATGCTAAATATGCCGACATAGTTGCTGTAGTGAATTTATTTCCTTGATTAATGCTCCATTGAGAAGCAGAATATACTAACAGTGCTTAAAGGGACACTAGGCACCAATACAACTTGATGCTTTTTACAGGATTTGGCCTCATTAATATGATGTATTTTTTTATTTTTTTTGCGTGATCACATCTTTATAGTTTTTGCATAAAATAAATGTTTTGCAGAATGCTACACCATAAGCCTGCCTCTTTAGCCACACCTCTCACTCTCACAGACTTCCCTAAAAATGTATGTACACAGCTCGGCCAGTGTCAGTACTGAATGATCTGAACAGCAAAACGGTTGCATTAGAATGAGATGACACCCAGGGGGACATATAGTAAGGACATCACTACCTGTTTGTAGTTTCCCTGACTGTCTGCAGCCAGGCTGTGAATTAAAAGCTGCTCACTCAGTGCTGCTGAGGCTGAGCTGTGTTAATACATTGTGTTAAGGGAGTCTTTCCGGCTTGAGGCTGTGTGGCTACGGAGAAGCATTCTGCAAAACATTTATTTATTTTATGCAAAAACTATAAAGATTTGAGCATGGAAAAAATGCAGCATGTCAGTGTGCCAAAATCTATCAAATACATTAAAGTTCTATTGGTGCCTGGAGTGTCCCTTTAATCTTTGTGTTATCGTTGTTGAACACTTAATGGAGGTTCTAGGAGAAAGTACTTGGCAATCTGTGCCAATTAACACACATTTCTTTAATATGTAACATTTCACTACAGTGTACCAAACTGTGATTCAAGTTCAGCACTTTTTTTGAGGCTGCATGTTTTTATTTTATATTTGTTCTTTCTTTTTCTTTTAACTTTTTTTACATTTTAGTTTTTTCTTTTATGTTCAAGTGCATGCATTGGCAGATTTCCTAGATACTGCTTACAAAAGGGCATAAGTACTGCAGACACCGTTCAATATTTCAATTTGTCTTACTGATGTATGATGGGACATGGGACAAACTTAGCCTCGTCTACTAGAATCCCTAAAATTAAATATATATTTGTTTTCCATTCTCCTGCCTCCACCAGACCACAACAAATTGCACATCAGGGACTGGTAGGAGCTGGTTTTTACAACCCCAAAGCAGGCGTTATCCCTCAAATTATCCATGTACATGTTCACTCTGTTGTTACACTCTAGCATATGCCTTGTCTGTATTGCATACCAATATTTTTGTACAGACCTATATCTTATATTTTATTTTAGTAATATTTTTAGCATTTTGTGTCTGTAGTACCACCTGAGCATTTAAATTTTATTAGAAAAAAAAATGAAAGGCCACAAGTTATCCCCTTGTGGTTCTGTTGGCCATGGTAAATGTATTGATTTTCCTGTGTTCCATTAGATAATTGATGGGCAATATGTGATGTTACAACAGTTCCACTCTTCATTAGGTGTTTGCTTTAATTATTAAATACACCCCTTGTTCCCTTAGTCCTGGTTTCAGGTTCAGTTCCACACCATTCCTGCAAATGTCCTATCTCATCGTAACTCATCTTAGTAGGTGCTCCCTGTGCCTCAGTCCTTTTTAAAGCAAAATGAAAAGGTCAGATCTCTGTGACCTGGGGATTTGTGTAGGAAAAAGATTTTCTTTTGGAAAAGCAATATTTGTGGGTGTCTTTGCTCTCTATGTATTCTGCCACCAGACAACCTCGTACGTTTTACTGCTGACCACTAACCGTAACTTTTCGTTTTAGTGTGTATTGGTGACCACTCGAACAGCGCATGTCATCTTACGGTATGTCCATTGCTTCTATTATTCATTGATCATGTACAAATCTGTATTTCATAATCAGCTTTGGTTCAGTTGGGGCTTAGTATCAGGATATAATAAATACTGTGTACTGACTTTCCAGACCACTGACTTCTATTCCAGATGGTCTGTGATATGGAATGTGACATATTTTATTAGTTTTAATTTTGCACTGATTATAACTGGGAAATTTGTTAGCCAGTAATAAGAGACTAGTAGATGTGGTCCTAGGATACTAGGAGAGCTGTATATTAGACACCACATGGATGGGTTTTGTATTGGAGACAGGAACTTCATACTGTGTCAGAAGGATTGTATCTGGCTCATGTGTTACAGAATAAAGGGAAAGTATATAAACTATAGTGCCAAGGACTCTCCACCCTCTGGGGAAGAAGGGGCTAAAAACCCCTTCTGTCACTTACCTGCCTCTGTCAGCCGGCGGGCGAGACCTAATGCGCATGCGTGGCAATGGCTACACTCGCATTAGGATTTCTCTATGCCGGTTTTTCAATGCCGGTGATGCTGGAAGTCCTCATGCATAGAAGGACGTCCAGCATTACGTGACTAAAAGTCGCCTAACCACCCGGAAGACCCACTAGTGGCTGTTTGGTAGACAGCCACTAGAGGAGGAGTTAACCCAAGCCGGTAACTATTGCAGTTTATTGCATGCTCAGGGTTAAGGGTGATGGGACCCTGCACCCAGACCACTTCAGTGAGCTGAAGTGGTGTGGGTGCCTATTGTTTCCCTTTAAGATCTATGAACCCTTGACTTTCAACATGTTTTATTCATATATTGGAATTCTATTTGTCACGAACTAGGAGCCAGGTGAACCCTTGACAACTACTTATTCCAGGTCCACTATGTAAAGCTGGGCTTTAGACCTTACAGGTGAATGGATGCCTTTGTTCTGGAAACCTTTTCAGGGTCATTTACTAAACTGAGAATACAAAGTAAATTTAAAATTTTAAGAACAAAGTAGCTGAACTTAAAGAATAGCTGAACTTAAAGAATATTTCCAGTTTGGCTATTTTGACCTTAAATTTGAAATTCACTTTGAATTCTCACTGTAGGGAATAACCCTGTTTGTGTTCTAAATCCTTACATATTACGTTTACACGACCTTTCTGTGTTATTCATACCTAGCTAAGAACTACTTGTACTTCCAGATGATTTGCACTAGAGATGATTAATAATGAGATTTGTGTGTCATTGTATGTGAAGGGCAGGCTAATTGAGCTGTTGTCCGTTCTCTGCACTCTCTTGCAACCTGTTTTTTTGCTCTCCTTAAGTTTAAAGGGTAATCCAGACATGGACCCCTTACTCAAGGTGCCTAGAGAGAGAAAAAAAGTATTTGATCCCCTGCTGATTTTGAATGTTTGCCCAGTGACAAAACAATGATTAGTCTATAATTTTAATGGTAGGTGTATTTTAACAGTGAGAGACAGAATAATAATAAAAAAATAAAATAAAATAAAAAAATCGAGAAAAGCGCATGTCAAAAAAGTTATAAATTGATTTGCATGTCAATGAGTGAAATAAGTATTTGACCCCTTCGTACTTGGTGGGAAAACCTTTGTTGGCATTTAGATAGGTCAGACTTTTGTTGTAGTTGGCCACCAGGTTTGCACACATTTCAGGAGGGATTTTGTCCCACTCCTCTTTGCAGATCCTCTCCAAGTCATTAAAGTTTCGAGGCTGACATTTGGCAACTCGAACCTTCAGCTCCCTCCACAGATTTTCTTTGGGATTGAAGTCTGGAGACTGGCAAGACCACTCCAGAACCTTAATGTGGTTCTTCTTGAGCCACTCCTTTGTTGCCTTGGCTGTGTGTTTTGGGTCATTGTCATGCTGGAATACCCATCCACAACCCATTTTCAATGCCCTGGCTGAGTGGGTTCTCACCCAAGATTTGAGGGTACATGGCGCGTCCATCGTCCCTTTGATGCGGTGCAGTTGTCCTGTCCCCTTAGCAAAAAAAAAAACACCCCCAAAGCATAATGTTTCCACCTCCATGTTTGACAGTGGGGATTGTGTTCTTGGGATCATAGGCAGCATTCCTTCTCCTCCAAACACGGCAAGTTGAGTAGATGCCAAAGAGTTTTATTTTGGTCTCATCTGACTACAACACTTTCACCCTGTACTCCTCTGAATCATTCAGATGTTCATTGGCAAACTTCAGACAGGCCTGTACATGTGCTTTCTTGAACAAGGGGGGGACCTTGCGGGCGCTGTAGGATTTCAGTCCTTCACGGTGTAGTGTGTTACCAATTGTTTCTTTGTAACTATGGTGCCAGCTGCCTTGAGATCGTTAACAAGATCCTCCCGTGTAGTTCTGGGCTGATTCCTTACCGTTCTTCTGATCATTGAAACTCCACAAGGCGAGATCTTGCATGGAGCAGCAGACCGAGGGAAACCTAACGTTATTTTGTTTCTTCCATTTGCAAATAATCACACCAACTGTTGTCACCTTCTCACCAAGCTGCTTGGCGATGGTCTTGTAGCCCATTCCAGCCTTGTGTAGGTCTACAATCTTGTCCCTGACATCCATGGACAACTCTTTTTGGTCTTGGCCATAGTGGAAAGTATGGAATCTGATTGATTGCTTCTGTGGACAGGTGTCTTTAAGAGAGTGCTCCTAATCTCAGCTTGTTACCTGTATAAAAGACACCTGGAAGCCAGAAATCTTGCTGATTGGTAGGGGATCAAATACTTATTTCACTCATTGACAGGCAAATTGATTTAGAACTTTTTTGACATGCGTTTTTCTGCATTTGTTTTTTTGTGTTATTCTGTCTCTCACTGTTAAAATACACCTACCAATAAAATTATAGACTTATAACTTCAGTGGGCAAATGTTCAAACTCAGCAGGGGATCAAATACTTTTTTCCCCTCACTGTACCTCACTGACGATGCCTAACAAGGTTGAAACAATCGTCTGGGGTTGCTGTATCTCTCATGCGGAGAGAGCCAGCCTGTATTTTGGATCGGTTCTGCCCTTCTGGGTGGAATCAGTCTGAGATGATTGGCCTGGTTCTTTTTGTTAAGGGCACAAGATGTGCTAAACCAGCTTGAGAACTGAGCGGGGACCCACCAAAGGTCAGGCTAATCGAGCTGTTGTCCGTTCTCAGAACTCTCTTGAAACTTTTTTTTTGCTGTCATTGTAGGTATGTGATACATCTCTGGGATCTAAATCATGAAGGAACCTGGGAGGGCAAAGGAACATATGTATATTACACAGACTTTGTCATGGAGCTGAGCCACCTGTCTGTAGACCTAATGCATCATATTCATATGCTGGTATGTGATAGTTTGAACTCTCTGTCCTATCATTCACGTCTTCTCTTTACTACATTCTCTCCATACCTATGTTTTACTTCACCTGCACTGCAGAAGAATTAAAGGGACATATTTTATTTATTTCTTTTTTGGGGGCCGGGGGTCTCTTTTCCACATGATTTTTCCATATTGCAGCCTTTCCATTGTATCTTTATTTTTTAAATCGATCTCAAAGTATTCTAGGCTACAAAATCTCCTCTAGCTTACTGACGCTATAGATACTAAGAGACGCTATAGATACTATTTTATAACTATGTTCCTCTTTGATCCTTCTTTCACAGCTGTTTGGTAATATCTGGCTGTCAATGGCAAGTCTGGTAATTTTCATGCAGTTGCGTCACCTCTTCCATGAGCTTCAGCGTAGACTCCGTCGCCACAAGAATTATCTGCATGTTGTAGGAAATATGGAGGCTCAGTGAGTATTTTTGTTTGGTTGTGTGTGTGCGTGCGCGCGCCGTTTATACAGCACAATTTGTGCCCCTGGAGAGTGCTCTTAAACCTAAGTGATTCAGCAGCTAAAATGTTATTATCCATCACAGTGGTGTGCTTATTGTTTGGTATGCAGGTATTACTATGAAACTATTTAAGTATTTCCGTGAGCAAACACTGCTGATATTTATTTGTAAGAAAGCAGGTGTACGGAGGATGGTAATTTCTGATGCCTGTTACCTGTGCGTGTTTACACATTGCAGTCTACCTTGCCTCCCATACTGAACATTCACCCATTGTGTGCTTAACAACTACAATATTTATATCGTGCAACATGTTCTGCAGGGCCCCGTCACTTATTTTACTCCTAATCTTGTCATAAGCGTACGTGTTTCTTAGCACATATTTTACAGCATTGCATGTGTACTAATAATGTAAGGATCAAGATGATACATGGAGGTAGCTGTACTTAATGTAAACATTAAGGTATACTTGCTGTCCTCCTGTATGTACCTAATTAGAGCCACAGTTTGATACTAAGCATGGCTAAATCTGTACAAACTACATTTATCCATGTTTAGTCTTCGTGGTGGTGTCTGATAACTGGGCAATTTTGGAGGAGTGTTTGCTACTGATGTTTGGGGAACATAAGTATACTTATGTACATAGCTAGTATACTAGCTAAGGCTATTTTTGTCTTGCAGTTTTGCTGTTGCAACTCCCGAAGAACTTGAAGCAAATAATGACGACTGTGCAATTTGTTGGGATTCTATGCAAGCTGCCCGAAAACTGCCTTGTGGGCACCTCTTCCACAAGTAGGTGTAATGTCGTATGGATGCTACTGCATGTGATGTTGGTGTCATGGGTGCAGCAGAAGATGCTGAGCTGTGGATGTCATGTGGGTGAATCCTGTTGCGGTGGGCTTTGCTGGTACTGCCTGTGAGTTTGGTAACGTGAATGCTGCATGTGATATAGGTAGGACTTTCAGGAATTAAACATACGTATTTTGTGGTATCTCTACCATGTCACCATCCCCAATCACAAACCTGTAGCAAACATAGTCATTCATTGCATAAAAAGTGTCTTCCTAAAATATGCTGGTAAATGTAATTCCGAGTATATCAAACAAAAGCCCACAAACATGGCAACACTGTATAAATATAAACAAATGCCCACCCTTACTGTGCAGAACAGGACTGTAACAGAACTATGGTTCTATTACTTGTATGTCATCATGTCAGGTCTATGTTGTCCCTTGTTTTGCCACAGATGCCATGGAGCCTAACCATGTACCCCTATTGCTCTATGTACAAAGCATAATTGTAGAGGAAAAGCAGACTCTGCAGGATTACATTGCGTCACAATATAGGAGTCTGGTAAAATGGTTGATGGTTTAAACATCCCCTGCAGTGCAGGCACCTCTGTACACAATTAGAGAGGCAGAGTTGGGAATGTTAATTGGATTCATTGTTTCCCCCTCTGTCTGGTATTACCTGTACCTGGGGTCTTCTGTTAATTAGCCTTTGATGTTTTAATAACATTACCTGTTGACTGGTGTATCTGTAATTGAATTACCCTTTAAATTAGGCTCTCTATTGTTTGAAATTTACTATGTTATAATTAATTTCATTTTCCTCTGGGCCTCTCATGTAGCTGATTGGTTACTTTTGATTGTGTTGTTATTTGGAGAAGTGCTCTATATTCTGTCTATGTACCAGAAAAACATGTGTTCCTGACTTACCAAGAAGGAGCTTGTGTGTCTCTTGAAGTTTCGAGGTACATTGCTGTTTGTTATCCACTATAGAGATCAGTGGGCTAGATAGATAAAATATCCTATACGAATTGGAGCTGTCCGTGTAGTATATTCTGCAATGCCTTTTGTTTTTATTGATAAGAAGGGTGACACAAGATAATTTGTATGAATGACATTAAAGTTGAATTATATTATTATAGTGTGGTTTACAAAGTAGTTACAATATTACATTTACATGAGTTTACATTGGTTACAATAGTGTGTGTATATGTATGTGTGTACTATGTATAATTCTTTTTAAAGTGAGAATGGTATGCAAATAAATTATGAGTATACAATTCATTGAATGAAAAATAAGGTAAAGTAAATTAATTTAAATAAACTTTAAAGACATTTAGGTAAGAGCTTATGTTATATAGGTAGATGGAATCATGTTAAACAAGTTTACTAAAGTAATCTTATATTTATGCATTTGTAGTATGTATAGTCACTATTTATTACTTTAAAGTAGTGGTCTTCAACCGGAGGTCCGCAAGAATTTATTGCTAGTCCGCGAAAGCTTTCACCCGGTGTGAGCTGGCCCTGCTGTCTGCTTTTCTCAGGCTGGTGGGGAGATCAAAGATCTCCTGGCTGTTTATGGGAGAGGGAGGAAGGAGGACCCAGGAGGCTGTGATCCTCCCACGAACAGGCAGGTCGGAGCGCTGCCGCGCATTACCATGGCAATACTACAACACAGCACTGTGCTCGTGGGAAGAAAATAGTGAGGTCAGCCTGCAGCCGGAGGTGCTGCAGGCTGAAGTGCACGTGCCACCACTGGACCACCAGGGATTGCTGTGATATGTCCCCTCCTTCCAGGCCAGAGATAAGAAGGAAGCATATAGCTTTCCACCTCCCACATTTTAAGTAAATAATATACATTTTCTCCCTGAAACACCCCCCACCACAATATAGACCCCTCACACATGCATACCCGGTACCCCCTCACACATGCATACCCTGTACCCCCTCACACATGCATACCCTGCACCCCCTCACACACGCATACCCTGCACCCCCTCACACACGCATACCCTGCACCCCCTCACACACGCATACCCTGCACCCCCTCACACACCCACACGCACACAGCAGCCCTCACACGCACACAGCAGCCCTCACACGCACACAGCAACCCTCACACGCACACAGCAGCCCTCACACGCACACAGCACCCCTGACACACACACATACCCTGAAGCCCCTCACACATACCATTGGTTTATATTTCTGGCTGACGCTGGTCCGTGAAATACTTTTTTTGCAGGTTTTAAAAGGTTGCAGAACACTGCTTTAAAGTAAATTAATTTTTTTAACTTGGATGAAATTACGATTTGTGGTGTTTGATGTATTGTCTTCAATGCCTTTGGATACACAACTCAAAGTACCAGGTGTTTGTGCTTGGTATAGCGGTTAGCTGTGCAAGTTCACGAAAGAAACCCATAAATGATAACGTGCCTGAACTGCTACACCTTCCGTTGCAGAGACATCAGGTCATTATCGTCCGTTGTGTTTTCAGTGGGCATGGATTTCTTTAACTATAGATGATTGACTATTGCTTGCATTTCCCCTAGTTCGTGCCTGCGTTCTTGGCTAGAACAAGACACTTCGTGCCCGACTTGTCGGATGTCTTTGAATATGGCTGATAACAACAGAGGTCGAGGGGAGCAGCAGAGAGAAAACATTGACCAAAATATAATCCCTCTCACTGTGGCAGATGGACGAACCCGCCTCAATCACCATAACCACTTTTTCCATTTTGATGGTGAGTACATGCCCCAACTTGGCATGGTTCATGTGTGCATGACATTTGATTATCATGTATCTGCAATAATTAAAAATCATTTCGTGCCAGTTTGTGGGTCTCCAGATTATGCTTGAACAGTGACTATTAAGGGATGACCATTATTTTGATTTCTATTGTCTCCTTTCCTGTAGGTTCTCGGTTTGCCAGCTGGCTGCCAAGCTTTTCTGTGGAAGTGATGCACACAACAAATATCTTGGGAATCGCTCAAGCAAGTAACTCCCAGTTAAACTCTATGGTATGGAATGATCTATTTTGGATTTTGCTGATGCATTTTATACAATTTCTGACTAAAGACTACTGTACAATTGGTTTAGATGGAAATTCTTGTTCTAGGATTACATTGGCATCAAGATACTTGTTAATGGAAAATTTTCATGTTGCCTGCAAGGGTAGAATATCCTGACATCTGTCGTGTGCTCGCTAACGAAAGACTTAATCTGCACATAATTGACATTTGGCAGTCCAGAACAAAGTTCCGGATCAAATCACTGAAGTGGTCATTGTGGTTGGAGTAACCCTTGAAGTGGAAGAAAAGATAAATAACCAGGCACACCTGAGATTTCTTCTAAAATACAATTTTTGGAGACAAACTTTTAGCTCCTCTCTGAGCCTTTACCAAGCCTTACTTGATTAAGTTTTGTCTCCTCTCTGAGCCTTTGTCTCCAATTTGTTTGTTCCTTATTAAAGATGGTCTTTCAGAAGAAAACTCAGGTGTGCCTGGATATTTATTTTCTTTCATTTGATGTCTCCAGGGATTGGCCCTCCCTTTCTGTAGCCCCCCGCAGGAAGCATTCTCCCTTTGTTGTGTATGCATTAAACTCTTGTTTTCATGCAAACAAATGAAGTAGCTCTTTAAGGCAGACTCAATATATACCCTAAATGGTGCTGACTAATGGTTAACTATAGCTAAAGCAGGCATGCTAATTACTTCTTGAGTGCTGATTAGACAGCAACGTGCATGCCATGCGGATGAGCAAAGTGTGCTTCGTTACTTGTGATCAAAGCAATTTTCCCACAATTCTCACCATTGATCCATGATCTTGCGATGCTTCCTGTCCGTATTCCCGAACGTCCTGTCACTTAGACAGAACGCCGGCAAAACAACCGAATGAGAATAGTTTCTTCATTCGTGTTAGGATGCAATTTGGGACTTTGTTCGGATTGGAATTTCATTTGAATGAATGAATCTCCGATCCTATTCGTGCCGTGGCTGCATCTTGCAGCCGTTTAGTAGATAGCTCCCTAATTCCCACAGTATCAGGCAGCTATCTACCTAAATTGGTCTTTCAGCCAAATTTACTAATACTAAGTAAAGATTACTTTGTGTTAGTAAATTCTGCCCCTACTTGCTATGCCGCGAGTAGGGGTATTTCTACTAAACAGTGAGCAGTAGCTGCTCACCGTTAAAAAAAAAAAAAACAAAAAAAAAAACATAGTGTCCCCCCCTCCCGAGCCCCCAACCCCCGAGTGGCGGGTAGGGGCCCAAAATGAAAATCGTGGGGGAGGGGACCTATTGTAGCGGCTAGCTGCATGGCTGGCACAATGTTGGGATTGCATAAATAAGTGTTTTAAACTTAGATTCTCATTGTTGCACTATCATGATTTTAAAGGTAGTCTACAAATTTACTAATTGAAATGAGTAAAACTATTAGTTTCCCAAATACATGCACAAAAAAAAAATGGAATTGATCTAAGCACCAAGACTAGCATTGTTACCTAAATACTTTGATTACAATTATGTCATATGGGAGTTATTTACTACAGTGAGAATTCAAAGTGAATTTCAGCTTTAAGTTCAAAATAGTCAAACGGTAAGATTTCTCTGAGTCTGCTATGCTTTCAGTTTGGCTACTCTGGCCTTATATTTGACAATCACTTTGAATTCTCGCTTTAGTAAATAACCCTATAAGTGTTGCTTTTTTTGGTTTTGATCACTTAAGGATGCTGGATGGAAATTTTCCATCATTGCAGTCCTCCCCTTAAGAACGCAGGATGGAAAATTTCCGTCCAGTACTAAAATTAACCCCAGATTGCCGCAATCGTGGGGTTAATGTTCCTGTAGTGTGTCTCCATGTTAGAGGTACACTACAGCAAGCAGTTTCACTGATTCAGCCCATGTGATCGTTCTGACCGGGAGTAGAGCGATCACACGTGCTGCAGTGAAACCCAATCTGTCTCCCTGCAGCTCCGTGTGAGCTGTGAAGTTCAGATAGACAGATCAGTGCTGATCTGTCTCTCCCTGTAAAAAACAAAAACAAAACTGTTAGTTAAAAAAAAAAAACACACTCCCCTATGCCTTTTAACCCCTTAAGGACCAAACTTCTGGAATAAAAGGGAATCATGACATGTCACACATGTCATGTGTCCTTAAGGTTCAAAATTTGCCTTTTGAAATACACTCGGGTTTCTTCTTTAAGAAATGGTATGCCTTTATGGGTTAGTTGGAATAATTAACCTACTAAAAAAAACTCTAAGTTTGAAAAAAACTTAAATGGCTGTGTCTCAAATGTGCCCCTTCAATGTCTACATATACCTGGTAAAGGTATATATGGGGGTATTGCTGTGCTCAGATGACATAGCTGAGCAACATATGAAGCATTATAGACCCGTAGCACACATAAGGTTTGCAAAATATATACAGTACAAACTCACTGTGTGTGTCTGTCAAAAAGGCAGAAAAAATGCTTATTTCATTGATGAGCTCGAAATTTTCTGCTACTCTGTGAGTGCAACCTTAAATGCTGGGGGCTCTTTAACTTAAACGTTATTACAAAGACCTTGTTATATGTGTATATGCCAAAATAGAGGGAAAAAAACAATTTTACTCCAATATTTAGCAGAGATTGGCAGTGAAATTGCTACGTAAAAAGTGTCAAAATAATAGCATGTGATGCCTACTTTATGCAAATATATATTTGTGTGGCAATTTTGTTTTCTTTAATGGGTATTAAACTTCCAAGACAAACATACCAACTTCTAAAATTGAAATAAAACTAAAATATAGACCACCCAGGTGCAGTGAATACACAATAAATCAAAAAGGTAGTTACCCATTTTTTAGATGTACAGTATAGCAGAAGGATTCCTCTTAATCCTCATATATAAATAACACAACAAATATACCTAAAAACATAACATGGAAAGAGAACTCAGGGTAATAATGTTTAAAGGGACACTGTAGTCACCAAAACAAGTTTAGCTTATAGAAGCAGTTTTGGTGTATAGATCATGTCCCTGCAGTCTCACTGCTCAATTCTCTGCCATTTAGGAGTTAAATCACTTTGTTTATGCACCATAGTCACACCTCCCTGCGTGTGACTTGCACAACTTTCCTAAACACTTCCTGTAAAGAGTCCTCTAATGTTTATACTTCCGTTATTGCAAATTCTGTTTAATTTATACTTTATTATCTCCTGCTCTGTTAATAGCTTGCTATACTCTGCATGAACCTGCTGTGTGTGATTAAAGTTCAATTTACAAAGCAGGAGATAAAAACTTTTGGAGTTCGTTACACCTGAAAGGGAAACAATTGTTTTCCCATGCAGGATGTATCAGTCAAAGCCAGGGGAGGTGTGGCTAGGGCTGCATGAACTGAAACAAATGGCATGATGTATACACCACAACTGCTTCATTAATCTAAAGTTGTTTTGGTGACTATAGGGTTCCCTTTAAGTTAAAGAGCCCCCCCCCCCCAGCATTTAAGGTTGCACTCACAGAGTAGCAGAAAATTTTGAGCTCATCAATCATAGATGTCACCGGATTCAACAATATTCAGCAATTCAAGGGTTCATATGAAAATAAATTGAAAAGACCATAGTGCAACATTGTTGTAAAATAATAATTTTAATTTTGTAATTTTTATTATACAATAGTGTTGCACTATGGTCTTTTCAATTTCTTTTCATATGAACCCTTGGATTGCTGAATATTGTTGAATCCGGTGACATCTATGATTGATGAGCTCGAAATTTTCTGCTACTCTGTGAGTGCAACCTTAAATGCTGGGGGCTCTTTAACTTAAACGTTATTACCCTATGTGTTCTCTTTCCATGTTATGTTTTTAGGTAAATTAGTTTTGCAACTTCTAAAATTGTTTCACATTGAAATTTTATTTTAGACCAAAATAAACTGAAATCCTACACATATTATGTACTCTGTAAATCAAGACCCATAAATAAATTGATTTTTAATTACTTTTCCTAAGCTGAACATATTATGCACACGTTATTATTGCCAAAACTTGGGGGAAAAAATGTTGGCCCCCCCCATTATTTCTTTTGAAATAAATGAAAATCTATAGATGTATATGTCACATCAAATTAAAGCCCTTATTGTCATCTAAAAAAAAAACGGTATATAATATGTGTTGGTACAATAAAATAGAGAGATGCAAATTGCAGTTGAACACAAACCGCAAAAATTGCATATGTCCTTAAAGGACCACTATAGTGCCCTGAGGGTGCCCCTACCCTCAGGGTCCCACTCCCATGGCGCTGAAGGGGGAGGAAGGGGTTAATCCCCTACCTTTTTTCCAGCGCCGGGCTCCTTCGGCGCTGGGACTCTCCTCCCTCTTCTTCCGTCATCGGCTGAATGCGCATGCGCAGCAAGAGCCGCGCGCATTCAGCCAGTCTCATAGGAAAGCATTATCAATGCTTTCCTATGGACGCTGGCGTCCTCTCACTGTGAAAATCACAGTGAGAAGCGCAGAAGCGCCTCGAGAGGCTGTCAATGAGACAGCCACTAGAGGCTGGATTAACCCATATGTAAACATAGTTGCTCTGAAACTGCTATGTTTACTGCAAAAAGGGTTAAACCTAGCTGGATATGGCACTCAGACCACTTCATTAAGCTGAAGTGGTCTGGGTGCCTATAGTGGTCTTTTAACCCTTTAAGGATGAAAGGTCTGGAATAAAAGGGAATCATGACATGTCACACATGTCATGTGTCCTTAAGAGGTTATGGTTATGTCCAGATTCTGAAGCTGTGTCCTTAAGGGGTTAAGGCTGTATTGATCCTCTGTGTGTTTATTTTTGTGTTCTGCATTTATTTTTTTTCTCTCTCTGTTTAAGGTTTAATATTCTAGGATAACATGAGATGGAATATTAAGTATAGAGTACACTAACGTGCACAGGATTATTGCACCATGTCATCTCTCTTTGGTAGTTGGTACATGTTCTTTGTATATCTGTCTACAGGCACGGCAGGTCTTGGATATGTTCCCACAAGTTCCGTACCACCTGATTCTGCAAGATCTGCAGCTCACTCGATCAGTGGAGGTTACAACAGATAACATACTAGAGGGACGTATACAAGTGCCATTCCCCACACAAGTGAGCATGCATGCAAATCTAGGCTAATTTCATGTATGTGTTTTTCTTCATGCAAATATTGTTTGCTTATGAATTCTTTGACATTTTTAAGAGGCCGGAGGACGTTCGACTTGCCACTGACAACCCAGTTGAAGATGGTGAACAGACAGAGCAGGATATTCCTGCTCAGGTAAGTCATAATGTTTTAATTTGGAAAAGGGAGTGATCGAAGTTCGGTTTATTTTGGAACTCATTAACCTCTTTAGTATCTTAAAATAACAGCTTGAACTGTCTCCATCAGGAGATAAACATTAGTCCCATACACAAATATTGTGACAATTCTCTATGTATGATCCCACAAAGCATCTGACGTCGGGAAGGATTTCTCTCTCTTGCTTTAAAGATGGCTATTGCCTTATAAATCAGCAGTCTGTGAATAATTGCTAATATAATGGGGGCTTTTCGGGGAAATGTTTGGATGAGCTCTGCTTGATTTTAATTGTGCGCGTGTGCGCGCATGTGGTTTGTTTTGTGTTAATTAAATTAAAAATGAACACAAGTTTTTAGAGTTCGCTTTCATTGAAAACTGCCAAGTGACAAGTGAAATTTAATACAAATCCGATTTCTTCATACAAAAGTACATTTGCTCATATTGAATGTACCTTGTAATTCTGTGCTCTCTTCCTGATTTCCAGACTGAACGTGTTCCATTGGATCTGTCCCCAAATGAGGAGGAATTTGAAGATTACAGTGAGATGGAAGCCCAACCAAGTGAAGCAGAGGACTTTGAAGTACGAGGCAGCAGATTCTCCAAGTCTGCAGACGAGAGGCAAAGAATGCTGGTCCAGAGAAAGGAGGATATGATGCAACTTGCTAGAAGGTAACAGGAGTGGATTATATAGGAGAAATCGAGCTACAAAAGATTATTTAAAAAGAGAAGGGCACACCTTCCGAAAGTCCCAGATTTTGTTAGTCTTGAACGTGGGATCATGTCCCCCCACCTGGGGCATGTTACCTGGTGTCCTGCTTAAGAGAAACCTTTTCAATTGAGGCTGTGCCACAGCATCATTTCATACACTGAGTCTTCAACATTGCTTTGCACATTGGCTAGTTTAAATAGCATACTTTTTGTTAAGATTTCTTGCTTTATTTTAGCATTCTTATCGGTGAAAAAGCCTGCATAATCGAGAGCTGTTAAGTTTCATGTTCTGGTATGCTGGTCTTTGGCAAATGTAATATAGGTCTTTAAAAAGGAGCTGCCACTCCATTCTTAGCACAACCTAATGGCTAACTAAAAGTTAACTATAGATCGTGATCAAATTCGCTTTGAAAAATCCTTTAAATTATGTAAATGAGCTCACTGTTGAGGTACCATACACACCTCATTATGGCAAGTGTGTATGTGCGCATGAGGTCTTTCTCAGTGTCCAGACATGCACCCAAGGCATCATGAGGTGGGGAAGTTGCTGCAGTGAAAGTAAGACTGTTTTGTTTTTTGACTTCACCCCAGTAAATGCTGAAGTAATGTTCACTGGAAGTGACAATTAAGAGTTTTAAAACCATTCAGTAGTGACTGTTCCAGGATTTTAATGTATCTTGCGTATTAGATGGACAGGCAGTGGATATTAAAATGTACATATTGGGGGGAATAAAAAATGTTTTATTATTTCCTCTAGGCGTTATTTGAACAGAACTCCAGAAGAGGACTCCAGTGCTTCATCATCTGACAGAAATCCCAACACTTCAGAATTTCCTTCAGACTCTGTATCTCTTCGTAGACGTACATTGGCAGCCGCAGCGGAACGTAGACTTCAGATGGGACAGTCTCCATAGTGACATACAGAGCACACAAATGCCAGCGGACCCTCCTCCTTGTTCTGAAGGTGCACACAGACTCCTACTGACACGGCACCTTATTAATGAGCTACTGTGACTCACGGGCTCATATTTTGTAATCTTTTATTTTACTGCAATATGTTTAGAATATAATTGGATCTGCTGCTTGATCCCGATGCACAATTTGTGTTCGATTCCTCCAGCTGAAATGTCTACTTATTTTCCAGGAAGGGAGAATCCAAAGTGGGGAAAAACTGTCAGTATTTTAGAGAACAGAAGATGCTTGTGGTGATTCTGTAACATACAGACATCCTGTATATTGTTTACTAAAAGTATTCCCTGACCAGGGGCTATCGTAGAGTGTTCAAAGAGAAGGAACCTCAACTTCAGGCTCAACATGGTATCCCATACTGGTGATGTTTCCCAGAGAGTTAAATAGTCTTGCAAATTAAACTTATTTTTATTAACCTGCAGCTCTGGGGTTCTGCTTTTTCATAAAACAAAAAAAAAAACTACTTTTGAACTTTTGTTTTTTTGTAGCCTATTACTAATGGACTTTTGAAAATGGTTGCAGCCAAAATATTGTAATGCTTAAAAGTGCTAAGCTGTGAAATAGAAGTATGAATCTAAATGCAGACTGAAACCGTTAGGAGAACCCGCAGTGAAGACTTGCAGTGGGGCGAGAAAGTGGACAATTTTATTTTTTATTTTTTTTCCTGCAGCTTTTGGAGCCTTGGTAGATGGCAGAGTTTGGTGCTCTGCTGAACAGATTTTTATTTATTTTTTTGTCCCCCATCTAACTGTATGCTTAGTCAAAAAACATGTGTTGAGCACTATCGCCAACTGGAATATTTGAAGGTTGATATCTGCAAACAGGCAATATCCCCTTTGCATTCTTTATGTAGTATGTGAATGTTTCCGTTCTACATTATATCGGGCAGATTGTTTTAGAGCTTTCTGCTAAACTCCATCTCAGGATCATACCTTTTTACTAAGTAACACGTTAAACTCAGAAATTGTATCCACAGGAATGTCTGCATACTTTTGTGAGGATTCAATTATTCTCTTAAAATTTGATCACCTGTTTCATGTCGGCGTGACCCTGGTTAAAAAAAAACAAAAAAAAAACGTATTCTTTTAACATACCAGTTGGGCAACGTAAGGAGAGAGCATGTCTGCTTCTCGACGGACAATCTAATGAATCATTGCTGAACCGCCATCAGTGAGAATGTGCAAGTGTTATAACCAGTGTGTGAATAGACATTTATACCGTGTATGAATGTTGGAGGGCTTAGGCTGCATCCAGTCTCATTCAGAAAAACCTGATGCCTCTGTTAACACGGATAATTTTGCCTTGTGATTTGGGCTTTTGCAAATGCCAGATTTTATTCTAAAAATAAAATTTTGATCAGTGTTGTGTGGTAGGTTTTACTTACATCTGCAAATATGAGTGTCAACATTTTCTTTAAATACCATCTGGATGGATGCCAAGAAATTGGAAAGGTGTTTTTCTTTTTTTTTTTTTTTTATTGAGCCAAAAAATCCCCCCTCCACCAGACACTCATTGCCAAACGTGCACCATTTATAAAGATGTTTCAGCCTGACGTGGTTTGGACATCAATAGGACTCCGCTCAGAGTGCTCCGATAGGAAAGCTTCACTCAGAAGAGGACGATGTTGTCCGGTAGAAAATAAATCAGATTTTTTTTTTTTTTTTTTTTTTAACATTGTCTCAATATCTTGTTTCGTAGGCCTGGGTGTCAAAATATAGACGTAGCCTGGATTGGATTTACATGTACATCAGGAAAGCCACACACTGGATAATTCACTAACATGTAAATTGTTGTTAATTAAAAGTTTGCTTCAAATCTTAGACCAAAAAAAGCCAAACTGAAAGCATTGTGGACTTTAATTCTTCCAGTTTTACTATTTAGGAAGAACATTTCAAATGCACTTTGATTTCACCTTATCTCATACATCTGCTAGTTTGTTACAAAATAAGAAAGGTGTTTTTAAAAAGAAACTAAACACAAAAAACTAAATTGGGTACAGAGTGAGAGAGTTATAGCAAGTACTACTTAAGTTCTTTTCAGACTAAACATGATCTAACTCACCACTGGTTTATGCAAATTCGAAATTAACGGTTGGTCATCATATGCAGACTGAGACTTGATGCTTGTCTGTGCTCATGTTAATGTTGTGCTTGGAATTTTGTAAGAAATCCTCCGAATTACTGTGCCCAATGTGGATGGCTCGCCTTGGTCCTATAGCTAGTTGGTGGACAGCGAGGATGATTGTTCTTATCAGTGCAGCTTATTTATTACATAGCTGTATCCTGACAGAATTCAAATCCTACATTATAACCAGGCACCATGCTGATGGACACTAAAGGGTGACGTTTTACAGTGCATGGTTGGTTTCTGGTCATTGGTCTTTTTGTATCACAAACACTGATTTGCTTTTAAGCCAGTGTTTAAAACGGTCCTCCTTTGCTGGAATTCAGGATGAAGTCTGAAACATGATATCTATTTGTGCTTAAGCTTTTATTACAGCGGAGAGCCCAGTGTAATGTCACTAAAAGACTTCTAGCCGCATACATATTGCAACAAACTCTTGTGGTTATAGTACTTGGAATGGCCCTGTAACAAGATTACCAATAGAATATAAGGGGAGGCAAAAGGTAGGTTTTCTAGATCAGCTACATAGAAGCTTAAATTCAGTTGAACTAACCAAATAAGCTTTATGTCAATATCCAAATCAGTTAAGTTGTGCCAACCAAGTGGCATCATATTGATAATAGGATTTTTATTCTCAAGTGTGCCAGGAGCCCATCCTACACCTTGTGAGGATTGCTACGTGTTCCACGTATGTGAAATGCAAAACAAGAAAAACTGGTGATTTTGGAGAAAGAATGACCTTGCCTTCATTTTTGAGAACAAAGCTTTATAGCAACAAGGGAATATTCCAAAGTGGAACAGTCACCATGGGACATTCCTATTCCTAAGCTCCACCATTAGAGCTTAAATTGCTCGTTTTATGAAAACAAACAAAGTCGAGCATGGCCATTCTAGGTGACATGTACATAGTATGTATAAATTATTGTGATTTTATAAAACTGCTTGATATATAATGTAAAAACTACTGGATATTTGAGGCTGTTCCATCCTTGAACATAGTGTTCCAGAACTTTCACTCCTTGTGATGGGATCTTTCGCTGTTTAGGTGCAAGATTGTTCGCAAACACAATCTTGGAAGAATTAGTACATCTAATGGACAACGAAAGGATTGGAAGAAACTGCTGAATGGGATTGACACAGTCACATGAGGAGGGTAATGGGAAATTTATATAAAGGTGCAGAATAAAGAATGGCATGCTAAGGTGGGAAGAGGGACGTTGTCGCAAATGGAAAATTACAATGTGGTGGGTGGATAGGTATGAGAAAAGGGATCTGGCAAGAGAGGGATGGGAGCAGATATATGAGTGGAATGGACATATTGGGACATCTAGGGATTGGCCTAGACATGGCAGGGGATGGAAAAGGTGTATAGATGGAAATGCAGAGGTAGAGCTGAACAGAGCACCGGACTGATGGGAAGTGTTAAGAGGTTACTGTGAGTTTGACTTGATGTCTAAATCTGGATGACAACTGTACAGTCCTCCACAACTGCAAATGGGCACATATAGCCAGCATTTAGAGATAGTCGCAACCAGAAACAGTAAGTGTGGAACCTTGTAAAATACCTTCAACTGCAAGTAGATTTCAGAAAAGAATGAGTCTTGCTGATTAGTAGATCAGATCTTCTGATGGGATGTCCATGGTGCTATTCGCAAGAGATATAACATTAATGTCTTCAGATATAATCCGTGGAGGCATTCACCATTTCTTGTAGGGTGTCAGATGCATTGGACTGAAGGAATTGTCAATTTGGTTCTGCTTCAAGATGTCTCTTGTGGTATGGGGTTTGAATGCTATCTGATCTATTCCTTGTGCTATTGTTGTTCCTGTTGTGGTTTATTTATCTAACACGCTGCTAAAGGTTTGAGAAGACGGCCTCACACTCTGCTTGGGATGTCCTGTTGCCATCTTGATAATATTTCTTCTGACTTTATACAGTTGTGATGAGGATGGTGGTAGTTCTTTTCTATATATCCATTCTGATCCTTGATTTCTGTAAATCTTATCATTTACATACTGTTTAAATATTATTCAGGTTATAAATGTTTTTTTGTTGGCTGTGGGCATCTCTTAATTTGTCCATTTACTGCCATTTATTATTTTTCATTAGTAGCATGAAGCTATAAATGAGTTGGTCCTTATGTATGTAATTAACTAACTATCCACTTGGTGGCACACTTAACACACGTACTTGGATAAACCATAAATAACTAAACAACCAATGGAATTGCTTAATCAACTGTTCATTGGATCCCCCTAAAAAAAGCTTAGAGATGCAGAAAAAAGCCGCATCACGACATGGTTAAGTCGTCGATAGGAGAGTAAGGCAATGTTTCTTCCAATGTGTTGCTGTTTTAAAAATAACCTTCCAAGCTTCTAGCAAGCAACAGTGCAAATTCTTAAAATTATTGTATCTCCTTTTCATGACCTCAATTTAATATTTATAGATAAGCGCTTGAATTGTCGTAATATCTTTGGATTTAAGATTTTGAAAAATATTTTTCGATATTTTTTTGTTGTTGATAATTTAAATTACAATTTTTTTAAATAAATTAAGCATTTCAAATGTTTATCCAAAAATTAAACCAAAGCCCATGTTAGCTGTTTTAGGTAGATATTTTGTGTAACCGATCAAAAAGAGACATTTTTCATGCACGTTTCCAAGAATGCTGCTGTCACAATTCTACTGGGGTATTCTTTGAAGCTTGGTCTCAAAGGATATTTGTCCGTTTTTGTTTGTTTTCTTGTTTTCTTTTCAGATTTAAAATTTCTCAGTAGTTTCGTAAGTTGGCATGTATGTGTGTGTTTGTCTAATTCAAGCCAAGAGAGAAATTATGGCGTCACTCGAGACAGCCATTCAACTTGCTTCAAATGACTCCCCTGTTAGCCTAATAACGAGCGAGGCCAAGTTGTTATTATTTTTATGACTTGTTCTCATCATCAAGCTGGACTATTCCAGTTTATAGAAATTTCCTGGTTCCAGGTTAATGCATTAACACAGCTGACTGGATAATAAGCCTGGGGTTCCATGTGGTCTTCTATGAACATTTATGAGTCTTACCCAAGGACATGCATATAGGGCATTATAAGTATAGTAAACACTCCTGCCATTTAATGTGATTGATATGAAACTCTATCTATGATGATGTATAGGAGCCTGAATGATTTAACCTCCACATGCATGCTACATCCAGACTGCGTTTTTTAATTCAACTATTGATAATATTTAGGTAGTGTTTCATGTTTATCATATCCCTCGACTGATGTTTGATGATCACTGCTTGGCTTCTTGTTTCCAGTAGAATGTGAAAGGTGCCAGCTGTGGAAAGTCCTACTCTGATCCACCCCAAAATGTTTGCATGCATTAATTGTGAAGCAGAAGGACTTTTTTTTTTTTTTTCCCTTGCATTATCTCAGTTTCTCCCAAAACTGAAATTAATATTTTAAGAAGCAGAGTTACATTTATATAATGTAGACTTGGAAAGCATTAGATTACACATTGTGAACCGAACCTTTCTCGTGGTTTGTGGCTGGAGTGAAATCCCAGCGAGACTCATTGAGGAAGTCAACATTAATTCTGCTGGACAAGAGACCTGTCGTTGGATTTGAAACACATGCATCACAGCTGCAGAAAAGGTACCCAACACCATCACAGAAAGTTACTCTAGGAATATGAAGGGTACATGAAATAGTTGTCTTGGCGGCATTGTACGTCGATTTTAATTGTGTACATTGAATACCAAGGGTATTCACCGTAACAGCAGGCACATCTGGTAGGACAGAGCTGTGTCCTCCATTGGAGATGGTGACTTAGTCTGTTCACCCCCACCCCCCTTCTGTTAATTTGACTTTGAGATCTCTGTTGCGTAGGATTGCTATGCTATAAGCAACAATAATGACTTGATAATTTGATAAATATAAGGCAAATGTTCCTGCTATTTCACTGTCCTTATAACATTGCAAAGTCCAGCTCTTCTACCAATGACCATGAACAAACTCAGAGTTTGAAGAGCACTCTAAACACCATAGTCACTACAAATATATTTAGTGTTTAAGATTCTAGGAGTCCCTAGGTGTCAACCGGCCAGTAGTTTGTCAAAATGTTTATTAACAGTTTGTCACTTACCTTGGCGTGTCAGATGACGGTGGTCATTCTGGTATGAGTTGGTCTGATAAGAAAGTCAGACGGAGCAGAAATATGCAACAAAGTAGTCCCCATGGGCTTACTTTGTCTCTGTACATCTCTTGATTGGGATAGAATTTCAGTGAAATGCC